AACTGATAGTCCATGGGCTTCAAACATTGTACTCGTAAAGAAAAAGGACGGAACTCAGAGATTTTGCGTGGATTATCGGCAACTGAATGCTGCCACGATCAAGGACGCCTACCCCCTACCTCGTATAGACGAAACATTGGATGCTTTGTCAGGAGCGCAGTGGTTTTCAACCCTGGACTTGGCAAGTGGATACTGGCAAGTAGGCTTAAGCAAAGATGCTAAGGAAAAATCAGCTTTCGTAGCTGATGGTGGACTCTACTCATGGAACGTGATGCCTTTTGGACTTTGTAACGCCCCAGCCACTTTTGAGAGATTAATGGATAAAGTACTAACCGGATTGCATTGGGAGACATTACTTGTCTACTTAGATGATTTGATTATCTTTGGTAAATCGATACCAGAGGAACTTTCACGGTTACGTCAAGTATTCTATAGACTACGACAAGCCAACTTAAAGTTAAAACCAAAGAAATGCTTTCTGTTCAGGAAGAAGGTGTCCTATCTCGGACACGAAGTATCAAGCAAGGGAGTCTCAACACAGCCAGAGAAGGTTGAGTCTGTAAAAACATGGCCGACGCCGAAAAATGTGACGGAAGTTAGAAGTTTTCTCGGTCTTGCATCCTACTACAGACGTTTTGTTGAAGGTTTTGCTAGTATAGCCAAACCTCTTCATCAACTCACGGAAAAGCGCCGTGCCGGACAGTTCGAATGGAGCTCTGTCTGTCAGGATGCGTTTGAAGAGTTGAAAAGAAGATTGATTACTGCACCTATTCTGGGATACCCGAATACGGAAGGTGCATTCATTCTTGACACAGACGCCAGTAAGGATGGGATTGGAGGAGTGTTGTCACAAGTACAAGATGGAAAGGAAAGAGTAATTGCATATGGAAGTAAAGTGCTAAGTAAGGCAGAACGGAACTACTGCGTTACAAGAAGGGAACTACTTGCAGTTGTCGTTTACTTGAAGCATTTCAGACAATATCTCTACGGTCGACATGTAACGGTGAGAACGGATCACGGAGCTTTAAGGTGGCTAACGAATTTCAAAAACCCTGAAGGACAGCTGGCAAGATGGCTTGAGGTCATCGCAGCTTATGATATAGAGATCATTCACAGGGCTGGTAGAAGTCATGGAAATGCAGATGCATTGTCGAGAAGACCATGTGGCCAGTGTGGAAGAGGACTGGAGTGCGAGTTCAAGGTCAAGGAGGAAGAAACAGCCAAAGCCCGTGTAATAATGATGACAAATGAGAAGAGACTGCCTGAGATGAGGAAAGATCAACTAGACGACCCAAATATAAAGCCTGTGCTAGAGGCTATGGAAATGAAGACCAGACCACCAAAGGAAGAAGTTTCCGCAATGTCTAAGAAAGTTAAAGTCTTGTTAGAGCATTGGGAACAACTTGAAATCAGAGATGGAATACTCTACCGTAGATGGGAATCAATAGATGGCAAAGAAGTGAAGTGGCGACTAGTATTACCTGGAAGGAAAATAGATGAAGTTTTGAAAGAACTTCATGGTAGTGCTTTAGCTGGTCATTTGGGAGCAACTAAGACACTGAAGAGTAGTCAGATGAGATACTACTGGGTAGGAATGAAGGCAGATGTGAGGTCTTTCATCCGTAAATGTGAATCTTGTGCTCGACGGAAGTCAGCTGGTAAGAAGAGACGAGCACCTCTACAGCAGAGAAGAAGTGGAAGTCCGATGGAACGGATCGCTCTTGATATACTAGGACCTTTGCCAGAGACGAATGACGGAAACAAGTACATAATGGTAGTAGCCGATTACTACACTAAGTTCGTAGAAGCTTATCCCATACCTAATGAGAAAGCAAGTACTGTGGCACCCAAACTAGTTGAAGAGTTTATATGTAGATACGGGGTTCCAACTGAGATTCACACAGACCAAGGAAGGAACTTTGAGTCACAGTTGTTCAAAGAAGTTTGCCAGATCTTGGGAATAAAGAAGACAAGGACGACGGCATATAACCCTAAATCAGACGGTATGATTGAACGCTTCAACAGAACATTGCTCGATATGCTTGTTACGCTAATAGAGCCTGGAAAGAATCAGCGAGATTGGGACAAGTATGTACACATAGCTACAACGGCACACAGAAGTTCAGTTCATGAGACAATAGGAGAAACGCCAAACATGATGATGTTCGGAAGAGAACTGAAAATGCTTTCAGATCAGTACATGATCCAACCAGATATGGAAGTTGGAACAGACTACGTCGAGGAACTACGAGACAGGATGGATAAAGTCTATACAAAGATTACTGAGCACAGTCAGAAGAATCTCCGAAGACAGAAGAGAAACTACGACAAGAAGATTGCTGGAAGTAGTTACGAGGAAGGAAATTTCGTTTGGTTACGAAATAATCAGAGACACAAAGGCATCAGTCCCAAACTAAGTTACAGATGGAATGGCCCATTCAAGATTAAGACGAAGCTGTCTGATGTGACATACAGAATCCAAAAGAGCCCTGGAACCAAGATGAAGGTTGTACACTTTGACCGTTTGAAACCTTGTGAAGGAGACGAGCCAATGGAATGGAAGACAGCTCATACTAGACGGGAAGACGCTGGAAGTGATGCCAGAGAGATGGAGTCCAACTCTGAAGAGGTTGATCAAGATTCAACGCCTGACGTGACTGTAAATAGAAGACAAGAAGATACTCGACGCTATCCACTGAGGAATAGAAGACCCGCACATTTCTTTTATTAGAAATGGTTTTGTGGAAATAAAGTTTAGAATAATATTTGTTTTACTTTGGATCTGTTTCCTTCTCCTCTTTCCTTCTCTATAACTTTCTATCTCACTTCTTTCTTTCTTCTATTCAACTCTGTTTTCTCATCTATATCTCTTTCTTATACAGATTCCATTGCTTGTATTGTATATAAATGAACATTATTGACATTGTAACGCCACTGAGTAGATTTAAGAATTAGAATTTATTTGTAATAGGTAATCTAGGGCGATGAAAATTTAAGAATATAAGTGCACGTTCCATGTTGCATAGGAACAAAGAATTGACATGTTTTGGAAGAAAAGCAGATGTCTTATGTTGTAGATGTATATTTGATTGATGCTGGTGTTGATAGAGAGATTGTGAGGTAACAGAGAAGGAGAAGAAAAGTGGGCAAAATAAGACAAGTGTTTTCTTCCAAATGTCACCTACCTTATTGGTAATAATATTGAGTAAAGATATTTTTGGTTTGTATACATGTATATACTTGCAATCGAATTTAGACAAGGTTGCATTGTAACAAGGTTATCGCCCAGGAAAACCTAATGTTTTAAATGCGAGGACGCATTTTGTAAGGAGGAGGGCTGTGTAACGATCCGCTCCGCGGTCGTGACGTAACAAAGAGGACTAACTTAAATGATTGTTGTTTTCAAGCGCGTCATCATACACCGACGCACAATGTTTACGTTAATAATTTGCATACGAGTGATTGACATTCGGATATTTTATTGAGATGCTTAAAGATGTTAAACTGTAATTGTTTATAAGTATATCACATGAATTTGGAAGGAAAGTTGTTTAGACAATGTGACTTGTTAATATTTACTGCAACTGATATGTCATTCAGAGTGTTGTATTTAATTAATGGTAAAATAAGAGATTTACTTAGATATTTTGCTCTGAACTAGCACAGTCTTCATGTTAAGTCCATTTTCGCTGCGCGCGTACTTTCCAAGATCGCTTAGCGCATCGATTTCCCCCACGTCCGCATTATGCCTTTATAACCCGTAACATTTCTAAAACTCGAGAGTTGGTATTTGGTCCTCGTCGGGGCAACATATAATTTAGCTCTCCTGGAAATCCCCCCCCCCCCCCGAATTAAGGACTTGAGTTGGAATTGGACGCTCGTCGGAATCAGAACTATTAGTCTCTCCCTGGAAATCCCCCCCCCCCCCCACCTAAGGAATTGTCTTGGAATTGGGCGCTCGTCGGAACTGGTACCACACATAAGATCTCTCTCCCTCCCTGGAATATAAGGGTACACAAGGAAGTCTACGCTGGAATTAAGATGCTGGAATTAATGAACCACTATTATTAAGATGCAGGAATATTCTAAGTCCACCTCTCCCCCTATGATGCTATGGAATTAAACTAAGACGGAAAACTCCCAAGTCCCATAAATCCCAATGAATCATTGCCCTTCACTTTTTACATGTATTCGAATATAATAACGACAATCGTATAAATTTATTAAGTATAACTATGAGCACAAGGTATTTGTGACAGTGGTGATATAAAGATGTAAATATTTGAAGTACATGCATTAATAAAAATTGACCATTTTCTTTTGTCTTGAAACTGAAATTATGAGTCTATAAACACTTTGTCTTTCTTCTTGACTGGTACTCCTTCATAGTCGTATATTTCGACGAAACGAACGTAAATAATATTGTAGCTTCCCCCGTCTTTCCTCAAATAAAAGATAAGATCTAATTACTCTAACCGCTCGGACATTATAAATAATGTCGGCTGACGAATATCCTGACAGATATAAAGAATCAGTTTCCCCAGCTGGGAAAGAGAATAATCCCGACGTAGAGGTCGAGGTTGGAGACGGAGGCGGGGGCGGCCGCCACAATATGATGTACTTTACAAAAGGGATATTAAACATATCTGTAAAGTTCAATCAACATTTTAATGATTTAGCATTTTCTTCTTTCTTTTTTGAAAGCCTACTTGTTCTCCATCACATCAGTTTGATTCTGTTTTCTTAAAAGTATCAGGTAGAAAAGATTGAGACCTAAAACATTGAATTCCACCTTTGGCAGTACATGTCCATTTATTTTGGAGAAACTCTTTTGACATAACTTTTTTGTACATAGGCTATTTAATTACAGCCCGAGTGCATATTTCTCCAGCACTAAATTTAAAACAAAGCCAAAATGTTTTTATTTGCCAAAAACAACCTGAGGGAATAATTCCCGTTTGCTCATAGTTATAATTATTACATCGTTATTATCATCTCACCTGAAAGCAATTCACCGAGTCGGTAATGTCGAATCGGTCGAACCTGAGGAAGAGTCGTTTCCCCGGCGCGACGCTAATCGTCACCTGGCAATCCTTGTTGTCGGCATAGTGCGTGGTACCCAGGTGCGAAATGATGCGGCCGTTGCTATGGTGGGCGAGATGATTGCATTTGCCGTTGACCTCTCGTTGCAAGAATGCTTTGAGAAAATAGGGATAAAAAAATGGATTCAATAATAATAATAATGTTAATTAGATGCTGATGTTTGTTATAATCAAGATACTGCAGATTGAGGCAAAATCAAAGGTATATAAAGAAACTCTGAGTCTTACACCGCACCGGTATTTTCGACAAATCGCAACAAACAAAAAACAAAAAAATAAATAAATAAACTTTGTTGATAGTTTCTGACTTAGGGGAAGTACCGCTTTAACATTTTTGAATTGTTACATATGTATTAAAATATTTTTAGTAAAAATACCGTATATATATGGAGGAATATTTTCCACTTAGAAATAGGCCTATATATTTGCTGTAGGCCTATCAGGATGAGTATTATATGAAACTGCGATAATAACTAGATTCGTACTTTTCTAGGAGTATCATTAATCTCCGCTTCATTTCGCTTTGTCGGTATGACTTCAGATGCGTTTCCATGCCAACTAATGATTCCGCCAACTGGCGCCAAGTATTATACTTCACTTGTGCATGAAAATGCCTGCAGGGCCTTGGTTTGTATAACGATGATTAATTGCAGAGATGGGGTATCACTTTCAAAATAATTATTTCTATTCTAGTTTTCAATTTCGTAATGACATTGCCTTCAGTAAAATAGGAGATAATTGGAGAAAAATTCTGACTCATGCTTCATGTCTGTCTATTCCTTTAGATGAAAAAAAAAACATTTGATGCATTATCTCCCCAAAACGACAAAAATATTTGTCATGTCGTCAAAGGTTATTGAAGAAAAAAAAAGTGATTCGTGTCCCTTTTCCAGAAATTCACGGATCTGCTGATTATCAAAGTTTATTTTAAAAAAATGATGTGGAGTAACCTAACGTGAACATGCTTGGATTGCACCTTCTTGGAAACAATTCCATCACCACCCCCCTCCGCGAGAATTTAGGAATGACAAATATCCCGGGAGTCGGCAACTCGTATCTGGACAGCGAGGGATGGAATAATTTGTAAATTTTTTTTTCCTATTATGTACAGTTATTTCGAATACAGAATATTTTGATAAAGAAATGGTCTTTTCCTTCCATAGAGTGCCATCATTATCATATATGTATTTGTATGATTGTATGTATTTTGCGTATTAGTTTGTTGTATATATTGTCATTATTTGTAAACACAAAGATGATTCGACACCGACGTCACCCCACCCACACACACACACACACACACACACACACACATCCGGCGAAAGTATTGCATGCATAATACCTTCAGTGGCTGGAAGATAGGGTGACAATGCGAACCACATTTCGATATATCAAAATTACAAATTACATGTAAATATCAAGAAAGTATTTCGACAACCTGCCTCAAACTCACTACTTGGGTTCTTGTTGCACATGACTCGAACAGATAGGTTGACTTCATCGATTTTTGGATTGACCAACGAGCCATAATATGATCTCGTGGTCCTACCGTATCGATTATATGTCATGAGTTCGAGGACCAATTTGTTTAGCCCATATACCAATTACCCGCTGCACTGTCATCTATGAATGGATGAGGGGAATCATTTTCTTTAAGCAATCAATGAATGTTTGGATTACATATTATTCTACGACACATTCCATCTTCTAATGCCTGCTAATCAGCATTAATCGTATTACTACTAATTTTTGTTGCACCAAAGTCTGAGTATTTGCTTGTTTGTTTGTTTTGTGTATCTGTTGCATGATTATCATCATAAAATACTTCACATATTGGATGACATTAGAGTTTTATGGTTAATTTTCATTGAATTTTCACACGCGGTTTGTCATTTCTTTCAATATTCGTTTAGGCCTCTAAGCGCTTAGATTTATTTCATATGAAAACAAAATGCGCTGCTTAAATGGTCAGTAAATCAGTCGAGATGTCATGAATGTGTCTTAATGTAAATTAATGGTTAATGCCTATATTTTATTTTGTATGAAGTCATATAGTTTGCAATAATCATAAAGAGAGTAGGTAAATGTATATCTACAATTGTGTTGTCGTTACTTGTGGTATAGAGCCATGTTTTCATTGAATAGTACTCTGGGAGACTATCGAGAGGGGTTTCTCTTTGTTGGCCTTTACTAATGAGGATTCTGGCACAGCAAGAGATCTAAACCGGCAAAATAATGACCATTCAAGAAACCTGGTCTGCATGAACAGGTGGTATCTATGCACAGGTTATCTTAAATTAAAGATTTGAATGTTACACACTGTTCTAGGAATTCAAAAAGACGTCTCCAATAATGACGTTTATAAACAGGTGATCAAGTTCAGCTTCAGAGATTCAGATTAATTTTATTGGTCCATATTTGGAAATTCAACTGTTAGCATTACATAAAGCACATGAAGAATGTACAATATAAAATAATATACACAAATAGATAATACACAGTAGCAAATGTACAATGACATATTCAAGGGAGAAAGGAAAAAATGGTCTTCACAAACAGGTGGTATCTATTTTAGAGGTTAACTATGACTAAAGGTTTGAATGTTACACACTGTTCAAGGATCACAACAAGATTGCCTCAATAATGGTCTTTATAGACAGGTGATCAAGGGAGAAAAGAAAAACGGGTCTTCACAAACATGTGGTATCTATGTAGAGGTTATCTATAACTAAAGGTTTCAATAATGGCCTTAATAGAGAGGGTGATATTTGAATTGTGGTGTATGAGGCGAGGGCTAGGGCTCCAAGGGGTTCAGCCCAATGTCAATCTTCAGAAAATATCCGCCACCTTTATTATTGGGTATTGATGTGCAATAATTTTTGTGCAGCAAAGTGCCTGAATATCCTTATATTCGGATAGCGAGACTGCCCAACTATATATACCAGCTAATATGATGTGTTATTGTGTTATTAAGTGAATTATGTTGTCGAAATAACGTTTAATTTTATAACGGGTGGAGTTCCGGCAACCGTGTGTCAACTTTATTTGGTGAAAATAGCCCATACGCCTATCATGCATATTCCTTGTAGATCTTTTTATACAGGTGCTGGTCGCCAAAAACGGGTGTTTACTGTATATGGTATGTTTATGTATCTAGACCGGGTACGGTTAATATTCCGAAAGCATCTCTAGAAAGTACAAGCAGGTGCAAATAAATAATAGGTAGCCATGGAGTCATAAGGGCCCTTGACACCAGGTGAGGGCCCGCGCAGCAGCAGGTCGGCTGGACCTGTATAACCAAGACCAAGTACCAACTCCAGAGGCGACTCGAGGATGGTCTAGGCCTCTAGGGCACCGTTGGACCATATAATGAACCTGTCAATCAAGCTGATTGGCGACACTTCTCCTTTTGTTCCTCTCAAGGATCTAGGATAATAATCATGGACAACAATGCGAACTACGACGAAACGCGCGAAAGGCCTATCGAGAACCTATTGTCTTCCACGCCCGATCCGCCGGATCAGGTCTTCACCTTTCTTGGGACCACTTCACTGGTCTCTTCACGCGCGCGAATGATCGACATAATACAGTGAGTCATTAGGGGCAATATTTTTTGGGATCCTTCATCTCGACATGTCCATCTCTTTTGTATGAACCGTGAAGTGACAGGGGATTACGAGATGATTAAGAGAGGATTAGGAGAGCATTAGCTCAAAGGAACAGTTAGGCAACAATAACACCGATGACACTAATCATCTATCACAGTTCATAATGTTCCAATTAGAGCATTTTGGGAACTTTATTTCCATGTTGCCTGAGATACTTTGTACTACTTGAGCGATTTACAATCTGTCAGATGTTCTTACTGACCAGAAGGATAAAATTGTTGTAGACATATACAAGGTCGATTTGTTTCAAAACTTCTATGTTTTTGAAGAATGTGCTTGTAGCTATCAATTCTTTTCTGTTAAATATCAACACAAACCAGTAACTTAAATTAATTCTTTCATTGATACACAGTGTTTACTAACCAATTGTAACAAATATAGACGATTGTAAATACATTTAAAGTTATCAAAGACTTAAGACTATATAAGTATATAAGTCAGAAATATAAGTAGCGAGATTTCGTCAATCAATGTTGAAATATATAATTAGGCCTTTGGGTGTGTATCCATAAGTGACACAACTTAGATTATTCATTGTCAAAGTATTTATTATTGGAATGAATCACAAACCCATTCGAATAAAGTAATAGAGTTTATTTATCCACACAGATGAACTTTTGTAAAACAGCAACATACCAAACAAACGTATTCCACACAATATTAACTGACACAGACCTCTCTACAAACATTTACGCCTAAAATATCTATATTACATCAAAATATAAAAGCCAATATTGCTACGACACAACTAAGTTGATGTGGCACCTAGGTATGAGAGCTCAATTTTTGTTCTCATTTAAAACATGATTATGATTCAGTATCATCTTTATTAAATCACAAATTTTAAGAGATAATCATCAATGATAACCAGGATTAGAAGACCAACTTGTAAAAATCATGCATTGAAATATTAGCCTATACTTTGCTTGGGAATTGAACGTCGCAAACATTCGGTTTAAAATTATCGCCGATGTTTATAACTTCAAAGTGTGCCGATTCATTAAAACGCCTATGAATAATATATGAATATATTGGAAACTCTATCAAATGAAATTTTATATGAAAATCAATCGAGCTATACATAGAACAATAAAGTATACTACGAAGAGCCTAAAGTCATAATACACCACAGAAGCTGATGATGAAATATGGAATGGTCATTAAATGCATTCATTGACCAAGAGAGCACAAGGGAGGTGTCAAAACAAACAAGAAGGAAAATTCTACTTACTTGCATTGTATCCAAAAGCTGATGAAACTATCGCCAAAAAGGTAAGGACTGGAACAGCGAGGCGTGTGGAACTATCGAACACACTTGATCCAAACATTTCTAAAGAAGAATATATCCACGGAGAGAATGAGGGACGAAATCGAATGAGGTATGTTTACCAGCAAAATTCATGCAAACATAACTGACTCTGCATATACACGGAGTTAAAACAGATCGTGAAGTGCAGACGGTAAAATTTATGTTACAAAAATCCAAGTTGACATCGCAGGCGCCAAATCGTGATCTGAGAGCGAAGCTGGTGCGCAGAGTTGGTTTTTATATGTGTGAGGCTATGAATGGTCATCTTTTTGTCAAGTATCCTGCTGGCCTTTTCATCTCGCTTTTGAATGGTCGAGGGACAAGGGGTGTGGGCAGAGAGAAAAGAGAATGGTCATTATGAAAGGGAAGTCCAGCTGATGAGATTCGCTTGTTTTCTCGACGAATATACTTGAGTCGCACTAATGAGCCCCCGTACACACGGCGAAGGAGACACTTGTGAATGGGTGGTGAATCGCGGGCATTGTTCCACGGACAATGGCTCCATGTCAATCATTCAGGGCCTATTGTTATGGGGTCCGTGATGGGTATGGACACATGCGGCGAGGGGGTTTTGAGGACGATACTTATGTAAATCGTATGCACAAGTAGGGGGTTAACTGAGATCCTTTTCACCCGTAAGTCCGCTTTGAGAGGAAAGGAGACTGCCCCCAGAAAACAAGAGGGAAGGATCGAGAAAGAGAGGGTATACACACACTTGAAGGAGTTTGAAGTATATCTATGCTTCCTGCCTGTCCGTTAACCACACAAAATAAAGATGTATGAAAAGGACTATATAATAGACCCCAAGTTATTTTGACCCATCTTATCATTATTTGTTACCGTTATTTTGTGGTTTTAAAATATAATATGCATTAACTTGCTCTGCAACGCCCTCCTAAATATAAAATTGATTTAAAATTGGTAAACAGTGTAGGTGTATGAAAGCGACTTATTTCTCGAATCACTGGTATGCATCCACACGTTGGTTTTCAGGCCAAGCGAAAATTATCAGCAACGGCGATGAAAAAAGGGGTACTATTTTTCACATTTCTCGAACGCTCGAAAAATGTCGACAAACAAAACAACACAAATTCAAAATTCCACCAAAAAAAGAAAAAGAGAAGTCAAATTTGATGGTGGGATATATAAATAGTATAATGAACCCCGTTTTCTTTTAAGCCCTTGCCTAATAATCTGAAGTGAATAATTATGTCCTAAGCAGTGAAATATTAATTGTAGATAAAATGAATAGGATTTTAGTTTAATAATACTGACGATCCAGGAGACGGGAAAACAACATTGTAATCAAAATGACAAGTAAGATCAAAATTGGTATCTAATTTCTTCACATGTTTTATATTCTGGGGTTCTATCTGTACTAATAACATTATTAACCAAAAATGTTTGAACGAAATCGATTCCAATCTATACCAGATTGTACAGATTACAAAATTGAGATAGACATCGGCAAAATCTTGATAACTAATAAACTGTTGCACTGGTACATGACTTGTATGTACAAGTTTTTTTAATTTTTCACATAATTATTATAGTGCCAGGAATTTGAAAAGAAGGAATACTAATAGTAATATACTTTTCGTCGTCGTTTCACATAATTAGCAGATGGCGAGTAAATTATGCCAATCCATGTTATGCATCTGAGCGTCATCAGATATTCGCGCAAAAATTGCAATGAGTTTTACATGGTATATCATCTAATTTTGAAGCAAAACTTGTCTGAAAGGTGAAAGAAAAATAACACGAGGCGTCTTTAAAACGCTGAAAACCCCAGACTTCTTGTCGTTGTAAACACTGCGCTCGAACACTTGGATCCAAAACACTTGGATACACGAATACTTCAAGTTGCGGGGAGGGGGGGGGGGCAAAAAAGACACCCCCGGGTACTCTCTCTCAAAAAAATATACAATAACATTATCTTGCATAAAAACAATGTATATGCTTTCAAGGGTTAGTGCTTAAAAAACTCAAACGTTCAGCATTCCATAACCGAAATTGTATAGGTCACTATACGCTCGCTAACATAATATAGAAAGCAGTTTAGGCCTACGTAGATACCGTAGACATCCTGTCTCCATGCACGTTGCGCCAAAAACGAGGGGGAGGGGCAGATTTTCCCTCGATTTCCCTCTAAACAGGGGGGAGCCAAAATTATTTCTGGCCCCTCCTTTTTGCAGCGCCTATTCTCTTTACACGCAGAGGGAACAAATCGTTTTTCTAGCTCTGTTGCTCTACTCCCTCGTAATTCATTAGATGCAGTGTTTCTTATATTTATATTTTCAATTTCAATTTCGATTCATAAAACATTACAAATCAATTATAAACATTTACAACATTTTAATAATACATATTGGAAACAGAAGCAATACTTGTACAATAATTGTGGACATCTCAAATGATACTTAGGTATAATGAGTATTTGAATTAACAAGTTCGTAACTACAAACAAAAACTACAAAATAGGGAGAAAAAGGGGGATCCAACAGAGAAGAGAACGGGACAGGACAGTACTTTATATGACAAAGATAGGAGAACACGGTCACAACACAAGGAGTGGACAATGCCCAAAAAAAGCGAGAGATCTGGGGTACAGAAAATAATACAAGAGGATGAGCTGCATGTGGGGTTGAGAAGAATTAGATGAGGAAAGAAAAATGCAAACCCTCTACCACAAGATCCTCGAACGCGCGGGAGGGGAGAGGGGTTCGGAGGCAGGTATTGTTACTCCACGAAAAGGAGAACTCTTTCCCCCTCCCTCCCTCCGCAAGAAAACATGATTAATGACCTATCACTTTGCAGTACAACCCTGTAAAAGTGATTTCGAGATATAGGCCCCAGAGTATTTGCCCCCCCCCCCTCCCCCCCCCCCCCCCCCCCCCCCCAAGCTGGAACGGTTCTGGCGCGCCTGGTTTCAACCACGCCCTCTCCCTTTTCCCCCTCATCACATTTTGATAACATAACAAAAAAACACTGTTGAAAACAGCCATCATGATGCCGCTTTTCAAATTATGTAATTTTCTTTCAAGAACCCTTTCAAATTTTGTTTCCATTTTCTTCCTCATCCACCTCAAGTATTTGCCTCCTTCTTTCCATTTCCGAAAATCCTCATCTCATCAAACTAAAGTCATACCATCCGGCCTTCATCTTCTCATAACAAATGTCGGCCTTTTTCTTTTCATCAGTCTCTTACAATCCATTTCACGCAATGTTGCACTTTTTAGTGAATTGGCAATAGATAAACTTTATGCTTTTTTTTCCACAAATCCAATTATTATGTTTTCTCATTAAGCACCATTAACGCACTGCATTGGAGAGCCGCGGATGAGCTCCAGGCGATTACGTAGTATAGTGGTTTTCGATGACATATGATACCCCGATATTTTGATGATTCCAAAGGAATATAGGAATTAAATAATTAATCAGTCTCGAGTACAATGAGTCTACGAAATCACGCGAAGCGCTCATTAGACTTGCGGTCAGGCTATAGATTTTCATAATTAATTGTGGTTAGTGAAATTATGAAACAAAAGACAAATTCGTAAGACTGTAGCATGGCAATTTTCCAAGGTTTCTCGTGTTAATTATCAGGAAATTTAGAACGCAAAAGAATAAAATCATATTCAAATACTGCAAAGAGAATGTGAAAGAAAATGGAATTGCAGGGGGACATTTGGAGAGAGAGAGAGGGGGAGCGGGAGAGAGGGGGAAAGAGAGAGAGAGAGGGCGAAAGAGAGGGGGAAAGAGAGAGAGAGAGAGAGGGAGAGAAAGAAAGAGAGAGAGAGAGAAAGAGAGAGAGAGATAGAGAGAGACAGAGAGAGGGAGAGAAAGAAAAAAAAAGAGAGAGAAAGAGAGAGAGAAATAATATCAATCTTCAATGAAATTTGAAATAGTACATAAAAAAGATCGGATAGCCACTAAACCACAATAAACTATAGAGAATTTATCGATAGAGGTCAGTATGTAAAAAAAAAACTCGTGGAGATCTCGATGAAAAAAACAAGCCTAGACAATTATAAATTTTGTTGCTGTGGAAACTCTCTACGAAATGGATGAAATCATGCAGAAATCATGAGATAAGTGTGAAGGGTTGTATAATTTCCTTCCAATTTTCTCTAATCATTACCATTTCTTTCTTTCTCTCTTTTTCTCACGTCCCCCCTTTGTCCTTTGTATATGGTGGTGGTGGTGGTGGCCGAAGGGGGGGGGGGGGGGGGTGGAGGGGAGGGGGTACGAGCCCCTTTTTTTGTATACCTGATGTGCACGCCCCTGCATATTATGTTATATATTTATAGATCACATAAATGCAAATATGACGCTTCAAGATCATTCAGGTTTTATTTTATTGAAGCAGCGCTATAGAGTGAATAAATAAGTGAATGGACAGCAAGAATGAAATTATGTCAAAAAAGGAGTGTTGATATAATAATTTTGTCGCACTTATGAAGCTGTGATCATTATCTACTCTTACCTTTCAAAAAGATAAGTATCATGCTGTTCTGCACTTCTGCTTAATGTGAAATACTCTTTTATTTATGAAACAACTGCTGTAGTTCATGAATGAATTTAGAAAAAAACATCATAATTAAATCGGTATATATATAGCTTAGACTAATTATCAGCTGTAGATTTCAATTGCTTACATTTCATCATTATATTCGTAGAAGTTTTTTTTTTTAAAGTTTAAGATATAATTCTGCTAGATCATGATTGTATTCTAAAATCCCTAGAAACATTCAAAAAGAATCTAAAGTCATATATTATGTTCGCATGTTATTTTAGTTCATTATAATTTTATGTTGAATGTACATCTATATGCATTTTTTCCTTTTCTTTCTCATTTCTCTATGTATCTCATTCTAATTCAGAATAGTTTACTAGATTGATGGCGCATAATAAATGCTGTATTATTATTATTAACCATACGAGGAAACCCTTTTTTTAAAAGATACTTCAAGCCCTCAGCAAGCTATAACCGAATGCAACTAAGTGAGGAGTATTATATAGATCCCCTTTTTCATCTTCAAAATCTTCAAGCATAATATGGTGACGTACGTAGCTCACTCTTCTACTAGTTTCTCCCATAGTGTCTTTGCTTTGTTCTCTTTGTTGTCAAGGTCTCCCGAGACTTAGCTAGCCTGATTCAACTCACGGAGTACGACATTTTAACGTTAAATCTATATTTTGCAACGTTTAGGATAAATGTAAACAAACAACAAATTGTGGGCTAAATTTTTATGCGCAGGCGCAATGCACTATGTTCACGTTGAACCGACTGATGACGTCATAAGCCGTACACAGCCTGAATCGTATTCTGAACAGAATTTTACGATTTTTCCATCAAAATGTCGTACGCATATTTATTCAAATACATTATTATAGGAGATACAGGTAAGATGGGTGATTCTGCATGATTTGGTCGATTTTGAAATTAAAATGTTTGTGTAATTGCCAGTTTTGAATGTCATTCTCTGCGTCTTGGCAGATTTCGTATTCATCAACAACATAAACGTGTAGTGTGCCAACCCAATGCAATTCCAATGGGTGTCCACCCGGCTGCGTTTGTCTCGTTTGTCAGTGCAGTGTGTGTCATGTCATTGTGAAATTTGTGTGCAGCTGCTTCATGATCACATGATTTGTTAAGTCATAATTATAGACTTGACAATTGTTAAATTGATAGTTTCTTTGTTTCAAAGATCCACCTAGCAGCTGATATTGTGTGATAACGGAGCTCCATCCAGCTTCCAGAGCCTGCATAGATCTAGGAAAACGATTCAAACAGCGGAGCGGGTTGGGTCACATTTTTTTGTAATGTAAAGTAGTCTAGTGATTCCTCTGGCCTGGGCATCCGTTCAACCACTTGAAACTAAAATTTGAATAAGTCTTCGATTGGAAAAAGGGTGATTCTTCGTCCTAACCCAATTCATCCCATGTTAAAGTTGTATATCGTTGATTCAACATGGCGAAGAGAAAGTACGCATGCGCGGCACATATTAAAACATTTTAAGTCAAAAATGTCATTTCTACTTCTTTACATTTCGAAAAAATGTGTGCCCCAACCCGCTGTTTGAATCGTTTTCCTATGCAGGCTCTGGAGCTCTGACATGCCTTTGGCAGCGGAGCTCCCTGGATAGCTGGAGTTAGTGTTAACTCTTAAGACTTATGTATGTGTGATATCTGACACCAAGAATAAGTACATCTAGACTAGTGTACTACAGTATACACTGTCTGTGCTATATGCAGAGCTACCAAGTGTCACGCATTAGGCGTGACGTCACGCATTTCGAGGGTCTGAAAACGCTCTCATGCACAACGCGCGCGCTAGATTTGGAAAAAACGCTTTACCTTATACATGTGTTATACCCTCGCGCGCCGGATCATGAAAATGTCATGCATTGCTGATCTTTGTATGAAGGGTTGACCAAAGTCCGCAGGGATTTAGAAAATATTAGAAGATGTAATATTTGATCTATGATTTCTCATATTCTACACAAATTCATTTAGACCCCTATTTCAATTATTACCAACTGAACGTCAAAGTTTATTACAAATTGGTTTAACTAGAAAATTTAAAATTGTCAAAGGATTCCGGAGATATTGCGATATAAAAATTTGATGTCCGATCGGCGTGTGCGCTGCAACTAAAAAGGTCATAAAAACAACGAGACTTAACTTAAGGCACAGGAGTTTACAGCTGATTTATCAAAAAATGTCCATCAGAAATAAGGTAATTTCATAATTTGCAAGGCAAGATATCATACAATCAGTTTGTACCACTTCTTACTTACAATTTTGAGGATATGCTCTCAAAATGAAGATTTCCAAATCATTATCGGTCAGTTAATAATTTTTCCGAATAGACGCTAATTAATGACTGCAAAATTTGCTGATTTTTTGTCAATGTTGTCATAATTTCACACCCAATTACAGAGAAAATACCGTCTTTGGGTATTTTTATGTTCCTCTTTCCATTGGTGATAACAGGTTTTCTAAATCTTACCAACTTTTTGAGATAGCGTACTTAGGTCATGCACGAACTATGGTCACACCACCATACTGTAGGCTTTTGGATCGAGTCTATACAGCTAACAAGTTACAGTTACAGCCACTGATAATAGGTGAAAACAGGGGTTGCAATACTGAACCGCCATCGCTGTTGACTGGATGCCGTTTTAGCTGAAGTCTTGAGTGGTTATGAGTTATGACTTATGATTACTGGTAGGCCCGTTTCGAGTTTGCATGTACATGTCTGATAAGTTCTTTACACATGTTTGACATTATAGCTCACCAGCAAGCGAGCTCCGATATTAAAAAGAAGGAAAAAAAATGAACAAAAACATACATTCAATTTTAAAATGACGAAATATTTTGAAGACAATAATGATGCATGGCCCGACGTGTTATCAGTGTATGTGATATGGTGTAATATTGAAGCCCTAACAAAGTTGCCCTTCAAAATGATCATGAAGTGACTCAAAAGAGTAAAAACCTTTTGAGTGACTGGTTTTACCATCATTTCCCCCATAAGACTGTAGTGTTATAAAACAAACAATAACAATTTGATTTCCACTCATGAATATCTTGATAATCAGACAAGCGATCGGCATATAAAAGTCATGGAATTCCTGACTGACCTAGAGGTTTATGATTATCATTGCAGCATCATCATGAGCTAAACCCAGGATTTTGCTACCGAGGCAATGTTACCGAATCGCTTTTATATTATGAGATTGAGATACATATATATACATGTATGTCCATTTCATACAAAAAGCGACGGATATTTCGAGTACAGTAATTTGTTTGTAAAATATCAAATGCGAAAACCCTTTCTCTTGAACACTATACAAGTTGTACATACATGTACATGTAATTAGCAATTGTTTTTAGGATTTCCATGTATCATTAGTTATCTTTATTTTCTGAATAGAAGTTGGAACTTGCTTATTTTTTTGTCAATTTTTCACAAAATATATAATTCATGATTTTTCTGCTTCAAAACAGGGGCCAACTTTCAGATATGTGTTTATAAATGATATCCTTTTAAATTAGAGCCTTGAGGGCTGAGATTGCTTATGAATATTGATCAAGTAGCACCACAGGGTGTGTAGGTAATTACCTTACATTAGAAAGTGACAAATGCTTATGAATATTCATCAAGCCATAGTGAACTGCTTAAAATATCATCATTGTGAGTGTGTTCTTGCAGGTTTTTTGTTTGTTAGTCTATGCCTGATAAAGGTAAGACCAGTTTTGGAAATGCCCCCCTCTCAAAAAATGAAATGGAAGCATTTATCACCAATCATGTGAAAGAATATGTTTTGACTAGTACGTGATCATACAAATTTCGCTGAGAAACCGCCTTCTAATTGATATATTTGGTAAATTATTATATCTATTTGGACCTGATAGATATCATGCACGTGTCGCGTAGTCCCATATACATCTTTCTGTGTACAGTGCTTGTAACTTTACCAAGACTAGGCCAAATTTCTTATCATTTTGATGATTCCAGAACCTTGCAGTACACACCAACACTTATGCTAGATGATAAACCTTTTCTGATTGATTCCACAACGTTTCTTTCACAATTCGATCGCATGACCATAACTGGTCTTTATCTTTAATTTAACTCTGTGATACATTGTGCAATGGTATTGGGTAATGGTACTATGTAATGACTCGTGAACACAGTTGATCTTGCTCAATTCCAATATTGTGCAAGACCAAAAAATAAATGTTTTCAGAGATATTGACCGACTCATTACAATTATGAACAAAGCTCTAACTTCATACATGTATGTTCCTTTTGTTGTTACATTTCAATAGTCGGAATGGGAATTGCATACATTACGCATTGTTAAGTAGGACAATCCATAATGCTTGTCCGACCTAGCAACAATTAATATATGCAAATTGCATTCTGATCATTGAAATGCAATTATTTATAACAGGTGAATTAAATCATTTGAAACATGGCACTTAAAGATTTATCCCTTAAATTAGATTATATTACAAAAATGGGCTATTATAAGCATACCAAAACAATGTACAGTATAATTAGGAGCGTTTTGGGAATAATACCAGAAAAGAAAAATTAAATCAAGGGCAAAAAAGAGTATTCCCATAGTATTCTACAGCTTCTACTGTTGACCTGTGATGTGAATAATTGGAATCCCAGGCCAGGAGTAAGCGGACAACATCTGTGCCATTGCGTGGCATCTCAGCCCACCATGTGCTAGTCTATTTGCTTCATTGCACACAATAGTCGAATGGACATTACGCATTCGAGCTTTGTCAGAAAACTGTACAATGATATTACTCTGTTTGTAAAAAGAATGATTTAGACTTTCAGATGGTAGGATCAAATTGCTGATGTTTGTATTAATATCTTTCATAACAAAACGTCATGATCTTTTGATCCCATACATTGGGAGACAAACGAATGTCACTAACAATATTATTTTTGATAATATCCTTATTCTTCATTGTTCTCTCAAAAAAAGAAAAGTTTAATTGAGCGTCAATTTATTTGTAACAAGACCGTGATCATTTGATTTTCCCTTTTTGTTGATGTTCTTTATGGACCTCAACTAAATACATGTATCAATCAAATTTCAATTTATTTGTGCACATAATTCTTTTCTTCAGAATTTATAAAGTGTCATGTATTGCACTGTTATTTTACCCTTCTGTTTAGATCCTATCACTTCTTCTTGTAACTTATTTTTGTACTACAGTATGTGTATAGTTGGTGGTCTCTTCTTCGATGTGTTCCATTCCGTTGGCATTTTCAGTTTTTCACAGCAAGAAATTTTTAACAAACTACAAATCTTTTAATTTTGTAGCACTTGAATGTGGACCACTTATGCAAATATGCAAAAGTTTACAGTTTAACAGTTTTTGCTTAAAGTCTGTATATAAATTTAGCAGGATTAATGACTTGCCTTCCAATCATGAATTAAAATGTTCTATGTCTGTTTATTTTTCCCATGCACAGGTGTTGGTAAATCATGCCTCCTCCTACAGTTCACCGACAAACGATTCCAGCCAGTCCACGATCTTACAATAGGTAAGATAATTATTATTTGAGGCCCACCTTTCTAATAATTTACTGTTAACAACTCAGTTAATCATACCCTTACCAATTTTTTTTTTTTAGGTGTGTGAAAAATAGATTTGTCCTGATTTCTTGAGATTATGTCATATTAAAGGTAACATCTGAAATTATTTATCAAAAGGCCCTACATGTAATTCAATCGGTCCATCTTTCATTCTTGACTGAAGAAAAACACAAAAACATCAAATTTACAAGGGATATGAATGATTTAGTTGTTAAGTGTACATATTGTTAAGTAAAAAATACAGCCTACTATTGGTCAAAGAGACTCCTTGGCATTATCAATGAGATCATAGGACTAGTGTTGTAGCTCAGAACCAGAATCGTTTTCAGAGTTGCGGGGACTGAAGTTTTGCGCAGAGCCAGACACAAACAGACTAAAAATCAAGAATAATGTCAACTTGGTAGTAGTCCGGGTAGAGAACAGTTGTGAGAAAGCTTATTTTCTGTCATCAATACCGGTATTTATACCTAGGAAGTGTATTTTTCTACTATATTTACAGTCCTGTCTACAGTCTTAAGTATTGTAATATGTGTTGCAAAGCCCTCTAGTGGAAAAAACATTCACAGGTGTTAATATCTTAATGATGAAATTAATTGTGTTCCTTAACGAGTATTGGGACCAGTCTGGAACGTGGTAGGGATTTTTGTAGAAATTAATGAGCCAGACCAGCTTCAGCACTACAGTGTAGGTGGGACTTCCATACTTAATATACTACACCCATAACTTATAGTAATCAATTCCTTCAGGCTTTAACACATCTACTGCAATAGACCTACTATTATCGAATGAATGATTAAAGGGACAGTTTATTTTATATTTATGGGGGCAGGTGGGTCCCGCCGTTTAATTGTTGAGATACCAATTGATTAGGATTTGCTTTTAGAATTTCATGCATTTTCAATGATAAAACCAGTCCAAGTTATTTCGGGAATAATATTCAACAGCTCAAGTACCGGTATAACAAAAAAAAGAGCAATTTCTGTATAATATTCGGTACATGCCTAGTAGAGAAGTCTATTCTTGAATGGAAATACATGTACTCACATTTTTTTTTAAAGTGAAACAAAAGCTTCTATGATAATTGTTTCTTTTTAAGTGGGTATAGAAGATCAGACGTGTAATACACCATAAATATGAAAAATACTAAATATAAAAAAAATGATGTTGGTAACTTGGAATGTTTACATGTAAATGGACAAATGTCTTGACATTCTAGGAAAACCTTGATGTACAGCGTGTCCCAGGAAGAAAGAAAAAACACCCAAACAAACGGATATCATGAAAACACTATCAGCTTTATGAATATGATTCCTTGCTTGTCATAAAGTAGAAGTAATCTGCTTTCAAATGATACATTGATTACATTAATCCACACACGCTTCACTGAGCAACATTGTTTTGAAAATGTCAAAATCCATTTGCGCCAGATTTGAGTGTTACGGTGAACATGATTGAAAATGTTGGTATCACATGAACATGACCGAACATGACATGAAGGAAAGTAGGAAATCTAAACTTTCAAACCAAGTGAGAAGATTGTTTTAATGTGCTTCAATAATGAGGGCAACATTATTGCCATCTTCATAAAATAAAGGATAGTGGTGTTATTATCCATTGTAAAAGTTTAAAGGGCATAGTCTGTACTTAAATAAGTCTGCAATCTTTATGAACAGTGATTTCAGCATTTTTTTTAGAACTGCAGCTTTAAAAAGCAAAGCAGCAAATCTGGTGATATTTTCACAATAATCAAAGTAAGGGGCACTTTTTTTGATAATGGGGAAAGGACTATGGTCTTACACATACATGTAAGGCAGAAAATAAACCATTAGAATATGTAATTTTTCTCTCACGATGGGCATCATTTTAAATCAATAATAGGGTACTTTTTCCATTGCTCGGGGGATATTTATTAATTTTTGGAAAACTTAAGGTTGTCATCCCGGAAATGGGTATTCACCTATATTTTTTAGTAACTGTTTAGATTTAAATGCACATCATCACACAAAGGAAATCTTGCATACAAAATGCGGTTACCGTAATACAACCTCAATTATTGTAATCATCTTTTGAAACTTAAATTTTCATAATGCTACATGTATGTGTACATGTGATGCTAACTTTTGACTGTGTTACCAAATGCTTTTTACAGCTCATCGTTTTCCCACAATGTGTTTTCAGGTTTCATATTTTCTAGGACGCATTTTACAGACTGAAGATTTACATGTACAGTATTTGCAAACACATTTTTAAAAATAAATTATGCATTGAGCAAATTCCCTTTCTTTTGTCATCTAGGTGTTGAATTTGGTGCACGGATGATCAATATTGATGGCAAACAAATCAAGTTACAGATATGGGATACAGTAAGTATTTACACAAAATGTTATTTCGTTATTTTTCGTAAAATGAAAGTATTTCCTCATCGGTAGAGTTTCCTGGTAGAAATGGGGCTTTTCTTTTTGTTATAAGTGATGAAAATTTCAGTTGATAATGATAGACAGCTAAGACAGGATATCCAACCTTCATATTTGAATACAATTCTTCTTTTTTTTAAATGTTTTTATTTATGTTTACTATTGATGTACAGTATGATTTTTGGTGTACAAATTCGTAATATATATACATGGAATAATTTGATGATGATAATAATAATAATAAAGATAGATTTATTGAGCGCATAATAAACCGAAGTTTCTCTATGCGCTTTACAGTAATACAGTAATTATAGCATATAATAATAAATTCTCTATGTAATTTTACAGAGTTTTTGTAACATTTTTGTACCACAAGTATGAATAATCAAAGAGACATGCAATCATAGGGTGTATATCTCTCTGTAAAGTGTTTAGAGACATCGTTGATGTAATAAGTGCTATATAAACCCAGAATATTGTTATTATTACATGAAAGTAATACATTCAAGGAGTAAACTAGAATTGAATAGCATTGTAAAACACCTGTATGCCCGCTTTTCAACAGGAAATTGTTTAAACTATGTTTTCATTGAATGAGATGGTAATTACAGGATCTGGGGATCGAATTGGAGGATCAAAGCAAGATTAAAGATTGAAAGTATGCGTTTTCCAGTTTCAGTTTTTGTCAAATCTTATTTTTTTCTTCTTCTTTTTCTTCTTGTTATAGGCTGGTCAAGAATCCTTCCGATCCATCACAAGGTCTTATTACAGAGGTGCAGCAGGAGCTCTCTTGGTATATGATATCACTAGGTAAGCAAACATATTCTCTTTATAATATGAAACAGTCAAACCTGGCTTAGTGGACACCTCTCTATAAGGGCCACCTGTCTATAGTAACTGTGTGTTTTGCATCCCTCAAGAGAGAAATGTGTGTTGTAGAACCTGTCTACAAAGGCCACCTGTCTATAGTGACCGCTTATATCTGTTTCCCTGGAATGGCCTTAATAGGCAGGTCTGTGTGTAAAAGCAGATTTTGATAGAATCCATGTCAGATTGTCTTTCGTTATGCATTTGTGACTGTTGTAACATTCATAAAAAATGTTTTATCTGTATTCAGCACGCTAATTTTGTTTGGTAATTACATTCTTTAAAAAACTATGGTCATTAGAATGACAAAAGTTCTTTTAGAATTCAATTGAAGAAAATTAAGGGGCTACAGAAGGAACATTTTGTATAATTGATTAAAAAGGGCAAAAAAAACACACAGCACTTTCATAATTTTTTGTTGAGGGGTGGGGGGGGGGGCAATGCCAATGGTTTCCTCAACATTATTTTTCATTCCAAACATCCCCTTCCCCCAACAACAAAACAAAATAAGGAAAGAAATAGCGTACAGATACAGCAATGTTTTCCAAGAGAAATTTATCACTGATCTGTACTTGTAACCTTGTTTCTTTGCAGGCGAGACACATTCAATCACTTGACGACATGGCTAGAGGACGCTCGCCAACATTCAAGTTCAAACATGGTCATTATGCTAATTGGTAACAAGAGGTAAGTAGAAGGGAGAGGAAAGAGGTAAAGATTTAAAGACAATAGAGTCACACTTTCTTTGAAGTTGTCTCTTCAATAGACGCCACCTGTCTATAGTGGTCGCCTATATTGTCTCATGCTAGGGAGGAATTTGTATTTAGAACCTGTCTAAGTAGGCCACCTGTCTGTAGAGGTCACCTAGGATTAAATATGAGATAAAAAAAACCTATTGAGAAAGCCCACCTGTACACAGTGGGGTATTGTTGTTTGTCTCCTCCATGCGGTCTTTATAGACAGGTGTAAGTGCACGTGTAGAGTTCTGTATTTTGAAATAGATTAGACAGGGCCCCTGTTCATCAACAAAATAAATGATTCAACTGCTTGAACTGGGAGATACAAAGCGGCATATCCTATTTTATCATCCTTGAATACATACAAACTTAAAGTGTTGCAGTATAAGCCAGTTCATAGTTGCAGTCTGAGCATGAGCAGATAAAGGTCATTGCAGACCAAATTGTGAAATACACAGAGACAAAATACTGGATACGTGCTCATGAAAGTTATGTAATCATTATTAATTCATGCACAAGCAGTGCACTCCATGATACACAGGTGGAAGTATTCTTTGAAAAGGGGAAACAAACTAAGGCTATTTATGTAGCACCTCCATCGCTCAAGGAGGGATCCTTTCAAAATGTACTAAAGATGAAACACAATTTGTGAGCTTTCTCATTTATTGAGTGTCACACCCTTTAGAAGAATGTCATGGTAGAAATGGCCCTTGAAAATTCTTGCCCTTCAAATGCCCTAATATTTGAACGGTGACGAGAAACATCTGAAAAGTTTGGACAAACATTTGTGTTTATTCCCGTATTCCCGATTATTCAGCACATGTATTTTTCAGGAAGATAGAGTCACTTTCTTCTCATTTGATCATTCTAAAACGTCACAATATACATTATGCATTTCATAATCGACCTTTCCCCCAAGTGCTACCACAGGTTTCTTTCACAATGTGAGCACATGACCAGCCAGTACTCAACTAACCTTTGAAGGGATTGGCTATCTTTGCCTCAGATTTTAAAAAAAATGCTTGATTTAGCTCATGCTGCAATCATAATTATAAACATTTAGGTCAGTCAGGAATCCAATGACTTTTACAAGCCGATTGCCTGTCTGATTATCAAGATATTTATGATTGGAATTAGAAATTTGAAAACCGTTTTCCCAACAGTTTTTCATAACACTACACTCTATTGGGGAAAATGATTATGTTAAAACCAGTCACTCGAAGATTTTTTTTTGAAGCACTTCATGTTCATTTTGAAGCGCAATTTTTTTTCTCAATATTACACCATATCACAGATACTGATAACACGTAGGGCCATGCATCTCAGATTTAACATTGCTAAACGATGCCTTAAATACCCACAAACCTTTCTTGCCCACCCGCAGTGATCTGGAAGCGAGACGAGACGTCAAGAAGGAAGAGGGCGAGGCCTTTGCCAGGGAACACGGTCTTATCTTCATGGAGACCTCGGCCAAGACGGCCGCTAACGTTGAGGAAGCCTTCATCAACACTGCCAAGGAGATCTATCAAAAGATCCAGGAAGGCGTCTTTGACATCAACAATGAGGTAACCATTTATTTCTAGGGCGTAGCCAAGTTTAAAGAGGTCCCATTGTAGAATTTAGTGGTGGAAGGGGGGAGGGGAAGAGGTGTTATGAAATGTTAGCTGTTTACATTTGAGTGTTAGTGAGTGCCAAGGAGAGCTATAAAAAAATTCAGGAAGGTGTCTTTGACATCAACAATGAGGTGACCACTTATTTCTATGGCGTAGCCACGTAGGGGTTCAATCTTAGAATTGAGTGGGGGTGGAGGAAGGGGGGGGGGACGTAAGAAATGTTAGGTGTTTACATTTGAGTGTTAGTGAGTGCCAAGGAGATCTATCAAAAGATCCAGGAAGGTGTCTTTGACATTAGCAATGAGGTAATCACTTATTTTCTATGGCGTAGCCTAGTAATAGGTCCCATTGTAGAATTTAGTGGGGGGGGGGGGGAGGAATGAATATTAGGTATTTTCATTTGAGTTTTAGTAAGTGCCAAGGATATCTATCAAAAGATTCAGGAAGGTGTCTTTGACAGTAGCAATGAGGTAATCGCCTCTTCCGGGAGATGTGACCACTGGCAAGTAGGAGGTCCCGATTAACAATTTAGTGTTGGGGGGGGGGGGGGGTATGAATATTTGAGAAGTAGGTGTCATGGAAATTAAATGGAATTTTATAGCATGATATGGTGCATGCACACAGGTGATCCTTCAGAAAATACCACTCTTTGAAATTGGCAACACTCTGTTTATGTAGCATTTCTTTAAAACATACTCTGTAAATCATGATTGATGTTAGAATTAATATCACGATTGGATGTGCTTCCATTGATATCGGAGGGGGGCGGGGGGAAAGGGAACCTTTCTTTATGGATAAGATGGTTTATGAATCCAATTACTATTGATTTCTTTTCCTAAACCCTATCCAATGTTGTTGTTTTTCAATTTTCTTCAGTCATTAGTACAAATATTGAAGGCCGTTTATGAACTGTTGTATTTCTGTGAAATAGTAACCCTATCGATTTGTACTATCGTTTGATCTTCATACACAGGCTAATGGAATCAAACTTGGGCCTCAGCATAATACAGTCAACCCAGCACAACCCTCGGGTGATAGGGGGCAACAAGGCGGCCAGGGCTGCTGCTAATCTACCCCCCTTTGGTTGCAAACTGATGCCCTTCCGCTATCTGGAGCCCCCCTCTCCATCTAGTATATTTTCAGCCCCCAGCCCTTGCCCGCTAGCGTTCTGCCTTTGTCCGCCCCCATCAATATCCGCGTATCCTCTCTTCCTAGTCTATCTGTGAGTGTAGATAAACCTTTTAGGGCAACTTTGTACCCCTTATCTGGATTCAGCCCCCCTCTAGTTGATCTCCTACTACCCCCCAACCATTCCTCGTATGTGCCCCTTTGTACTACACATGTTAGGTACCTGTCCTAGGTAGGCCAAGCAACCCCTCCCCCTTGCCCTAAGCACCCATTCCTCGCGCCCCTGACTGTCATGTTCATCGACTCTCTGTCTGCATGTCCACCAACTGCAAGCACAACTGCATTCGATAGGTCGGTATGTGTCTGCACAGGGCACTGTAATACTGTGGTATATTACATATCACAGTGTATATTGCAGTGTATATTTCATGTAGATTACATAAACATGGTAACAGTGATCTGTTGTATATGACATGCTTTATCATGATATTGTGTTAGGATGAGGGGAAGGGATAGTTTGATAGATAAATAAATAAATATATATATATATATATATTATATATATATATATAGCCATGAGGGGTCCTTACGGAATACTCTTTGGGGGGCATGATGTCATTCTTCTGTAAATAGCCATGTACTTGTGGATATTATAGTCAAGTGGTCTGGTAATAATGTGCATTTCTTGAAAATTTTAACTAGATTCTTTTTGTAGCATGATAAAAATGTCTGTTTTATGTGATCACATTTGAAACGCCCCCATTCGTAAAGGAATTTGGGCGTAAAGCCATTTTGTAGTATTAATAATATACAAATTTATTGAATTATTATTTGAAATGATGGTATCTAATATCATTTCAGACTTGTCAGTCAGGTAAAACTAATTTGAAGAAAAAAAATCTTGTGCAAGGACTGAAATCTATATAAAAGTACACCTCTAAGATACATTGTGGTTTATGTATTCAATTTGAATTATTTTGCAATATATAGATTTGGAGGAAGCAAATAAGAATTAAAGCCTGCTATTAAATGAGATATATTAAGAAATGGTGTATAAAATCCCATATTGTCTTCTCTGCATTTCAAATACAGAATACTAAACCTAGTTTTTCTTTTAATCCCTTGTTTTGTTTACTTTGAAACAAACTTTCAATTGCCAAATAATCATGATTATTTACAAGTGTCACTTACAAGTGTCACAAGTGTAATATTTAAGATTGTAGACTATCTTGTATCTGACTACAGAGAAAGGAGCGGAATAACCAAAGTGTTTTGTATCAGCAAGGTGTCATGCAATTAAAATTATGTTATACAGGAGACGGTTAACCAATGGTTTGATTTTAAATAGGGATTGAAATGCTTTTTTTTTAGTGAGAGGTGAAGAGGTTTATAGATGATTATAGATGATTTAAAGAAAAAAAATAATTAATTTAACTATGAGACTTATCATCATGCATTCCATATAGAGAGTCTCAAAATTAAGATAAATTATATATTATTCTTTAAATATTAATGTCTCTTTCACACAAGCTTTGTGATTTTTTTTGTTATTTGTTTTAGCTTTGGCTGATAGTTCAATGGTAGCAATGGAAAGGAAGTACTGACGATTCCATAGTGGAAGAAAAAAAAGGACAGTTTGACATTTTCTTGCCCACTGACCACACAAATAATTGATGGGGGAAAAAAAAGAGATGGAAAAAAAAGGTCTTGTGAAAGGAATATTAATTGATGGTTGTTGATTTCTCATTTTTAGGGTAAGATATATAGAAGTTTGGCATATGTTATCAGAACATCTTTGTTTCTGTTACGACATGCACCATATTTCCATTGATTTCGCCTCAAAATGATGAATGTCTACAAGTGACCATTGATTAATATGGCACTTGGTGATGCCTTGAGATGACCCCAAACAAAACTTTATTAATTACTTGTATGATTAGCCGGCATGAAAATGTAGTAGTAATGTCCATTTTTCTCTATAACTATGGAATCTCAGATAATTTGATCGATAGTATGTAGCATGGATGTTTATGTGTTATATTTATTAAATTATTATGTTAATGGATTGAGGTAGGGAAAAAGCATTATCTGGTTATTGTGAATGATCAAACAGATTATCGTTTCTTCAAAGTTGAGAAAAAACAGGGAGCAACCTCCTCTAAATTGACAAAGAGTAACCAGCTCGTCTCGTTAGAGCATAAGAAATATATGGATCAATGTTTGGGTAGTTTAGTATTGGAAGGCAGTATTTTTCACTTTGACTTGGTGATAATTAGACTTTTAGGGTTCTATATAAAAACAAAGTATTGAGAAATCTCAATGTCGGCAGAGTTTGTCACGTGAGCCTAATCTTTGTGCAATGTATGTGCAGCTTAACGGCCAAGGTAGCTTTTGGACGTATCGTTTGAGTAGCTTCAAAGGCATGGTGGACCAAACAGAAATGATGCAGTGACAACGTTTATCTCATTCTGATTAAGGTAGCAAGGTATACTGGACTCGTCAAGAATTAAGTTTAGCCCAAAATAAGTAAAGGGACAGTAACGAACCAGTACTTAATGCAGCATGCTTTGTCTTTGTGTGTTATGGTGTCTGATGGTATAGGGTGTATCATAAAAACAATTAGAGAAACACCATGAATATTCATTATTTCTTATTCCAATCTAAGGCCTTATGTGGATGTATATCATTGTTATGGAATTAACCCCTTTGCCATTTATATCGCGCTCCTATTTGATATGATATTCCACCCTTGGCATGCTAGGAATTTGTATATATGTCGCCCTTAAACCGATGCAGGTTCCTTTGCCATCACCACTGTTTAGACCATTATGCAATGCCCCAGCCCCTTTGGTAAAACCCAACTTGAGAGAGAGAGAGAGAGAGAGCCATTAGCTGTATCATCAACTGGCCATGCACTTTCTCTCTAGTTCATAACTATGTAGCTCATATTGTAAGGAATTTGATTTATGGAGGTGTAACATCTAATGTAGTTTGTACATACACACTAAGTTATACACATGCAAGTTTATTTTTAAAATGTACACTGTATAATGTTGTCTTGGTTATTGGTCGAAATGGAAAAGTCTTGCATATTTTTAGTGTGAAAAAATTGTTCATTGTACGTGTTAGTTGGTGTTACCAATCGAGAAAAATAAACGAAACAAGTTTCTTTCCTGATCTAATTATACATCAGAGACTCGTAGAAACAATATTCAGGCAACCTAGATTTTAAAACCAGTAATCTCACTTCTCATTATAAAGTAAAGACTGGTTCGTCAATTGCAGTCCAAAATTTCTCAACAATTTTGCAGCATTCTACGTACAGTAGTCATTATCTTTGGGTTATTTCCCCATCATTGTCAGATTTTGTTGTGCTACAATAAATTTGTGTAATATTGTCTTTGTTAACTTTAAACAAACCTTAAGAGTGGGCTGCATTACTCGAGCTCATAGTCAAAGTGGCGTAACTACCTTTCTCCAAAAAAAAAGAAAAGATAATAAAACATATGTATCCTTATGAAACTGTTAATACCAACTTTTCATCTGGTTTTTGTCAACCATAGTGAATTCAGATTTTTGTTTTCCCAGTTGAGAAAGGCATACATATATATAGGTGCAATTATAAAAGAAGTATTATTCCTGTTTTCTTTCTTCATCACTTATTTGTATATGCCACCTGGGCAGAGTAGATATATACTTTTTAAAGATCAATGTTTTGTTATTGGAATTTAATAGGCTTTTGTTTATCAATCCAGCGTACTTATGCTCCAAGATGTATATTATATGGGTGAATACTTGCATTTATTATGAAAATGAGGTCAGTTTAAAGAGTAATTGTCTTAATCTAATTCTGTCTTTGATCTAAGCTCTTTCTCAGATACATTAGAATAGTGAACATGAAGATATCATAGACAATTCTTCTTTGCTTTCAAGTTTCTCATTTTATGCTCCTCAGATCCGGGTTAAACTGCACAAATTTATATCAGATTTCAAAAGCTTTATATGCATATTCTGTACTGGACTACAAACTACTATATTGTACATGTAAATATTGATATATGTCAACATATTTCTACGCCATATAATCTGGCTCTCTCATAGTTTATACCCGTTGGCCTCTATCCGCCACAAAAGACCCAAATTTCCTGCCAGATTCGTAGAAACAGGCCAAGTTAAAACTGGGCACTGTTCCATAAAAGTTGTGATCAAGAACAAAATGCTACAATTGTTGATAAGCTACTGAAATCCTTGCGTTTTAATGGCTATGAGCAGATATGTGATAGAATTGTAGCACTTGTTATTGATAACAAGTTTTAAGAACCCGGGCCCCGATTTAATTCCGGTTTAGCATAGTGCGCCAACTTGCGTAGTGCAAAGTGTTAATATTTCCCCTGTAGAAGTTACTGCAATTCTGTAATTCTAAATTGATAAGCTCCGTAAATCCAGTCATGAAATGAAAATGAGAAATTGATTTCACAACACGTTTTTTTGTTTGTAAATATTATTACAGATTAACAGTAAATTTCACCTGATGAAGAGGTCGACACTTGGTGTTTCTTAAATAGGTGGACTAACATCAAATCATAATCTCTTGTGACATGAAACTTCCTAGATTTGCCAACAAGTGGTTTTTCAAACCAAGAAACATTCGCAAATTGAACCCCAAAACAATCGTTATGATTCAATTACTTTGTGAACCACTGGTGAAATTAATGAACATTTCATGGGCATGAAAGTTTCGGGTTTTTCCGGTAACTTAACCCTCTGGCCTCTTTAAAACGGTATTAAAGTTGGGACACTTTTTGTGAATACTGGACTGGATTATTTCAACCTCACTTCTTGAAAGTACTTTGCTGCTAGCCTGACCATGCTATATTGTTTCTAGTGATTAGATAGATGTATGCATTTTGATTCATTCTATGTATTTTCTCTGTATATCTGATCTGATTAACGATGATTGTGGCATGGAAGATGATTAAAATTGGTCACCAAAACCAGATATGTTAAAAAAAAGAAAAAATCTCCTGTGCAATAAGTTTTGGAATCTTTGATTGATACGTCGGTTGAATGTAATTTGCATTATAATGGTAGTACATGTATTTCGCATGTTGAAGTGTAGTGGACAGCACAATAGCCTAGAAGAACTGATTAATATGTTTTCAAAGAATTATGATTTGAGAGTAAGAAGGGCGGTTATTCTGAGTTCATGCCCTACTGGCTCTGAGCATACAATAAGTGAAGTTTCAAAAGAAAAACCAAATGAAAACTAAAAAGAAACAAAATTGAAAATATAATGATCACTTACAACTTTTGTACGCTTATATCCTTTTCCATATTTCAAAATAAGTGAATCTATCCCCACAGAACTTTTCACATTCGAAATGGATCTTTGTCAAAAAAGATCTTTTGAAAAATGGGCTGTTTATGTATCGTTTTTATATTTCTAATCTGTTTACAAATTTTGAAACCCTATCATTAAGATATAACTTTGTGTCATTCAGAGTTCTGACATTTATGTTTGTCAATACAACACCATTTCAAGTACTGCCCTGGTAGACAAAACTATTCTCATCATCCAACAATTTAAAAGCCAGATAAGACACATTCAAAATCAGACAAGTGAAGACAATTCAATTTTATTGCAAGAAACATTTCGTAAATATTGACATGTATAGTTTGCATAGCTGAGGATGATGCATTGTCAAAGATAATGCATCTCACATTTGAAAAAAATATAGTCGACTGTTTCAGTTTTCAAATAGAAAAGGTAGAACATTTTAATTGGGCATACAAAACTAGAGTATGTAAAATGTATGTAATATCAGAGCACTAAATGCAAAACCCCTTTTGCACTAAGAACAGTTGTATGTATAAACATTGGGAAGAAAATGCACACATTTTTTCAAAGAATGTTTGTTTCATAAAAACTACATTATCATGTACAAATATGTACATGTATAAATTAAGATGAAGTCAAAAAGAGAAATTCAACAAACATAAAACAATCTTAAATTGGTATATATAAACAATATCTCAAAAGACTAATGTTAAGACAATAACTTTGAAAATAATTATCACCATGCAGAAATAGTATTGTAATTACATTAAAAATTACTTAAATACAATTTTATTCACTTCCAGAGAAGTGCAGAAATGAACCAAATCATTCTAGTCACCTTTACTCTTTTGAACAATAGTTAAATCAGACAAAATATCATATCTGTACAATAAGTTTGACCTTATATTTTGTAATATTATGAAGATACTTCTGCTGGAAGGAAAGAGTTGAAATTGATAACATGTTTCCCACGCACCTATTCCATTACAGAAATAATGTAAACAGAAATATGCACCAACCAATTACATTACAAGAGCTCTTTTAGAAGAGTGCCGATTCAATTTCACTTAATTCTCCTTTTCTGCCAACGAGGAGCAGGGTTTCACACTTGAGGTAATAGTTTGTGTGTGATTGGTCATAAAATAAAAATGAAAGTTATGAACACAATTGCAATACAATGCTACCATGGATAGACCACTTGCTAATAACATCCTTTCCTACTAGTACATGTACTAATGGTGACAAGTTTATAAAAAAAAAATCTTGTTTTCATATTATGGTACATATATATGTTTTCGTTGACGTTATTTCTACTGTGGTGACAAGTTTGAGGAGTAAGAGGACACATACGAACAACACATGAAATGTAAAACACACATGAAATGTGTTGATGACTACTAGTCATGTCGAGTGCACTCAATTCAGAAGGATTTACCTGTATCAGTCAAATGAGTATTATGAGTGGCTTGACAGAAAAATATCAAAGCATAGAAAGTAAAGGCATGAAATGAAACACATTTTCTTTTGATCTTGATAAAGACGTGTAATGATGGTCAAGCATAACAAAGAAAGGGTAGATACATATAAGAAGTTTTGATGATCTACTGCTTTCAACCTTCTGTGGTATAAAGCAAGTGCTGTGACTTTTGGGCATATCTCTCTACCCTGTCCCTTTCGTTGTCGCAATTGTTCCACACAAATCGACAGTGAGCTAGCCGGGGAGATGGGGAATCGTCCCCCTCTTCAACCAGGGCGGAATATGAGTGATGAGCCTCCTTCAATTCTTGTTTCACCACAACCTTCTTGAAGTTCTCTTTTGGGACGTCTTCTTCTTCATCTTTGTCGCCATGATTACAGAGAGTAGGGCTGGTATAGTTGGCATGAGGGCTACAGATAGCAGGAGAGCCTGGGTGATATGCCACTGTGTAAATGAGAAAGAGACAAATAATTAAAAAAATTATTAAGCTATCATATTTCATTTCTTTTAACTAAGTTCCAACATTGAACCTTTTGACCAAGAAATATCTTTTTCAGTATAAAGTTTAATCAGATACTTGTGCATTAATTTAGTTGATTTTCATTTATCATATCAATTTTCTATAGAAAATCATTTAATGTTATAATAAATTGTTATAATTGGCTATAAAGTTAGAGTATAATTGGATATGATTAAAATGGATTGGAATACAATTGGATGATTGTTTTCATGCATTTCATTAAACAGAATTTAAACCAGAATCAAATAAAAACTTGATCAATTTCTCTAAAGAAAATATTTAATCATAGACATACATTATCTGTGACCTGCAATTATTACTGAGTACATCCCAGTCCCCCTTTATGAATTCCTTTAACAAAAAAAGAAAAGGGATACTTCTTAACACAAAACAAATGGAGTGGCTGCTCCCAAGTTAGTCATAGAGTTGCCCATTTGTCTTGAAATTACATTTTTTTTTTAAATATCCTCTGCATCAGACCATCCCCAATCATCCTATCACTAACCTGTTTCTGTCGATTTTCATTTTACTAAAAATCAACTTGGTTATATTAGGATACATTTCCTACATTTAATCAAAAGTAAACCAGAAAAGTATAATTACTTGACATCATATTTTCTGGAGGAACAGCAGAAGCAGGACTACATGACAGGTAAGGTGCTAATGGGTAGCCACTCATGTAGGGGACTGACTGAGCAGAAGGGTAGTCCAGGACCTGCTGATACCCATAGATTTCTGATTCCTGCCCGACAGGCCTTGTACAGCAACTAGACCCTAATACCGGAGACCAAAAGGATGTGCTTGATGTCTGATTGGTGTTTAAATGATCTGTGGAAGAAAACAGAAAGCAGAGAAGAAAGAGATAAAACTTTCATGCATTCATTAAAATTCACTCCTCTTCATGATTACTTATACTAACTCATAATCATATCTGCATGTAGGTAAATATCTTTGGTTAAATGATACTATCTATTCTTATACAGACTATTAAACTAAGCTTTGGTAAGCATACCCTCAATATTAAGATCAGAACAAATAAAATTACAAAGTTTCAAGAAAACAAATCAGTTGCTTAAATGAATGTGCATTTAGAAATCTATACTAGGTCTGTTATCTGCCATAGGGTCTATATCTAGGCCTATCAAGAGCCAAGCCTTTTCGTCTAAATTCTACTTATAAAAAAAAAGTTACTTTAAAGGCACACTGTCCTACTTGTAGCTACTTGCTCCCTCTATGTAGAAAACTTCCCAAATCGGTGCCTGTTGGTCCCCCATGATCCTCTTTTTCTTATGTTAAATGAGAGCTGAGTTAATGAGATAGCCACCTGTCACAGTGACCTCGCTGGCTCACTGGGTGGTCTAATCCCTTCTATCTAGCTGAAGTAGTAAAGCCTCCCTTTAACAAAAATTGTGAAAATAAAAGACCTAAGGCAGCCTAAGGACCAAAATATTTTTCAAAGTTCCTTGCTTTTGAACCTACCTAAAGGAGGGGATTCTGGATAGGGTCTGGGAGGTACTCCTAAGTTTGGGCTTCGCTGGACAACCATGAACTTCTGCAATCGTCCACGGGCATCATAGACACTCGATGGAAATCCCGTCTCTGCTTTTGAAATGAGCTTAGAACTAGAAGAAGATTGCGAACAAGGGCTGCTTTCATTTGACGTGTCTCCTTTGACATGAGAATTCTGACCTTGACCCCAGAGTACCTTGGCACTGGATTTTGTCAACAAAGCAGAAGAACTTGGTGATTCCTCTGCAAGATCATCAGCATCAGAATAATCTGATTCTGAATCTGAATTATAATACGACGGCATGTGACTAGGTTTGGTTTGGTTCACAAAATGTTGCTGTGCTGCAGATTCTATCGTCAAAGATGGTGGGTAGACATACGACGTGGATGGAACTGTTGTCTGTGCAGGTCCAGTGGTGATGAACGACGCTGGTGCCGCATTCTGTCCACATCTACCTAAGATCCGGAAGGTGTTTCCGTTCTGCCCGTAGAAAGCGGTCTCGACTTGGCCGAAACCGGGACGTCGCTTGTTGGCAGAACTGGTGCGCCTAACTCTAGGAAGGAGATCGGGGCGGTGCTGGAGAAAAAAGTTGTGAGCAAAACAGTGAAGTGGATTGGAATAAGAACCGCGTTTCATGCTCGTCTTGTATTCAGTGAATTTGGAACTTGAGGTGGTGGCAATTTTCCGAAATCCGTAGAGATTGAGCTGACGTACAAAACTGGAGAAATTTTGGGTCTTGAAGACGCTGTATTCGCCTATCCGGAGCACTTCTTCTTTAAAATGGTGCGCATCGACAACAATGATGGTGCCACAACTGCTCCATTGGATGGACTGGTAGTTAGAGTCATTCACCAACTTCCAAAGCTTTCCTGGAAAAGCATTCACATTGATGGGGCACGATAAATATTTATCGGAGCAGTTAACCCGGGGTATCTTCAGTGACATTTTTTCTTCTTTGCCGTCTCTATTTTAGTGAAATTTGCTGAAAATATAGTGATAGCTAGCACTTCCTTGTTTATTAGTAGCTCCCTTCTTTCGATGTTAATTCCTAAAATCAGCTGATTTCGATTCTTAATCGATTCGATGCATTTACTCGACGTACGCGCGCGCATGTACTGCGCCTACACTGCGTACATTGCGTACTTAGTGCATGTTGCGTGCGTTATATCCAATGCGCGTACTCGTACGCTTCCATATAGAACATAATTCGAATGAACTGCAAGCAGCTAGCTAGCTGTGTACTTTGCGTATGGTTGGTGGTGGGGGGGGGGGGGGGGGGGTCGGAGGAGGTGGTGTATGTATAGGCGATGTAATTATATCAATTAATTATAGATGTGTGATGGGGGGGGGGGGGTGTCCTGGCGCTTATTATAAAAAATAAAGCCAAAACTTTTGCCTTCAGTGATGGATTTAACGAAGTGTTTCTATAAAAATTAGCTCTTACCATCATAAATATTTATCTTTTATATTATTGCCTAACATACGTCTTTATATTGCAATTTGCATGTAAACTTCTTCAAATTACAGTTTCAAATCAACTACCAGCAGGGGCGGCGATCCGGGGGGAGGGGGGACACGTCCCCCCTCAAAATTTGAAAAAGTACAACAAAATGTATAGCAAATACTGACTAAAGACTGCAATACACAGGCTCTGGAGGGTTTAGACAAATAAAAATGCAAAAATCTTTTCACCAGGTAGCTGCGCTCCCTTGTATAATATCCTTCAAAATGTACAAGTAAAAACCGAGAAAACCGGGAAATGTGAAAAAGTATATTGCTTGTTTTTATACTATAGTCTTGATAAGGGATGTAATTTTTTAATACAACCAAAACTTCAAAAACCTGTGAGGGGGTAGTCACTTCCGTCACCTTCACTTCTTTCATTCACTATGCTCCAAAACAAAAGAGGCAATTATCAGAGATAAAAAGGGGCACTTATTACAATGATAAAGGGAGCACCTTTCAAATTTCATAAGGGCTCTCGCCGGAGATGCAAAGATGCACTTAAAAAGTTAACGTTCAAGATAAAAGTGACACCCCTCAGATTTAAAAAGAGGCAATTAAAAGAGGTGAAGGGGCACTTGTCAAAGATGGTGAGTGTAATTTTTTTGTACCTGAAAAGAGGCACTCACCTCAGCTTAATAGGGGCACTTGTGATAACGCAAAGGGGCACGTATGAGATTTTAATAGAGTTTTTTATCAGACATGTGAGAAGGGGCACTTATCAGAAGGGGAAGGGCACTAAATTGTCAGTGAAAGTAAAATGGGCACCTCTCAGATTTGAATAGGGGCAATCATCATCGGCGAAGGGGGCACTTATCAGAGGTGGGGAACGGGCACTTATTATAAATAGATTGGGGGCACATTTTCTCAGTAAAAAGGGGCACTTTAGGGGTACTTGAAAATGTGAGGGGCACTGTGCACCACCTGCCCCCGGCTCCCCCGCCTCTGCAGTGGTTTCAGTGGATCATCATGTAAGTCGACTGATTTGTTTGCTTATAGATTATAAACGTATCGGCATAATAAAGGGTTTATTTTTAATCAACTGAATTTCAGCAAGCAACAATAGCTTTTATAATTCGAGCAACAGTCAATTATTAAAAGTGAAATTCTTCAGAGATGACGATTTAATTTGTATTTGTTTCTTTATGTAAATAAATATAAATATTTATTTATATATTCACTTATTATCTGTCTATTTATTTATTCATTTATTCATTTAGATTTATTAATGTTTGCAAGTCTTGTAGACGTCACCAGGTACATACTAATAAATGTTAATAATGATAATAAAATAATTTAAAAAATATGAATGATAATAAAATGATTATGACAATAATGTATTAAATTTGTTATAGTGCATGGTACTATACATTTCAATGGGGGAATATCGTGTATCACTTCTTAGTACACAGAACGCCATCCAAACGAATCCATTTTATTTTGTAATGTTTTTATTAGGAGGAGATGGGAGGGGTACTTTTTAAATGATTTAGTCCGTTTATTGTTTCTTTCTTTTCTTCCTCTTTTCTATTTGTTCTGCATATCCCTGGTAGAAACTAGTGGTTATAGGCATGGGCGTGAAGTACATAGTGAATTGTGCGTCATGATGATATTTAGCACTCGTTTTAAAAATAACAATTTCCTCACGAAATAGGCCTTGATCCAGGGCATGCGAGTTAAAGTCTCACCTCCCTGCTTGATCTATTACTTCTTTGTTGTTAGATGTTTACTGCACAGTACGACGTTTTGATGGTGTCATAATAATCAGTCGATGTCGTCATCTGTAGAGCGGTTTCCCATTGGATGACAATATCTTAGCCATGCCATGCATTTCGCAATGATGTATGAAAGATGTTCAGTGATTGGCGGTAGGCCATTAGCCTAATTATACAAATATTTACATTTGTCAAGATTTTAGTCATACAAATGTAAATTTGTCACTTTTTATTGCGTTAAATAGTAAAGATAAACCAAAACTTATTAATTTTCTATGATAAATGTTGCTAAAAAGTAAAATTTAAGATATATTTTATTTTTAGTAAATCTGTATCGTCCAATCATAACTCTTGCTTTAGGAATGAATTGCCCGAGCGATTATACAGGTACTTTGTGTGCAGTATGTGCACATTTACTGGCCAGCTTCCAGCAGTTATCGACTGTAAATTCCACTTTTCTTCAATGTCATGGTTGTAAGTAATGTCGTAGTATTAAGTGTGAGAACTATTGCATGCAATGGAATAATTTTGGACCCTATTGATTCACGTATTTTTGTGAAAAAGTATCACGAATGGTGAAATTTTCGGTTCATTTTTTGTTTCATCGTCAGACATTTTATCAGTGTTGAAGATATTGAGCTGTACATGTACATGTATTGTGAATGCAATGACACCGCATCCGTGTTGAAAGGCATGGATCTGTGGTGTTTCTGTGTGTGTTTGTGTGTGCAATACTTCAGCCTGTGTGTGCTGCCGCTGGTTTAGAGGCATGAGGCAAGCATAGCGCGTGGCGGCGGCGGCTTAGCACGGACAGTGCATGTTGACCCGGCGGGGACGGGGCAGAGGCGGCTGGTTTGATTACTGTGTAGGCCCGGCCTACACCGTAATAATACCATTTGTCCGACTTCGTATGCTGGTAAAGGCAAGCCATTTAAAGCGATAAAGTTGCCCATGTGATGACAAGATAGGTTCAGTAGAGCAATAATTTTCCCCAAAACAAATGACTTAAAAACAGTAAAACTGAAAGATTTTTTTTCGTTTGAACAAGTCAGTTTTTAATTTTCAGTAGGGTCTAGGCCTAGACCGAATTTTCCGTCTCTTTCGTTCGTTAGCCTCTTATTGGGGTAGGGTCGGCTCTCTCTTTAGAGACGGAAGCCGTTTATACACATGTCCTTGCTAACGCCACGGCCAGTTCTGGTCGTAGCGTTTTGCCCCCAAAATCCCCCAAAATGTCATTTTACCTCGAGCATGTTATATTGTAAATTAGGCCTAGGCTATAATAAATCAGTTCCACTTACCAACTTGACTGAAATAATCAGTTTAATAGTCCCTTTTTAGGAAATTATGGGTCAAAATCGAAATCCATTTTGAAAATCTTTTTCAACATGGATTCCGATTTTGACCCATAATTTCCTAAAAAGGGACTATTAAACTGATTATTTCAGTCAAGTTGGTAAGTGGAACTGATTTATTATAGCCTAGGCCTAATTTACAATATAACATGCTCGAGGTAAAATGACATTTTGGGGGATTTTGGGGGCAAAACGCTACGACCAGAACTGGCCGTGGCGTTAGCAAGGACATGTGTATAAACGGCTTCCGTCTCTAAAGAGAGAGCCGACCCTACCCCAATAAGAGGCTAACGAACGAAAGAGACGGAAAATTCGGTCTAGGTCTAGGCCTAGACTCTTCAGTCTCAGAGTCTCTAGACTAAATTACTAATAATGAATTAAAGAATAATTGACAATATCGACAGTAGGGGCGCTGGTCCGAGAATAAGGATCGTCCGCATAAGCAAGGCTCGTCTCCGTCCGTAAACGCAGACAGACGCGTCCTAAAAAGTAAACGCTCGCGGACTTGAGCACCTAGCGCGAGCGCGGTACAGCGGGTTGACATGCTCCCATTAGCTGACCGCTTGAGCGGTTTTGACTTCACTGAGAGAGAACCCACTTAAGCAGAGAGCGCAATGAGTTTAAACGTACCAGAATTTTCAAGTCAAACCCAGGTTCGGCAAAACCAGTGATGACTCGGGCCTAACCTATATTCATGAACTCCAGACGTTGATTTTGGGAATGTCTGTATTACAGGTCCCTGTTAGAGTTGAAACTTGCATGGATTCACAGTTTTCAGAGTCACTTATAAATAATAAATTTGCATTAAAAAAGGCAGACCTATGAAAGTAAAGTTCCATTGCAATAGGTACCACAGCTTAAGTTTGAAAGTATCTACCGGTACATTTCATTTCCCCTGCCAATTTCCTTTTAGAGCACATGGGAAAAGGAGTTTTGATACCTCATTTGTCAAATTCGATTAAGCACTTTTGAAAATACGGCCACTTACATAAGAGACGAAATGGTCAAATTTTGCATAATTAGGCTATAACTGACAATTAGCCATTTTCATGGTGACACAATTTTGTAATTAATTGATGAATCACCTTTCTTTTCAAGAAATCTGTTCTCTGTATGGATTTCTACATGCCTATTTTTTTTCAGGTTCTTTTGACAAATTTTTTTGTGTGGAATTTTTCAAATAATTATATGAAGCCCATTTTGATGCGTGTGACAAATGGCTATTTTTGCGTGGTTGGAACGAGTTTTCATGGGTTTTGAAACATGGCTAGATTTAAGAGTGTCTATCAAGAGGGGCTGAATTTTAGCATATCTGGGGTATATATATATAGATTAATTATTTCTGTAAGTTTGGACCATCAAATCCATTTTAATTAATTTTAAATGGCATTTGAAAATGGCTGTAAACTCTTAAAACTTCATATTTTAAAGCACACTTAAGCTTTTTTGTCCAGGTAGACAAAGGAACATCCCTTCACTGCTATTGTGTAAAAATGTGTAGAACAGGTGACACATGCATATTCACCTGTTCTACACATTTTTACATATAATTTTTACACATAATAGCAGTGAAGGGATGTTCCTTTGTCTACCTGAGGAACAGTATATTTTGTCCGCTTTCTTTGGCGTCATGTTCATAGTGTCAGGGTACAGCTGTATTCATCGGATTTACGCTATAGCGCCATCTCGCGGTCATTCTGAATATTTACATGATCGTATTCTCCAGTAAATTCTCTTTCTTCTCGTATCAAAATTGAATTAAAAGTATGTTTTTCTGATATAGAAAAATTGTTTCAAACTTTTCACTCTGATTTTTCACGATCTTTTTGAAACATACCCCCATCATTTTTTATATGAAAATAAAGCTTAAGATGTGCTCTTTCCAACCAGTGGATTTTTAAAACTCAAAGACAAATGACGTTCAAGCGCATTGAGCTAAAACTAGTGATACAAATCGGCGGTCAAATAAAAATGGGGACAAGCAAAGTGACACGGTATGAATTAGAGGGTAAATCACAAGCAACTGTGTTGTAAGTAATTGATGGATTTTGATGAAAATGACATGACATGAAAGACAGAATCCTGAGCTTTCGAGAGACATAATTTTATAATATTTATTTTTTCCATGATATGAAAATCTTCCTTGATAAAGAGAGAATTTGCGTGGTTGAGCTCTGCGTGTCCCCACTCAACGCAGCTCTTCTGTGATACCTAATTGCAAATGACCAGATGAACACCATTTGTTCCCACTGATGATAATTATTATATTTCACATTCTTCGATGTTGCTGAATGTTTTTGATACTTGGATGCATGCCCATGTTTATGTAAGACATCATGCACATCTACATTTCGGGCCTTCACCAGTCAAAACACCATAGTTTGTGCTTTAAAATTTTAGATTGTTTCTATTATTCTATTCCAGGTGGTGATATCTTTGTTGCATCTGGCTATCACCTTCATCAATTCAGAAGTGGGCATCGGGTGTTGAGGCACCACCAAGAGCAATGGATCAAGATCAGGGGTCCACCGTGACCCCATCAGGTTCTGGAAATGGAGACAAAGATGACTCTGTTCCAATTACACAGGGTCTCCAGCTACTAGCAAAACTGGCTTCTCCCACAGTTGTATCCCAGACTGAAGTTGCATCTGCATCTACCAGTGCTCCTGTTCTTGTGACGTCACCTGGAGCCTCAAGTGGATCTGTTAGTCCAAGGGGTCAAAACAAGGTCACTATCGGCGTCCAGCAAGTTTCTAACATGCTTCAGGGGAAGACTGTGAAGCAAGGAGCACAGACCTTTTATATTACTACACCAGCATCATCAGGGAATGTTGGAAAACCTGTGCAGCTGCAGACGTCATCTGCTGGCAAACCATACTTGATTCAGACCAGTGGAGGATTGGTTACCCAATCTGGACAGAAGGTTATACTAACCAGCAGGAATGTACAGCAGCCATCTTCTAATGTGGGAGCTTCTATCCTTTCCACTGTTCCCAACACTACCACAGTACAAGCGACAGGAAAACCCGTCATGGTGACCCAGCAAAATCAGCCGCAGATTAAATTTGTGACAAAGACCAGTCCAACGCAGCAGCCAAACACGTCACAGCCAATGAAAGTTCAGCTGCGCCTCAAAGACAACACTATTCTGCAGAAACTGCAACAATCTGGTCAGGTGTTGACTTTGGGAGCTCAAGGAAAGTCGGGTGATGGAAAACAGCAGCCCATTCGTCTTGTGTTACCAGGTTCCTCTGCAGGCAGTACCAACACAGGACAAATCCAGCTGGTCCAAACCCAGCAGGGCTTGCACAAAGTGATCACATTGCAACAACCGCAGCAGGCACAAGCACAGCCACAGCAGACAGTCCAACTTCCCCAGCAGCAGAACAAGTCACCTGTTCAGTTTGCTGTCGTACAACAACCAGGAGCAGGAGGTACGGGAACACGTCTGGTGGTGGTTTCCCAACCAAGCTCATCAAGTACTACCACCACGGTTCCAGGTAGTCCTGCAAGGAAGTCATCCTTGATTTCCCAGCCTGGCACCATCCGTATTGTATTACCCCCTCAGTCGCAAGTCGGTGATGCATCCAAGACCACAGATGGTAAGGCACCAACCACTCTTTCTGCACAAAATATATACCAGATCTTAGCAAACCAAAAAGTGCAGATTCCTCGGGTATCTAACGTGAGCACACTAAATCAGGGCCAAGTCAAGCTTATACAAAGTAGTGGAGGGAATACTGTAAGAACCTCACAAGGACAGACATGTATCATAGTTCCCTCTACTGCTTCCAGTACTGGTGGAAAGTCTATATCAATTGCCTCTCCAAAATCGCCTGGTTCTTCAAACGTACCTTCTATCAATAGGATTTCTCCGATAAGACAAGGAAACACAGTGGTCCATATTGTATCGGGAGCTGGTGGCCAGCAGATCGCCACTGTGGTGAACTCAACAGCCGGTACCACCAATATGCAGCCCAAGCCTGGAGTGCAAACAATGCGTGTCACCTCACCAAAGACATTGTCCCTTTCTCCCAGAGGTCAAGGTGCTGCGGTCAAGCTTTTTACTACCATCACCACCACTGCTGCAGGGAGTATCAAGCATTTGACCAGCGCTGGTCAAACGGTCACCTCCAAAGTCATTTCGATGGCACCAACGTTCACAACCCAATCCCTATCGACCGTGTCAACCACCAGTCCCCAGAAGATCACCATCAACAAGAAGGTGATCAGCTTTGCATCAGTCCTTCCCAAGACAGGAGTCGCCAGTGAGAAGACTGACAACACTGTGACTGTGACTACTGTACCTGGAGTAGCATCGACGTCGGGCGCTGGCACCAGTTCACACCAGCAGAAATTGGTGAAGATCCTGCCCACCAAGGCCGGCCAGAAACCAACTCAGCTGGTCATTCTTGTCAACCAGACAGCTGCTAACATTGGAGAGGAGGTCAAAGAGATAGGTAAGCAGGCCTTAAATTTCAATATTTTTAGGGCAAGGCCACTTTTCTATAGGGCACTTTCCTATATTACAGCACAAATGGGAAGAATTTGAAAGGGCACAACAAATCTCCAAGGCCAATGAGAGGGGCATTGAGGCCAATCAAAGGGGCATTGAGGCCAATCAAAGGGGCATCCACGGCCATGGCCTTGGATTAATTTAAGCCCTGGGTAAGGGTCGGGACTTTATCAGTCTTCTCCATCATTTCCAATACTGTGACCCTCCCCCCCCCCCCCCCCCCGATCCATTGTTGAATTGACGAGTACCGTAATTCCACTTGATGTTTTACTCTTGAATTGAATGGTTTTAGAATTAAAAAGTCTTCCAGATTTGTTGTAGGAAGTAAAACTGTTGTTTTATGCATGTTTTGTTGGAATAGGAACTGAAAAGAATACAAATAGATACTTAAACTTATCCTACACACTTGAATTTGGCATTGGTAGCTCAACGTTTCTTAAAGTTATTATGAAATCCATAGTATCAATATTTTCATGCCAACTTTGACTAGTACATAACTATGACCTTGTCAGCTTGCCAGCAGGGGCAGAACAATGACATTCTCGTAATCTCACAATCTTTTCTACTATTCAGGGGAAGAGTTGAACAAACTTCAGAACCAGCCGAAGACCCAAGAAACGGTAGATAAGCTCAAGCAGTTGCAGGCCAGGCTCCAAAAACTACAAATGGCTGCACAGTTGTCTGCCAAGGCCAAGGTATGTTTCATTCTACCTGAAGATACTGACTATAATTTCCATATGCCCTTAAATGATACTTTAATTGTTTATTAGGTTTTTTTTTAAGGATACTAAGCAGTGACATCCCTGATATCAACATTTAGTTAGGGATTTTCATAGATTATTAAGTCTTTATATCCTAATCCCAGTATCTTTTTTTGAATTTTGAAAAGATACGTCCCTAAATTACATACTCTTGTTACAGAGATGATATAAGGGCATTTGAAGTGTTACAAGAACACTTCCATAGTGCCTTGATTTGTATTTAGTTTCCCTCAATTTATGAATGAAAACATGGTGCCTTGATTAAATGCCATCAAGAAATAATTATCTTGAGTGAGCTAACAATATAATTTATTGTTCTAATGTACCCATTAATCTAATTTTACAGAACGCTGATTTGGATGAGCCTCTCCCCACCAATGAGAAGGAGCGGAAGAAGATCATTAAACAACGAAAGCTGCAAGAAAAGGCCAATCGTATCATCGCTGAAGCCGTAGCCAAGGCCAGGGCTGCTGGAAAGATAGACATTCCAAAGGTACCTTCATCGATCAAATGAGTGGTTAAAATTGCTCAATATTTATTGTGCGATTCTAGGGCTGAGTATCGGTCATCATAAAGATATAAAATTGCCATCCCAAACACAGAGTCCTAAGATTAACATTGGCAAGGTTAGAAAGGATCGGAACACAGAGTTAGATATAGCATAATTGTTTTTCATCACATTAGTGCAGATAGCTACTTAAACTGACAAGTAATTAGCAGATGATCTTGATTGATAGGCAGCTATTAGAATCTAACTGTCATGATCAGCAATGGCAGTTAAATCATTTTGAAAGAACAAGTGAAATATCTGACGAAATCGCCTATATGACTAATTGCTTTCATCTCCTATTATGTATGTCATTGTATTCTCCAGTAAATGAGGAGTTCAGAGAACATGTTGATATTTTTTTTCATTATTCAAACTATTTAGGAGTTAATAATTTTATGTAATAGTATATTGCACTGGAATAATCGCCTTCGATATAGAGCAAGGTTGATTACATTCATGATGAAGTTTGTACATTTCTACAAATTAGCCGGAGGCATTATGTTTTCGGGTTGTCTGTCCGTCCGTATGTATGTCCCGTTCTTGAGATCGCGGTAATCTCAAGAACCCATTGATGGATTCCCGCCAAACTTGGGTCATGTATGTATCTTTTAAAATGTATTTTCAAGATCCACCCCTCTTTAATTCCATAGGTCTTGCTCGACAATGAAGAGATTTCCGCCGAGCTCATTAGCGAGCTGGAGTTGGAGGCGGAAACAAAGAAGAAGAAAAAGGACAAGAAGGACCGCTCCAGATCCAAGAAATCTTCCAAGCGTTCCAAAGACAACAGAGATAGGGAGAAGAAGATGTTCACAATCAAGAAGAAGTCCTCTCATAGCAGTCCAAGTAGCAGTCATAGCAGTAGTATCATCAAGTAAGTGCCCTCCTCAGAGTTTAGTCCCCTTCTACATTCCCCTCATTGCTACAAAAATTTGATTCAAATTTATCTTGCAAAAAACTGTGAAAGTATACATTTTATTTTGGTTCAAAGGGCATAAAAATAAATGCGTACTGTATTTACAACTTAGAGTGACTCGGTAACATTGTTGAAGATTGATGGAAAAAACTCTGTAATTTTGTATGAAATGTTACATATTATATTCCTTCTACCGAACTAACCCTCTAACATGTAAAAAAATTCAAAAAATTCTTAAACCACAAAATCATTTTTTTTTTTTAAAGGCGTCACTGTGCAACATTTTTATACTTAGCCAAATGTAACATGACCTCTAGCGCAAAGTTGATTCCCAAACTATTTTGTAATCTGCAAGGAATGTTTGTAGTTTGTAGTGCTTTCTACATGATGCACTTACATGCCTCCTACTAGGTACAGTCATCATTCCATTACAGTGCTTGATATAATAGATTCCGAAATGACATTTATGACTGCGTTTGTTGTTGTTGAAGATACGACAGGAAGCTACCAGCGGCAGCCATCCTGAAGCTGAAGCGTCAGAAGCGCAAGCATGGTGAGTTCAGTGGTGAGAGCTCAGACCTGGATGAAACACCGCCTCCCTCACCTCCACCAGATGAACTCACTGGACCGGGCATAGAGGTAAGCTGCAGGGGAAAAATACACGGGGGCTTGGGCGAAGTAGCCCCCGAAATGCCAAAAAGAGCCAAAAAAAAGTTGCATAGAGTTCAATGCAAAACAAATTGAAGAGTGTTACTTTCATTCCAGCAAGCTTGAAAAGTAGCCCCCCCCCCCCCCCAATTTGTTATATATTTTTCCCCTGGTAAGCTGCTTGACTTTTGATTTGGGTTTTTCTTTTGGTGGGGGGTTCCTAGCCAAGCTGGGTTTTTTTCTATTGCAACTATTCTGTTAACTTCCACTGTTTTTGTTGATTTGCTGTATGTATTCAGGATGACAATTGTCAGCCCATTTTCTGAGTTATTACATTGAAACCTCTGTTTCAGCTCCAAAATGTGTCTGTTTTCAGGCTATTTTGGATAAAACCAACTAGTATTCCTTATTTATCCTTGTGAATTACATCTTCCATAACTCTTGTCTACCACACCTATTCATTTGTTCTCTAATGTACCGAGTACAGATTATTTTGATTTTGAGTTTAATGTGTAGTTTGATGTCACCGATTTGCCCTTCCTCCAGAAACGACGATCTGGTCGTAACACCAACCGCAAGCGATACACAGAGGACTACGATTTTAACATCACTTCCAACGATGACTCCTCGTCCGATGAGGAAAAGGACAAGAAGAAGAAAGCCAAGAGTGACTGCAAGGTCCCCGTGGCACCAAGGGTGATCAAGATGAAAGTCAAGGCAGACAAGAAACAGGAAGAAGACGTCGATGTGGAGGGCAACTCTGAGATTGATGTGGTGTCTTTCGAGCCAACGGAAACGGCAAAGTTCTTTGTGGTAAGATGAGATTTCTTGCATTAAAAATGATTTTGTAGGTATTCATAGAAGTGAGAAGCAAACATTTTTTTAATTTGATTTTCCATTATAGAAAGCTGTTAGCACCTATGAAATATTTTGTAAAAGTTATTTTAAAAGGCATAAAATGTTGTTTCAAATCATTCATATTTTCTATTATCAAGGAGATTTCATGTTCTTGATGTGTAATTTATAAAACGTCTAATGATATTTTATTTTTAGGCTACAAATGGCTCTCCATAATTTTGAAGTCAAACTTAGAGTTGAGTTCAATCTTTGTGAAACACCCCCAGGTGTATTGTAGAATGCTGCTTCTGAAATGTGTAATTTATAAAACGTCTAATGATATTTTATTTTTAGGCTACAAATGGCTCTCCATAATTTTGAAGTCAAACTTAGAGTTGAGTTCAATCTTTGTGAAACACCCCCAGGTGTATTGTAGAATGCTGCTTCTGAAATGTGTAATTTATAAAACGTCTAATGATATTTTATTTTTAGGCTACAAATGGCTCTCCATAATTTTGAAGTCAAACTTAGAGTTGAGTTCAATCTTTGTGAAACACCCCCAGGTGTATTGTAGAATGCTGCTTCTGAAATGATGTTACTTTTTGCAGACATTTGAAATCTGATTACATTGGATGATTCTTTCTAACTGATCAGAAGCAACGCTTATTCATTTGAGCTTTCACTATCTTGTGCGCTTTTGAATATATTTTATTTTAAGACTACAATTGGGTCTCCATAATTTTAAAGTCCAACTTAGAGCTTTGTGAACCACCCCCAGCTTTATTGTATGTTTCGGCGATTCTTGTCAAATTTTGTAGAGTTTCGCATCCTTACCTGACTTTCTTTTTAAACTGCAGGATAACCCTGACGAGTCCCAGGCCAATGTGGTTGAGAAGATCCTGGCTTCCAGGATCACAGAGAAACCCCAGATACCGGGTGAAGCTCAGGTTGGCGAGATTGAGGAATACTTTGTCAAGTACAGGAACTTGTAAGTCGAGTCAAGATTTCCAAATGTTTGATCAGTCTTACGACTACCCTTCTGTTCAAACATGGAATGTTAGCTGTCGTTAGGAGATTAGAGATTTTTAGCTAAAGTTGGAGAGATATTGAGGAATTCTATGTCAAGTATAGGAACTTGCAAGACAAGTCAAGATTTCCCCATGTTTTATGTTATGTAGTTGATCAGTCTTATCACTGCCCTTCTCTTCGGACATAGAATGTGAGCTGTTGTTAAAAGGGAAGTCCAACCTGATTTTAAGTTTGTCTAGCAGCAGAAAACTGAGAGAAAGGGGTCAGTGAAAGTTTGAGCAAAATCTAAGTCAAAATTTCAAAAAAGTTATGAATTTCCAAAGTTGTCATCAGTGAAATACAAATTGGGAACAGTGTGAGTTTGATAATTATAATTACTTGATGAATCAATAATACTTTGGCATTAATTAAATGATTGAACATACCTTCACTAGTTTTGAAGAAGAAAAAAGGGAATCGAAATGTTGAACGTAAAATGCATTATTTACTTATGTTAATTGTGGAAGAGCTACCTTAGCTTGCTTTTCATTCATAGTACAATCATACATCCACTAACAATTTGCTCTTTCTTGCTATTCCTTTAGTTCATACCTACACTGTGAATGGGCTACCATTGAGACGTTATCAGCTGATCCTAGAATATTTCAGAAGATCAAACGCTTCAGGCTCAAGCAACAGGCAAATTATGGTCTTGTGTCAGAGGTAAGCAGAAGTCATAGAAAATAAAGGGAGTTTAGACTGACGAGGTATGTGTCTTTCCTGTGGCCTGACTCGGAGCGAATCGGGTATAATACAACTACGGACGACTCGAAACTGAAGCTTGAGGAGAACTTTGGTCTGTTTTGCAAACGCTGACTATGTAGAGATTAAGTAGCTGACTACCGTTAATCAAGTCCATTCGTTTACGTGTAGGTGTCCAAAAGAAAACGTAGCTGGCGTTAACAAGCTACACAGCCTTTAAAGTTTCTACTTATCTTTGTTATCCATCTATAGCAAATCAAATTTTGTATATATGTATTTGTAAAAAGTATAGTGTAAAATTTTTACTTTTTTCATCACATCTTTTACCACCTAAGAAGACATCATAGAAATTGTTTACTGTTGCAAGGAGAGTGATAGAATTTGCCACCTTTGATGTAGATATCTAACAGAGAGGAACTCCTTGACAGAAACCTGACAGAAACAAAGTCCTGGATGCTATAGTGCCTGTTATGGCATCTCTGTCTATTCTAAATCAAATCCAAATCATATACAGTGAAACCTGTCTATAAAGAGAGACAAGAAAATTGGTCTAAAATAGGCACCAATGTCCTTTGGCAAGACATTGATCTACATTTACCACCCTCAACCCAGGTAATGTAAATAGGTACCTGGCAGGAATTAGTTCTTTGTAATGCTAGAGCGCCGCAATGGCAGCACAGCTAAAGCCGTGGTAATAATCTAAACTGAGTATTATTATTATTATTATTATTATTATTATGAATGAATTTTTCTCTCCTTGCGTCCAGTTTGATGAGGGCGAGTACTTCAACCCTGACTTCATCGTGGTGGACCGCATCCTGGACAAGGCCATCACCAAGGACGAGGACTCGGACGAGATGGTGACCCACTACCTGGTGAAGTGGGCCAGTCTCCCTTACGAGGAGAGCACCTGGGAGCTGGCCAACGATGTGGACAAGGGCAAAAAGAAGAGCTATGAGAAGTGCAGCAAACTACCTTCCAAATCGGAGAGACAGGTAAGAAGACGGTGATTTCACGATGACATTGACAATAGTAGCATGATAACAGTGGCTTAATGAGCTATAAACTTTGGGCTTCACATCACTTTTTTTTTGCATTAGGGGCCTAACGAACCAAATTTCCAGGTGACCCCACAATTTCTGCGTCGGTATTCCCCCCATGCTTTTTTTTTTCTCCATGGTTTAGGGTTAGGATTAGGTTTGCGATTGGGTTTTTGGTTGGCTTTAAGGAGTAGGATTTTGGTAAGGCATGGTGTTTTATCCGGAATAAAAGTGAGGAAATTGCAGAGCAATTGGTACTGGAACAGTGTCGTAGAACCCATTTCTAATCTGATTTCAAATCACTGCGCAAGATTCCAATGTATTCAATGAGTGATTTCAAGTTGGGTGATCAGGACTGGTGTTAGTGCTTAATAACCTCTAACACCAGCCCTTAACACCGAAATGGAAATCAGCTGGTGTTGGCTTTAACCTGAATATCGTCAACTTCTGGTAACTAGTGTTATTGATTTTGCAAAATTGTCGTCTGCTGAACTGACCTTTGTGGTTGGTGTTAATATTTTACGTACGAATGTCCTATTCACTAACACTAGCCCCTAATGTTGATATCCAGTTCGGTGTTAGTGTTAAGCTATTGATATTGATATCGGTATCGGGCTCTTAATTTTACCAGCAAATTTTTAGCTCGATTTAAGAGCTTGTTACTGCTCTAAACACTAACACCCAACTTGAAATCACTCAATGGATACTCTTACCACATTCTGTTTACACCTTGCTAATATTTTCACAGCGCAAGCCTAGGCCTGTCAAGAGTGAGTGGAACAAGCTGAGTAAGACGCCCAAGTACAAGGATGACAATGTCCTGCGTGAATACCAGTTAGAAGGCGTCAACTGGCTCACCTACAGCTGGTGTAATGGGTAAGTCATCACTTCGATGTCGTTGAGAAATCGATGGCCTTTTGCACGTTGTTGTGTTCTGTGCAGGAGAGCATTGGCAGAGGATTTTACTGCGGAGTTTTGTCAATTCGATGCAGTTTTAACAAGGCCATTTCGGTGGTAAAATACCTGCAGAGTGAGATTGAAATATCAATAAACATAAGTTGAACATAAATAAATTTCTTTTCCAGTGGTTGCATTTCAGCACCATCAAGTGCTGCATGGAGTAAATTCAGAAAGTACCATATCATGTTGAGATCGATGTATTTACAAAGTTATGAATTATCATTATAAAAGTTGAAATGTGATATACCTAATACCCTATGCTTTGTGTTGTTGAGATGATGATATCTGTCCCCCTTACTTTCAAGCGTGGTGACACCCCACAGAATCTGATCAAAAACAAAGATATATTATTCCTCAAACTAAACGATGGATGAGCTGCATTCTTTGGGTGTCTTCTAGGTAACATTGATATTTAGTTGATGTGCAATTAAGTTGTAAGTCCATGAACCAAGTTTTTAAGAGTCATTACCTAATTCAGGGTGTTCTATGAGTAAATTAGAAATGACTTGATAAATTAGAAATGACTTGATGAATTAGAAATGATGAAGTAAAGTTTTACTGTAGGGCACGTTTTTGTCTTTGCGGTGGGTTTACTGCGTCATATCTAAACGAGCCTGAACAGTTAAAGGGCAATCCAACCCTTGCAATAAGTTGATTTGTATGAAAGCAGAAAAATAGCAGAAACAGAATGGCAAAAGTTTAAAATGAATCTGATCCAATGGTAAGGAAGTTATGAATGTTTGAAATATGAGATCACTAAGTCCATGCAAATTTCGAATTGGATGTTTGGTCAGTGGATAGTGACGTAGGTATGGATAACTCTTCCCTTTGTCGTATACAAAAATATCACTAATTTCTGTTTTTCTTGTAAGTTGGGGCACTACTCAAAATGATTATAGGTCCTCTGATAGACCCTCTTGAGCCATGAATATTTGAAAAATTTAAAATTTAGTCATTGTATATGTTGGAACAGATGGGAAAGAAGTCCGGCACTACATCACATACCGCTTCAGCCATAAGTATATTGATTACAACTTTCAAAAATTCATAGTTTTCTAATATTTAGTCAGATTTAATTAAAACTTTCCTCAGTTTGCTTCTCTAATTTTTCTGTTTTCGTTTAAAGTAGTTGTCTATTTGGGTTGGATTTCCCTTTAACCATCTATGGATATATCCATTCTCACCCTTCCTTACAGCCAGAGCTGCATCCTGGCCGACGAGATGGGGCTGGGCAAGACCATCCAGACCATAGGCTTCCTCCACGAGGTCGAGAAGACCGGCATTCCTGGTCCATTCCTGGTCCTGGCCCCGCTCTCTACCATCGTCAACTGGCAGCGCGAGGTGGAGTCCTGGACCGACATGAACTGCGTAGTCTACCACGGGGGCTCCCAGAGCAGGCACATGATTGCAGAGTACGAGATGTTCTTCAGGGATGCTTCGGTAAGGTCAAAGGTCATATATTGTCAATGATAACTTACTATAGATAAAAGGTCATATTGTGTAGATGATAAGTTATTATAGGTAGAGGTCATTTATTTCTATGTAGATAACTGATTTTATTTGTATACTGTACAGTTTGTTGTAATGTATGGAATATAGTTAGAACAATGAAATCATTAGGAAGTAGCATCAATTAGAAAAGAATGTTTAGATATATTTTAACAAATTCAACTTTCTGTTACTCAGCCCAGATATGAAAGAAGCTCCTGTAGGCAATTTGTGTTATAGTGATCTGGCTCCTAATGTTATGAACCAGAGCACTATAACACTGAGTTCCCATAGGACATCCATTCATTCAGATGGTCATATCTCAGCCAATACTTAAAATATTCAATTGGTTTTCGACATTCAGACTTTATTTTATTCAGACTTTATTTTTGATGCTGTTTCAGAAAATAAAGAAAAAATGGAGAAATTTTAAAAATAGTTTTTTGATGACGTCACACTTCACTACTCTATTGTGATTGTCTTTGTAAATGCAAAGATGCTTTTTTTGCGTGCAGTCGAAGATCCATCTAGTTGATATGTAGGATAGCATTTTCAATCTGTACAACTTCAATGTCTTGGTATTTTTTAGTATTTCCTGAAAAAGTATACATTCTTCTACGTACATTCAAATTTTGGAAGCACCAGATAATCTAAAGATGATATTTCGGGCAGTTATTATAGACCTGTCTTTGTCTTGTTTTAGTCATTTTAAGTTTTTATGATCCCGGCTACTGGTCTCGTTTTTATCTACTATAACTTTACAACAGAGTAAGCTGTTACTAAGCATATGGGATCTGAGTGGTCAATGTAATAAGCCTATATGAATGAGAACATTTCAGTAGTTAAGAAGTTGATTCTTGAAGTATAGTGAAGCATGCCTGTAGACCTTGCTTGGTCATATCAGTGGCCAAGGGAGGGGGATTTCAATGCAAGATTAAAAGTACATTGGATGTCTTTCTTGGGATTAAGATAATCTAATCTCTAATCTCATCATCCTATGTTACAGTATTACATTGGAATGTGCTGTACAACATTATAGGTATCTTGTACAGGTATATCACATATACGGATATTACTTGATGTTCGATGAACCCAGAACTCATGCTGTACATTGGGATGAAAAGCAAGGAGGACGTTGTCGCTTAATAAATGAATGTAGATGGCACTGTACTCACCAAGACTATCTAAGCGCATGAATTTCAGAAACGAAGAATACTTCATACTCGCTTTCATTTTTTTGTTTTGTTTTGTTTTGTTCCAACAGGGCGTGAAGATCCCAAACATCTACAAGTTCCAGATCCTGATCACCACTTACGAGATCCTCCTGGCAGACTGTCAGGAGCTGAGCGAGATTGAATGGAGGATCCTAGTCATCGACGAGGCTCACCGACTCAAGAACAGGAACTGCAAGTTGCTAGAGGGTCTCAAGATCCTGGATATGGTAAGTTGCACTTTTTTAATTCTCATGACACAAAAACCGAAAAGGAGAGCATAACCAAGACTGGAATGATATGGAAGCCGTTTCATTGCTACAGTTCTGTCTGTGAAGCGTGCTCATCCAAGCATGACCTGAGGAATACCTCTCATTTTCACACATAAGTTACATAAGGACCACAGGCACTCTATTTTTAGTTCAATCAGTTCAGAACTTTGCTGTTTTTTTATTTTTATTTATTTTTTACCTTATGCTTTGTGTTCTTGAGATGATGATATCTGTCCCCCTTACTTTCAAGCCTGGTGACACCCCACAGAATCTGATCATGAACAAAGATATATATTATTCCTCCAACTGAACCATGTTTAAGCTGCTTTCCATTCAAGATACAACTTAGAGCCTGTGGTGCTCTCACCACTTTATGTTATGGTCTTAATGAAGAAGAAGAGAATTGAAGAAGAAAAAAAAAAAATTGAATGTTGTTATATTTCAAAGTAGTTAGCTCTTGTTTATGTGCAATGAGGTGTTCAAAACTATACTGAATTTGTATAAAAGGGCTGTAACCAGACACATCTGGAAACTGAAATAGAGTTAAAAAAATCTTCCTCGTCTTTACAATTCACTTCACACTGGACTTATTTGTTTGTCAAACAGTTTTTGAGCGTCAAGTAACGCCTGGCTGGAATGCTTCCCAGGGAGTGGAGAGTGTGCACACAATGTGTGAGGGAAAGCAGTGAATCCAATAACCGTGGTGAAAGTATATATTTATAAAGCGCTTAGAGACATTGTATTATTAAAGCGCTATAGAAAAAGAGAATATTAATATTATTACTATTATTGTTATTAAAATTTTTACACCCAGGCCTGATAAAAACGTGATTTAAATCGGTTTCCCGATTTTTTCTTTTCTTTTTCCCCGATTAAAAAAAAAAAATCCAGATTTTTTTTTTTTTTTTTTTTTTTTTTTAACAGATTTTTTTCTCCCTTTCCTACTTTATCCTGATTTTCCTGATTCCCCCCTTATTTTCTCTGTTCTTCCCCCCGATTTTCTTACTCGAAAGGGGGGAATGTTGTTAGATGCCCTTTTTTTTACTCAAGGGGGGCGTGGTTGAGGGGAAAACAAAAAACCTATTTTTTTTTTTAGTGCTCACTATCACCCCTGCCACCGCATTCCTTTATTTCTCATGATTCTCCAGGAGCACCGTGTCCTCTTGACGGGTACTCCACTCCAGAACAACGTGGACGAGCTGTTCAGCCTGCTCAACTTCCTGGAGCCTGGCAGGTTCCGCTCCAGCGTACAGTTCCTTGAAGACTTTGGGGACCTCAAGACGGAGGGGCAGGTGGAGAAACTACAACAGGTAAGGGAAAATGGTTTCTCTGACCATTTCCTCCCCTCTAGCTCTCTGGTTCTCCCTCCTTATTTATCCTTCTCTCACTCTTTCTCTTTTTCATGTTTTCACCTATTATGGAATGTTTTATGTACTTCTGTTATGACTATTTCTCCATGATTGATTACAACAACAACAAAAAATCCAATCGTTTTAGTAATATGTCATGGCAACAGAAGAAATATGGTGTTGTTCACTTCCTTTCACCTGTCAACAATTATAGAATATTGAGCTTGACCATAATTATAGTTGCATGATGAGAGAGATAAATATATATATTTATGTATATTTGAGAATATTAAGCTTCATAATTATGTTATCATTACTTAGTGATTTTCTCTGAAATGCTTCTTATGATGTTTTATTCATGTTCACAAGCTGTCTATTTATTGATAATATATTTATTGTCAGTGTTGTTGAGATGATGATATCTGTCCCCCTTACTTTCAAGCCTGGTGACGCCCCACAGAATCTGATCAAGAACAAACATATATTATTCCTCCAACTGAACCATGTTTAAGCTTCTAGCCATTCAAGGTGCAACATTAAACCTGTGGTATGTGCCACTTGTGTTAGGGACCTTGTGTTTTTTTATATTTGTATCTATTTCTTGATAATATTATGATATGGAATATAAATATATAAATATATATATATAAATATAATTATTTTCTTTTTGAACAGCTCCTCAGACCCATGATGCTTAGACGTCTGAAGGAAGACGTAGAGAAGAATCTGGCTCCTAAGGAAGAGACCATCATTGAGGTAAGGATGTGTAGACTAATATTTGATATTGTGTAGAAAATTTTGGGATTAACTACAAAAACTTTGCCATGCTTGTGCCATGGCTCCATAAACAGCAATCATGTGTCAGTGTTCTTGAGATGATGATATCTGTCCCCCATACTTTCAAGCCTGGTGACGCCCCACAGAATCTAATCAAGAACAAAGATATATTATTCCTCTAACTGAACCATGTTTAAGCTTCTAGCCATTGAAGGTACAGTGTGTGGAGCTGGGGTTTGTGCAAGAACTGGTGCATGAAAAACACATGGATTATGTAATCAAAGTTTAAAGATCAACTCATAAAATATCTGGCTATGAATTTTGTAGTAGTATATGTACACTCTGGTTCACCTAAAACATTGTCTCTTGTTGGTCATATCCATTTTATCACAGGTTGAAATGACGAGCATTCAGAAACGTTACTACCGAGCCATCTTGGAGAAGAACTTCAGCTTCTTGACTAAAGGGGCGGGGTCCACTTCGAACCTGCCCAACCTCATGAATACGATGATGGAGCTGAGGAAGTGCTGTAATCACCCCTTCCTCATCAATGGTAAGTGAAGGCCAAGATGACAGGGTGGCATGGATATGGTTGGATTTAAAGCCACACTGTACTACTTGTAGCTACTTGCTCCCTCTATATAGAAAACTTCCCCAATCGGTGCCTGTTGGTCCCCCATGACCCTCCTTTTCTTATGTTAATCGAGAGCTGAGTTAATTCAATTATTGCTTGTTATGACTTGCAATAATATTTCAAGTTCCCATCAATTTTGTACTCGGAATCTCACTATGAATTACTGTCCAGAATTGTCAATGTCTTATTTTTGTAGTCTTCGGCTAATCATCAGTGATACCGAAGCTGATTACAAATAAGATATTTGACATCATACTGTTTGGAGAAACTTACAACTTGTAAGCAACTGCTAATTTGTCAGTATCATTTGTATTTCCATGTAGGCGGTGAGGAACAGATCGTGAAGGAGTTCCGATTGGCTGAACGTATGTCTGACGAAACCATCATCAGCGTGTGTGTGAACCCCCTACTCCACCTGAAGGTGCTGATCCAGTCTGCCGGTAAGATGGTTCTCCTGGACAAACTGTTGCCGAAGCTCAAGGAAGGTGGCCACAAGGTGCTGATCTTCTCCCAGATGATCCGCTGTCTGGACATCCTGGAAGACTACCTCATCCAGAAAAGGTAAATGCTTTAGTTTCAAGTGTGGTAGTAGTAGGTGGTTATTGGACCTGGGGGGTGTTTCACGAAGATCATAGGTCGAACTTAACTCTAGGTTGGACTTAAAAGTTATGGAGAGCCATTTGTAGCCTTAAAATAAAATATTTTCAAAAGCAAAAATTGAACTATTTTCGACTTTTTAGAAATTCTACATCAAGAACTTGAAATCTCCATGATAATAGAAAATATGAATGATTTGAACCAACATTTTATGCATTTTAAAATAAATTTTACAAAATATTTTCAAAGATGCTATTGGCTTTCCATAATTGTTAAGTCCAACTTAGAGATAAGTTTGACTTAGGATCTTTGTGAAACACCCCCTAGGAGTATCGTAAAATTTAAGAAAGTTGTATAGAAATTGAACCTATTACTTTGACACATCTAGTAGATAGGAGAATAAGCTCAATCTTAAAAAGGGACAGGGAGTTGGGGTGGGGGAGATGGGGGGCTCAAGAACGTTGATCACAAGGTTCTCATCTTCCCGTAGATGATCCGCTCTTTGGGCAACCTTGAGAACTACCTCATTCAGAAAAGGTATATACGCTAGTTCTGGGTCGGAAAGGGGTTACAATAGAACCTCTAGTTTTGTATGAAGAAAAAAAAAGTTCAAGGAAGTTGTAAGAAATTGTTATGGTTAATGATTAGTTTTAAAAGGTCTTCCTTTGCTAACGGAAGCTCAATCATATAGGGCGATGGGGTTGGTAGGAAACTCAAGGAGGGTGGCCACAAGCTCCTATATTCTTCATTCTGGACATCATGAAAGACGTGACACATTGGTTTCAAGTCCAGATTTGTTAAAGTATTGCACATCAAGTACTGTTGAGGAATGTTCATTGTTGCATAATCTGGTATAGTGTAGAATCTTGTGTAAGTGTTCTTGAGATGATGAAGACTTTTATTGCCTTACAATCAAAGCCTGGTGATTCTCCACCAAGATCTGATAAAGAACAAACACTTCAAGCCAAGAAATGTTAGATAAATGTTTCAGTAATTGTAGGAACAAGAAGGATTAGCCGCCCTCCCCCCCTCCCCCTCCCCCATACATCTGTTTGCTGTGTTTTGTGAATGTTTTCAATCATACTGTTTTTGGTAGGTATCTCTTTGAGAGGATCGACGGCAGAGTAAGAGGCAACATGAGACAAGCTGCTATCGACAGATTCAGTAAACCAGGTATGTACTCAGTGTACAGCCAGTTATGAATATTGATTTCCATGCTCGCAAATGTAATGCTCTCAATGCAAAGTGTGAAATACCTATGCATATGCCCAAGAGCAAGACATTTTATCTTTAGTTTTCTCTTGTAACCACCCATGTTTCCTTAATTCTTTGAACACTGGCCATAGCAGCTCAGAGCCCCGTCTTACAAAGAGTTGCGATTGATCCAAATCAATCGCATCAATCGGCTGTCCTCCAATCAAATGCAAGTTTAAAGTCTCCTATCTTTTATAAGTTGCGTTTGATATCAACTCTTTGTAAGAGGGGGGGGGGGGGTCCAGATGTAATCACAATGCAATTTATTATCTTTTATGCCTTTCATCATTCAAATTCTGAAAGGTCGTTGAAATGTAGGTAATGAATCTTTGACGATTCCTGAGTCTCAATCTCCATTTCTTTATAAGCTCTTGAAATGATGACAGATACATAACACTTCCAACTGAATTAATGATGGTGTTCTGCAATGCTGATCAAGAGCTAGTTTGAAAGATGAAGCCAAAAGTGCTGTAAAATCTGTGGGGATCTCTAATGTTGTATCAAGCTGTACAACATAGGAGTCACACCTAGTTGAAGCAATATACCATTTACCTTATACAAATGTACAAATGTAAAAATAAAACAAAATCAAGATTAAGTTTCATTTTGCATAATATTACAGAATTTGTTTCCCACTGGTGTAACATCCAATAAAAAAAGGCAAAAACATGATATTGTATAAACATAAACATAGTTTTCTCACGTGACTCACATATCTTGAATTATTTGAAGACTGGCCATTTCAGCCCAGATAATTCTAGTGTAATCCCCATGCAATATATTAAGAGTGTCATCATTGTAGTTCTCTGCATCATCATCATTACTATTATCAATATTCTAACGGCTCATTGTGTTGTGTTGTTTGTCTGTAGACTCTGATCGCTTTGTGTTCCTACTGTGCACCCGAGCTGGTGGTCTAGGAATCAACCTGACAGCGGCCGATACCTGCATCATCTTCGACTCGGACTGGAATCCCCAGAATGATATCCAGGTAGGGCATGGGGAAATGTTGGTGTTGCATTAATCTAGCAAAATTAAAAAGATGTTAAGATATTCATGTAATTATCAAGGTGACGTCAATTAAGTTTTCCATAATTGTTAAGTCATACTTGGAGATAAGTTCAACTGAAGATCTTTGTGAAACACCCCCACAAGGTCTGTTCGTCAATGATTTATTATACTAATTGTATTGATGTGCACTCTTTGCAGACCTCCTAACTTCCCTTCCTTTTCCCTCCTTAGGCTCAAGCTCGATGCCATCGTATTGGCCAGCAGAAAGCCGTCAAGGTGTATCGTCTCATCACAAGGAACTCCTACGAGAGGGAGATGTTTGATAAGGCCAGTAAGAAGCTTGGTCTAGACAAGGCCGTCCTCCAGTCCATGCGGAACACAGATAAAGAAGCCGCAGCGTACAACCCAGTAAGTATAGAATTAGGCCTGTCTTCATCAGCTCGAGATTGCCAAATAACCCGCTATTTCCTATATAGCGGGCTATTTGGCAGGTGAAGATGCGAATAGTGGGTTATTTCCTCACACTCCTCCCTTTGTCTTTACTCTTGTACAACACCTCAGTGGATATGGTGTCAAGAAAATTTAGACAAAATTTGTAATTTGAGAGAGAAAGGGAGATTATACCTAGATTGATATGAGCACCTCCTTAAGTTGTATCTTAATCATGTTTTAAACTAGAAAATGTTTATTTATTTCTACTTTATAGCAGCAGCAGGCTCAGTCCAAGAAGGAGATTGAAGACCTGCTAAGACGGGGATTAAAAAAAATTAAGACAAGATTTGTAATTTGGGAGAGAAAGGGAGATTATACCTATATTGATATGAGCACCTCCTTTAGTTGTAACTATATCATGTTTTAACTAGAAAATCTTGATTAATTTCTACTTTACAGCAGCAGCAGGCTCTGTCCAAGAAGGAGATTGAGGACCTGCTGAGACGGGGAGCTTACGGCGCCATCATGGACGACGATGAGATGTCATCCCAGTTCTGCGCTGAGGACATTGACATGATCCTGCAGAGGCGTACCCAGGTCATCAAGCACAAGCCCGGCGAGAAGGGCTCATCTTTCGCCAAGGTAGGCTAGTTTATTTGCTCTTGGTTTACTGTTAACCTTCTCTTCATCATAGTATTTAAAAGTAATACAAAGTGTTGGTATGGGGTCATGAATTTGGTTCAAATGAACATATTGGAAGCATATGCGATCCTACAATATTCAGTGATCGTTGTCGCGGTAATGAGTCTTTATCTTTTATAGCTCTCTCTCAAGGTCAAGATATTAATTTAGCTTTAAAACAATGTTTCTTGACTAAAATCGACCGATTTGCTATTCCTGTTTGGAAATTATATATCACAACTGCATGTTCTGAGATTTTCATGGTCGTAGCTTCCACTGGATGGCCGTATTAGCTATTTGAAATTTATCCAAAGTGTATTGATTCAATTTCGATGGTATTGTTCCCTCTCACAGGCAAGCTTCACGACGGATTCTGACCACACCGACATCAAGATCGATGACCCTGACTTCTGGCACAAGTGGGCAAAGAGAGCAGACATTGATCCTGACACGGGCAAGGTGAGTGCATGGTTGAGGTTGAAAGATAACCCTGTCCATTGGCATGCATGATTGGAAAGAGCATGTTCACACTGTTACAGGTTCGCAGGAAAAGGCTCTCGGTAAGAGAAATTGAAATTGGCACATGTTCTTAATAGTGGATAGGACACAGTGGGAACACTCCATACCTCCTAACCAACGTGTTGGAAAGTAGATGAAGTCTAGTCATAAAAAATACAGCATTCAGATCACTTTTTCTTTCGTTCCATATCAATAAAAAGAGCAGTGGGCAAAATCGTTTTGGGTGGATTTAAGTCAATATATGCCAGCTGGAATCATTTTGAAAAATTGCAGAACGTGGCTCCTAAAGAAGAGACCATCATCGAGGTGACGATGCAGCGATTAATATTTGATATGGTCTAGAAAATTATTGATTAACTACAAAAAAAGTTTGCCATGCTTGTGCCATGGTTCCATAAAGAGCAATCATGAGTCAGTGTTGTTGAGATGATGATATATGTCCCCCTTACTTTTAACTTCAAGCGTGGTGACACCCCACAGAATCTGATCAAGAACAAAAGTATATATTATTCCTGGAACAGAACCATGTTTATGCTGCTATCCATTCAAGGTACACCATAGGGCCTGTGGTGCTCTCACTACTTTATGTATGTATGTGCCACTTGTGTTAGGGAGCTTGTGTTTTTGGATATTGGTATCGATATTTTATAATACCATCAAGATTAAATCTGTTAATTGTGCTTTTCTTTGTCTCCAGGAGGACTTTCTGATCCACCTCCCTCGCCAGCGGACCAAGACCAAGCGCTTTGGCGACATGGACGAGATCCTGGACCTGACCTCTGACGAGAGCGATGACGATCATCCTACCGCCAAACCTCCGGCGACGACCACCACCGGCAAGAAGACCAAGGAGAAGAGGGAGCCCTCGCAGAGACCGCCCAAGAAGCAGATGCCCTGTGGCTGGACGCGTCTGGAGTGCTTCAGGGTGGAGAAGGGCTTGTTGACATTCGGGTAAGAAATATCCTTACGAAGGAAAGTAAAGCCTTTTAATATTGTTATTAATTGTCCGTACGTATGTTTTTAAATTAAATTCGACATTAAAAACCTTAAATAAAAAGCGGACTGTAGATTTTAAGATTTTTTCGGTCGGTCGCAAAGGGCAATAACAACTTTTTGTTGTTACAATATTGTACATCAAGTACTGTCAAGTAATGTTCATTGTTGCATAATCTGGCATAGTCTAGAATCTTGTGTTTGTGTTCTTGAGATGATGAAGACTTATATCTCCTTACAATCAAAACCTGGTGATTCTCCACCAAGATCTGATCAAGAACAAACACTTCAAGGCAAGAAACGTTAGATAAATGTTTCAATGATTGTAGGAACAAGAAGGATCACCCCATCTTTTTTTTTAAAACTTGGATCCTTTGCAAAAAATATCAAGACAAGAGATTATCACTCAGCAGTTGATCACATTTGATGTTATTAAAGATAATTCTCTCGTGAAATTTGTTCGTAGATGGGGCCGATGGGATGACATCCTTGCAACCACAAGGTTCAAGAGAAGACTCTGTGAGAAGGATGTGGAATCCATTGCCAGAACCATGGTAAGTAGAGCAACAATCCCACCTGTGCTCCTATCTATCTAAGTATCTTCTCCCGGTTCGGAGGTTGATTGCAACACCTCTCCATTTCACTCTTCTGCCATTCTGGTGCACTCTTGCAGTTTTAGTCCACTCCAGTTCTTGACATTCTCTTCACAGTTGATTCTGCGTTTCCCTCTCGGGAACTAGATCTTTCTACTCTTCCCTCCAACATATCTTTTATGTGCTCCACCACTTACCTTTTCTTTATAAGCTCTTGAAATGATGACAGAATCATAACACTTCCTACTGAATTAATGATGGTGTTCTGCAATGCTGATCATGAGCTAGTTTGAAAGATGAAGCTGTAAAATCTGTATCATGATGTATGTATCATGCTGTACCACAGAGTAGTCACACCTGTTTAAAGCAATAAGCACTGTGTCATAATGTGAAAATGTATATAGAAAAATTGTTATTTGTTCATAGTACAAAATTTATTAATAAATAAATAAGATGGATGGTCCTTATTGTCTCCCCTCTCCCTCACAATTGAAACAAATCACAATAGAAAACTACAAGTATGATGTATTTGTAGGAAGAAATGTTTGTATGGTTTAACAACATTCTCAAGCTCGTATGGAAACTTAAAAAGGTTATTTGATAAGTGTGGCTGATTTTCATCTTTGATTTGCCTACAGCTTAGCCTTTTCATGATTTACAAAAATAGGATCAAGACCATGCATTAATATTAAGATCTAATTTTCTTTCCTCTACTCTCGTATGCATTATCTAGTTGATGTACTGCCTTCAGCATTACAAGGGTGATGAGAACATCAAGAGTTTCATCTGGGACCTGGTCACTCCCGCTCCTGATGGAACGGTCAAAGACTGCAGGAATCACAAAGGTCAGTCCACTTTGAAAGACGCAGAGAAGTCGGCTCTTGTGGGGAATTTGACACCGTTCCGGTGTTTACCCAATAACAAGTGTTGTCAATCACCAGGATTAGCCTTCAGTTTTACGACCAATAGACCTTATGTAATGTTTTGCTTTTTCCTCAACCGAAGACTCTCTGAGAGACTAGGGGGTATTTCTTGATAGGACTCTAGGTTTGCTGTCTGTGTGCAGACTTGTACACCCATTAATGGTATTTCCACCGAGTCTGGTGTCAGCAAATTATAGCCTTCTGCAAATGGAAACTGACGACCCTATCACGTTAACGTTCAGAGCTACAGTTCACAACAGATTTGTACAGTAAAATGACCTGTAATATTTTTGAGCTGATTAGTTCAGACAGCCAGCATCCTGTGCTAAAACGTTAAATCCATTTATAAGTAAACTCTATGATAAAATTTCTTTACAATAGTAATCTTGTGCTGTTTTTATTGTTGCATGTGATTACATGTCTTTTGTTGAACACCTGAACAGATACTTCTCAAAGAGATGTTTTATGTTGTAGATTTGATGAATATACCTTACTTTAGCATCTTGGCTATATTCAGACCGCATACCAGGTGTATTGTAGAATGCTGCTTCTGAAATGATGTTACTATTTGCAGACATTTGAAATCTGATTACATTGGATGATTCCTTCTAACTGATCAGAAGCAACACGATTCGTTTTAGCTTTCACTTGTAAAAAAAAAGCTTAATAATTGAATACAAGAGAAAGCTCTGTTATTTATAGATACACATATAAACTGTTGAGTGATCATTTCATGAATTTCAAAGGTAAATTATCTATTTTTTGTTTAAATTAATTTTTCAATTCATTCCTTCTTTGTCAGGACTCTCTGCACCGGTCCCAAGGGGTAGAAAGGGTAAGAAACCCAAGAGGGAGCCCCAGGCAGCGCACATCAGCTACGACATCACAGCCAAGGAACACAACCTGGACAACCTGCTGCATGACCAGGGCTACAAGAACCACCTCAAGAGACACTGCAACAAGTGAGTTGGTCTAAACGGCTCTTGAACAGAATCCTCAACTTTTGGGTGGGATACTTGAAAGAAATTTGAAGAAAAAAAAATAGAGGTTCATTTGCTTTTTTATCCTAGTTTGTGTGAAACACAGCCTAGGGCATTTTTTTACTTCCAGGATAGAGGATTCAGAAGCTACATAGGCTATGTAGGCATTCTAAATGGTCATTCAAATTCTCTAAGTTCCCGGAATGTAGGTAATGAATCTTTGAAGAGTCTTTCAGTCCAATTTCCTTTTCTTTATAAGCTCTTGAAATGATGACAGATACATAACACTTCCTACTGAATTAATGATGGTGTTCTGCAATGCTGATCATGAGCTAGTTTGAAAGATGAAGCCAAAAGTGCTGTCAAATCTGTGGGGATCTCCAATGATGTATCATGCTGTACCACAGAGTAGTCACACCTGCATAAAGCAATATGCACATTGTCGTAATGTGACAATGTAAGTAGAAATATTGTTATATGTTCATGGTACAAAATTTAACCACACCATTTACTGGTAGAACTCACCCATAATACAGTATCTAAACATCTGCTTTATTTTTTACAGGGTACTACTGCGTGTCCGTCTACTGTACTACCTGAAGCAAGAGGTCATTGGCAAGTTTGCTGAGGAGATTGAGAACATGGTTCATGCTAAGTAAGTCAAACATATGTCTGCTGAGAGCCAGTAGGATACTACTAATAACAATGATGATGATGATGGGGTTGGTGGTTGTGGTTGTGGTGGTGGTGGTGGTTGTGATGGTGCTGATAATGGTGATGATGATGGTGGTGATGATGATGATGATGATGGTGATGATGATGGTGATGATGATGATGGTGGTGATGGTGATGATGATGATGGTGGTGATGGTGATGGGGATGATGGTGGTGATGGTGATGGTGATGATGGTGGTGATGGTGATGGTGATGATGATGGTAATAATGATGATTGTGTAGAATCCTGAGCAGTGGTAAATGATACCGTTCTCTCTTCTCTTTTATCTTTGGTGATGGTTACAGAATGCTGCCGGTAGAAGTGCCTTGTCCAGAGGGTGATGCCCCCGTGGGCTGGTGGGATCGGGAAGCTGACCACTCATTGCTGATTGGAGTATATAAACATGGTGGGTATCTAATCTCTCCTTCTCTCCTTCTCTCCCTCCCTCTCTGGGTATCTAATCTCTCCTTCTCTCCCTCTCTGCCTATCTAATGTCTCCTTCTCTCCCTCCCTCCCTCTCTGGGTATCTAATCTCTCCTTCTCTCCTTCTCCCTCTCTGGGTATCTAATTTCTCCTTCTCTCCCTCCCTCTCTGTCTATATAAGCTCTCCTCCTCTCCCTCTCTGTCTATCTAATCTCTCCTCCTCTCCCTCTCTATCTAATTTCTCCTTCTCTCTCTCTCTCTCTCTCTGTCTATATAATCTCTCCTCCTCTCCCTCTCTGTCTATCTAATCTCTCCTTCCCTCCCTCTCTGTCTATCTCATCTCTGCTTCTCTCCCTCTCTGTCTATCTAATCTCTCCTTCTCTCCCTCCCTCTCTGTCTATCTAATCTCTCCTTCTCTCCCTCCCTCTCTGTCTATCTAATCTCTCCTTCTCTCCCTCCCTCTCTGTCTATCTAATCCTCCCCTCTCTCTTTGTCTATCTAACTTCTCCTTCTTTCTCTCTCTGTCTATATAATCTCTCCTCCTCTCCCTCTCTGCCTATCTAATCTCTCCTTCCCTCCCTCTCTGTCTATCTCATCTCTCCTTCTCTTCCTCCTTCTCTGTCTATCTAATCTCTCCTTCTCTCCCTCCCTCTCTGTCTATCTAATCTCTCCTTCTCTCCCTCCCTCTCTGTCTATCTAATCCCCCCTCTCTCTGTCTATCTCAACTGGGGGTGTTTCACAAAGACTAAGATCAACTTTAAGTTGTACTTAACTATGGCAGGCCGCTCATGCCACTGCCTTGCTCTCACCATTGGTCTATCAATTATGATCTCTAGATCTCTAATTCTGTAGATTTGTGACCATGATTTGTATGTCTCTTTGGAACCAATGCCAGAAATGGTTAGAGGAACTAGTGGCATGATGGCCTGCCATAGTTAGGTCTAACTTTAAATCTATCTTATTATTTGTGAAACACCCCCCCCCCCCTGTTCTTCCCCCCCCCCCCTCCCCTATTTCTATGTTCCTCTCTATCTCTATTCTTTCCTTCTTTCTCCGATATTATCTGCATCTGTCTTGAAACCTGTAATTAGTAAGCATCACTGTAGGGGGACAAGTGATCAGATGTTTACTTTATCGAGTCAAAGGTCGTAAAGATCAATTGACATGTAAACATAGGCTTTTTGTTCTCATCCTGATATTCCAAGAATAGTTCAAGCCAGGATCTTAACTGAATTTAGGTGGAGACATATTGGAGCCGCAGTCACATTTGTCTAGTATAACTCTTGAAATGATGACATACATTCTACGTATCATCCTGATCTTATGATGGTGTTCTGCAATGCTGATCAAGAGTAGATTCTTAACCCCCCCCCCCCCCCAATTTTTTTTCAATAATATTTTTAAGCATAGCCAGTTAATTTGAACATTTCTCTTTTTAGGTCCTTAAATGAACGTAAGAACTTATGAAATGATCTACAACAGTTCTCAGATATATCTATATTGCTTTTGTATGTAGCCAAATTTGCTTTCTGTGGTCTTGAACCGGTGACTTTGGGGTTCCAAGACCTCTTCTATAACCACTAAGCTGGTACAATACCTCATCACATACTATTCCTCTGAATCTCTGTAGGTTATGAGAAGTACCCAGGAATCCGTCTGGATCCCTGCCTGTGCTTCAGGGAGAGATGTGGGGTGCCGGACCACAGAGAGATCATGGCTGCCCAGGCCAAGGAGTATGAAGACTTCAATGAAAGGTAAGTTCTTTGGAACATCAATGCAATGGCCACCTAGATATGAAGCCCCCTGATAGAACAGTGTAGGCGATTGTGACTTGTTGGAACTAGATTTGAATGTCATTGCGCATGTTTAGATGTCTTTTTAAAAATTGCAATAAAGTCAATGCATCAGAGACATTTGGTGAAGCTACTCATCTTTATTTACCTAGTCCCTTGTGTAGGATGTGAGGATTTAGTTCCTCTGGAGCTGACTGAAAAACATATATTCGCTTTCTTTGGCTCTCTGGTTAAGTGAATAATTCAAATACACAGTCAGTTCAAAGGTTGTTGCTTACAAGTTCCCAGTTCAGACAGTCATCGCCCACCATTTTAGTTTCATGGCATAAAGTGTAAAAAAATTCTCAATTAATTAAAATTAAGGCTTTTGTTTTATTATTGAAGAGATGTAGCATCACTTAGTCCAAGCTTGTAGAAACATTGTATCACAATTATACTTGTGTTATGAATATTTAAGTTTTTAAAGACTTTTCATGAGTGATTCTGTGACATGATGTTATGCCATGCTAATACTGAAAGTTCATTGCCCTTTCCAGGGCTCTGGGACTTTGTGAGTTGAAAGCTCTTCATACAAGGAAGGAGACGTGTAGTCTCTGACCCTCTGATCACAGAAACTTGCCCATTTTTCCTGAGAAAACCTTACACCCTCATGGTAGTCCGGCAGCCAAATCCAGATTATTGGCCTAACCTTGTTTTATGGTCTATAGTTTTTTTTTCAATGGATTTTGATTGCTTAGACCTTCTATTTCAAGAATCCGATTGCTGACACTCTGTCAGCCTTGAGCAATTTAAGATATATGACATCATACAAAATGGCCGCCAAAGTACATGATTTTCCTATAAAAATGAATAATAAATATATAATAAGGATTTTTTCTACAATTTTTGGCAGCCAAATGTCTGTATCTCTCTAGGACCATCACTAAAAATATGTTTCGTGGTGTTGCATGGCCAGAGATGACCAGCTTATTTGCATATTTTGAAATAGCGCCCTTTATAAACATATTAATTTGAATAAAATATGTGTGCCAGCCAAATGCCAATTTCTTAAATCTATGTCACGTTGAAATCATATTAAATGCTTTTTTGGGGAAACAATTGCAGTTGTGCTGCATTAATCTTTCATCGTGTTTGGTACAAATTTAGATAGGGTAGGTGTGGGGAATGGAAGACCCTTAAGCAGATTTGCATAATTTACATAAACATGATCAATGTTACACATACAGACATTTTTGTATTCCCTTTAGTATTTTTTCTCTTTATTTGGTAACGAAATTGTGGTGATGATGTAACTGATTAATAAGATAACAATGATTAATGACGTCAGCACCAAAGGTCTCTCATTACCTACATGTGTAGGTAATAAGGGACAGTTACAATTCAAGACATTTTAAATACAATTTGAATGAAAATGGGATTGTTATAGTTAGTTCAAACACTTTTTGAAAGATATACATGCAGCCAATGAACTTAACTGTAATTTTGAAACGATTTTAAAACAATGGGGCCCAAAATTTTGGCACATTTCATAAACTTCCTTTTAAAACTATTTTTTTTAAGAGCCACCCCTAAATATCTGCATACACCACAACATTCAGTGAAAATTGTGTTTTTATATCAGAGCAAAATTTTACGATCAAAATTGCTTATCTTGGTCAATTTTGCCAATTTTCTCGTAGAGAGAACGCACTGTAGTCTTCGAAATGAATTGGATATATGCAGTAGTGTTGTTGAAGGCCACATATGTCGCTATATCAATATTGGAGCCATCACGGACAGACAGTGATGGGTTCAAGCTTGGTGGTCTCCAATTCCCTACACCTACCCTACATATGTCAAGAAAAAAATGGCTATGAAAGAATTTATTTTTCAACAAATCGGTGAGAAGTGGTTTTACGGCACACATTATTATTCAATTAATAAGCTTTATTTAGACCAGCATTGCTCCAACGTCAGTGAATGTGGATAAAGCAGTTGACATCTATACTAGACAGATGCATGATTTTCAAAAGAAATTACATGTTGGATTCTATGTCACAATTTCCAAGAATGTTCAAACCGTGGCAGCCATGAAGAAGTCAATGTTGGCGTACGAAAGTCTATGAAAAGTTGATCTACTCCAGAGTAATAGGACTGCAGACAAGTTCAAGAGAGGTCAATGTCAAGGACATTTTGTCATAAGAGCTTTCACCAGTCCCACCAGCACTTTTTGATGATTCTGGAAACGAGCACTCCCATGTCAAAGACGGACTTATAGAATTTGACAAAAGTTGAGATGTCAGCCAGGCATGAGACACTGGAACAACCTTGTACAGTCATTGATGGTTGTGCTCTGCTGTGGATGAAAATCTGATGATGTTTGCTTGGTGTTTGACAGATCCGAGAGTATTTAGAGGTCATAACGGGTCGAGAGTCTTCCAACTCAGTCCCGCATCACTGCTGCCCTCCAAGAAACTATCTCTTACTGTTTGTCGTCGTCGTCGTTGTCATATAGATCATGGCTCACCCTTGTGATGACCCGTTTGATGAGACCTTTTGATCGGCATCTGTCTCCTGCAATCCGGTAGAGTGTCTTTAGTATTTAGAGGGTGGCTAGTGATTTCCCTAAGGTCGTCAGTCCATCTGAGCTTGAGTCTTCCTTTGTTACGTGTTTCTTCAAAGGTACCTTGAATGATAAGTCAAGGTTGTCCCCTGATCTTCTGCTAACGTGACCAAACTATTGTAGCTTGTACTTGTCAATCCTGGTAGCAAGTGGCGGTTGATCTCCGATGATGGACATTAATTGTGTCCATTGGTGTTGTAATCTCTTCATGTTATCCCAAGTAGCTTCCTCCAACACCACATTTCAAAGGCAGATATTGCCGAGCTTCCACCCTCCTTGACAATCATTGACCCAAGAACATTATATAAACTTGTCCACTTGATCAACTTCTTCTCCATCAACCACCATGCTCTGTTGCATGTAGTTAATTTCCACCAATCATGATCTTGGTCTTTTTCACATTGAGGTAGGGTCCAAATTATTCACTTGCATCCTTCACTCTTTTTTAAGGAGTTCTAGTAGTTCTTCTGATGTTCTTGTTATAAGTGTTGTCAGTGGAATACTGAGCAAAAACACTTAGAGGAGCAGAAAAATAATCTGCATCACCACCACTCATACATGTTACATGCAGGCCCCGCGGAACTTTTTTTTAAAGCGGGGTGGGGGGGGGGGGGGTTGAAGTATTCACGATCAGGAAGAGAGGAAGAAAGCGTGGTGTTCAAGGGGCACAGCCCCCGGAAGCTCAAGGGTTTCAGGCATTTATTAACTGTAAGATGAACATATTTTGATACCTCATATCACCTCGGGTCACTTTCTTTCTTTCTTTCTAGTTCTCTTTAACATACTTTATACAAAAAGTGAGGGGGGCTCGAGTCCCCTGAGCCCCGCTGTTCTGCGGACCCTGACATGTAGGCTTTTAAATAAGCATATTTTTTGCTTGACTGTGGATTTAGGATTTGTCATTTTCCAACATACGCTTAACAAATAATAATTTACTAAAAAGTGAGAAAAAACCCAGGAAAATCATGTCATTTCAGCAACATTTGTAAATCACTGGTATCGAATATATATTAAAAAAAAAAAAACAGTTTGAATTTTGTTTGGGGGTTCAACTGTCCCCAACCCTCCCCCCATACCCTTCCCCATTAATACGCCAGAGTGTGTTGTATTGTCGGCGTATCTTAGGTTGGTGATCGTTCGTCCACCAACAGAAACTTGACCATAAAATGCCTTTCTCATGATGAATTCAGCATAGATGTTGAAAATTTGTGGTGATAGGTTGCAGCCTTGACGGACAACTTGACCAATAGTGAACCTTTCGGTGTCGCCATTCTCTGCTCTTACTGTTGCTTCTTGGTATTGGTAGAGCGACTGGATGAGTTGAATTATATGTGCTGGAAAGCCCATCTAGCTCATAATCTTCCATAGGCGTTTATGTTGTACGCAGTCAAAAGCTTTGGAAAGATCAATAAAGCTAGGGAGAGAAGTTGTTGAAACGTGTCTCTAGTGTTGCTAACTTCACTATCTTTTCATGACAACAAACTACAGTTGATCGACATCATAATTATATGCGCGAGTCTGCAGGATGATTGGGTGCTCAGAAATAGGCAAAAGCACAATCAGGCCTTTACCGTCAAGATGAGGTTCTTGTTGAAGTGATTCCAGGCAGTGATGTCATGCCAAGGAAAGGTCTGTCCACAACATAGTTATGATGAAGCAGGCAACATCAAAGAACAGCAAGCGATTGGAATTGATGCTAATGAGATGATGTATGTTAGGGTCCTAGTGGATGACACAGACGTCTACGTACTACTTTTGCATCATTATCTACATGACGGACTTATAAAACGCCAATGACCATGGAGACGCCCCTTCACAAATCGAACTGTTATTGATGTTCCTGCCAATGTAGACAAGTTAGGAGATATCATTCCATCGATGTTGGCAGGACATGCGTTGACGGGATGCGACACTCTTGGGGCATACTTTGGCATTGGATAGGGTACAATGCTGAAAGTGATGAAGCAGAAGATTCGACTCCCTTAGGACTGAGTTGGCAATGTTGATGCAGCATGGTCATATGTCATCACTCAACCTACTCAATGCTTTGCTTCATGTTATGGACAGTCAACAACCAACTGAATGTCAGAGGCTCGTATCAATGTGTGGCTATCAAGGGTCCGAAGACTAGGAGCTCCAAATACCCCCAAACCTTGCCTCACTACCTCAAACTACTGAAGCGTTTGTAGAAAATGTTAAGAGAACTCATTTGCAAACATGCGTGTGGAAGCACGCATTACAGTCACGACCTTACTTTGCAGAATTAAGTGTTAAATGACACCCTCTTCCGCATGGAATATTTTAGGGTTCCCAACACTTTAGAGGGCTTTTAAACAAATTTCAAGATTTTGAAGCAAACTTATAAACGGATATAGTCCTGTATCGTAGTGGTAGTTCGTAATTTTTAGGTTAATTTAAAAGAATCTAGTACCTTAGAATACAAATCTAGTTTCTTAACGCTGTCACTGAAAATGGGCATTTATCACCATATGCCACCTCATATCTATGGGACAGAGCATAAAATTCAACCGTGTTTTCTTCGAGTATCAAATTATAAAATAAAAATAAATGTGCAGAACAATCTTTACTCACTGTATCCAGTGCATCTAACTCATGACATATGATAATCTCATGTTAGAAATTGGTATTTGGCCATCATTTTGACCTATGCAAGTTAATGTGTCTATAGAGGGCGCCATTCCGAATTATGCAAATTTGCATATCATTTGTGATCATACAGCATCGCAATTTTTATTTAGTGATGATTCTAGAAAAAAATCAAGATATTTGACTGCCATTTAATGTAGTAAAATGCTGTTAAAACTTTTTATATCATTAATTTTGGTTAAAAAGGGGATTTTGGCGGCCATTTTGTATGACGTCACATATCTCAAATTGCTCAATGCTGACAGAGTGTCAGCAATAGAATTCTTAAAATTGATGGTCTAAGGGAATATAATCCGAAGAAAAAAAAACTATAGACCCTAAAACAAGGTATATCGAGATGGCTGCCGGACTATGGCACCTGAAAATTCTATACACTTCTATTTCACTGCTTTGCTAGTTCTATTTTACCAGGTTGACAGTTGTTCCTAGATAAATAGTAACATCTGGGACCCGTTTCACAAAGCCATTTTTCACTTACAAATGATAAAAATCAGTGACAAATCTGCTGATAACCAATCAGAAGCAAGGATTACACTAGCTTATAACAAAAACTGTCATTTGTCACTGAAATGGGGCCCTGTTCATTTTAGTATCTTAATATTCTTTGTTATGCCTCCGCCACCGAAGGCGGTGCCGGAGGCATCATGTTTTCGGGTTGTCCGTCCGTCCGTCCGTCCGTCCGTACGTCCCGTTTGACCGTTATCACAATATCTCAAGAACCATTTAAGATTTAAACTTAAGACTCGGGAATAGTATTTATCACCATAGGAAGACGATCTGATTAGATTTTGGAGTACGTAGGTCAAAGGTCACAGGTCACAGAGGTCAACTTATGAAATTCCTTGTATTGAGTTTGTTAACGCGGTATCTCAAGAACCATTCGAGATTTAAACTTCATACTTAAGGATAGTATGTATCACCATAGGAAGACAATCTGATTAGATTTTGGAGCACGTATGTCAAAGGTCAAGGGTCACAGAGGTCAACTTATGAAATTCCATACATTGAGATTGTTATCATGATATCTCAAGAACCACTGGAGATTTAAACTTCAAACTTAGTGATAGTGTGTATCACTATAGGAAAACAATCTGATTACATTTTGGGTCACGAGGTCAAAGGTCAAAGGTCACAGGGCTCATTATGTATGCAAAAACAGCTTGTGATCGCGTTATGTGAACAACCGATTGATGGATTCCTGCCAAACTTTGGTCATGTATGTATCTTGCAGAGCTGATGAACTGATTAGATTTTGGGGTCACGAGGTCAAAGGTCACAGGGCTCATTATGTATGCAAAAACAGCTTGTGATCGCGTTATCTGAAGAACCGATTGATGGATTCCTGCCAAACTTTGGTCATGTATGTATCTTGCAAAGCCAATGAACTGATTAGATTTTGGGGTCACGAGGTCAAAGGTCACAGCGCACATTGTGTATGCAAAAACAGCTCGTGATCGCCTTATCTCAAGAACCGATTGATGGATTCCTGCCAAACTTAGGTCATGTATGTTACTTGCAGAGCTGATGAACTGATTAGATTTTGGGGTCATGAGGTAAAGGTCAAGGTCATGCGGCTCATTATGTATGCAAAAATAGCTTGTGATCGTATTATCATTAGAACAGATTGATGGATTCCTGCCAAACTTAGATCATTTATGTATCTTGCAGAGCCAATGAATGGTTCATAAGATCAAAGGTCATGGGCTCATTATGTATGCAAAAATAGCTTGTGGACGCATTCTCATTAGAACTGACAGATGGATTACTATTTAACTCAGGAAATCTTGCAGAGCCAATGGACTGAGTAGATTTTAGGGTCATGAGGTCAAAGATCAAAGGGTCATATATGTATATGAGAAATTGCTTGTAATCACGATATTCTGAGAACATGTTAATGGATTACAATTGAACTTGAATTTGAAAAATTTCTTCCGTTTCGGTTTGTAAAATTGCTCTATGACGGAGGCATCATTTTCGACTGCGCGCAGTCGAATTCCATCTAGTTTTCATCTGTGTGGTGAGAAAATTTCTTTTGGAATATTAGATTTTAGGGAAATGATTTGATGTGATTTTGTAGAAGAAATTTTGAAATGCAAAGTTTGGTAGTCAAAGAAGATTAAAGACATTTGTCTCTTCAAAAAATATTTTACAGCGATTTTATATCTATTTGCTGCTGCTGTTCTCATATGCAATGATATTGTTCTATAGATTTCTCGTCTTGTAAAGTGAAAAATTCAAGTACGAATAAAAACAACATTTATAAATGCGATATTAACAACAAGGAACCACCATTCTTTTTCACCCTTACAGTCAGCTTGATGTGGAAGGAGGAGACTTGGATGGAGATGATGGAGAAGGTGATGACCTAGGAGATGAAGAAGGAGGCGGAGGAGGAGGAGGCAAGGAGGAAGGTATGGAGATTGCTCCATCAGCCATACCCAAGCATCTCAAGGAAGACCCTGATGTAAGTAGACTAACTCCTGCTCTGCTCTTCGATACTAAAGTTAAAACCTGCTTTAACGACCACCTGTATAAAAAGACCACATGTCTGTAAAAACCACATTATTTTCTCCCATGAATATGGTTTATCATTGAAACCTGTACTAAAGGAACCTGTACATAAAGACCACTTGCCTACAAAGATCACTTTTCATGTCCCCCCCTGAGTGGTCTTTATATACAGGTTTCACTGTATTAGCATTATCAAGATATACAACATGTATGAATTCAACTGAATGTAAAGCTTGTAATGATAGGGCAGGATTCTCCTTGTTTTCTGTTGTTTGGTGGTTATTGATCTTTTTTGGGGGGCGGGGGTAGGTGTGATTCTATTGAAAGTTTGTGGGAAATCGGAAAGTAATTGTATTATAGCCAGTGGTAAATGAAATGATGTTGTACCATCTTCATAAAGATATTCATATTGTTATTTTGTACAGCAATGTATTAGTCTGTTTCTGTAAACTGTATTTTAAGGCAAACAAAGATAGTGTATGCATGATAATCAACACTGAATCCATCTTTGTGAGCAAAATGAATAGTGTACTTCAAGTGTTATTCAAGTTATTTCCCTGATTATGAAATCACTCTTGAAATGATGACAAAGAACATAACACAACTCACTGAATTCATGATGGTGTTCTGCAATGCTGATCAATAGCTTGGTATTTGAATTTGATGGAGAAAAAAATGTGGACCATTTTATGACATCAGATTCTCTCTAAGCCCCTGACATGTTCCCTTCCACTGTATGATATAATCAATTCCCATCCCCCATCTGTTTGCACAGGATGACTCGATATCACCAGCAAGTACACGACCCTCGTCACCCAACTCCAGCGGGAAGACGGTACCAAAGCTCAAGATACATGTCAACTCCATCATCATACCAAGTAAGAGCATGGTTATCATACGATTCTGTCGTAGGTATTTTAGACTGCATCTCTGGCGAGAGAGTTATTTGCTGCGTGGCTTATCTGATGTGTTGTAAATGTGAATGCTCTGGAATCGTTTTTTTGTATACCAATTTATTTTATTAGTGAAGACTTTGAATACTGCATCCGCTGAAATGTGGCAACACAACTTGCGTACTGCAATTAATGTTACTCGTTGTTGCTTTCAGCTTCACATAAAGAATCTGTGTACTTCAATTACATAAGAATTTCAATTGCAGTTTTAATACGTCTAAAATGACTGGTACAGATTTCATCTAGGATCATTGACTTCTTTTGCTTCTGATTAAAAGTATTAATTTTGATATATTTGTCAAATGTCAAGATTTAAAACTTGAAATGACATCTACTTGCACTTCATAAAGAGTTGATTTTAATTGCAACTTGTTTGGTATTGATATCAATTACAACTATGTACATAAGAGGAGACTGCATAGGAGACTGCAACCTTTTGATTGATTGGAGGACTTGCAATCGATTCGGATCAATGGCAACTCTTTATAAGACGGAGCCCAGAACTTGCTTTCCACAAGCCTATACCCTGAAACCTAATTTCGATACGACCAGCCCCTCATTGTGTTCTTTTCATTCACCCCCCTCCCCAGCTGCTGTGCCCGGCAAACTACTGTTCCCCACAGCACCCGATCTGAACACCAGGCTGCGTAGACTGGTGGCGGCCTACCAGAGAGAGCATAAGAAAAGACAGCTCAAAGAACAGAAGAGAGAAAAGGCAAGCCTATTCCTCAATGAAATGTGTGACAATCAATGAACAGTGGTTATAGTCTACAACATCAATGATTTTTGCTCAGAAATGGTTGCATGGAAGAAGAAAAATATTACGGAATCGTATAGCCCAAAGATTAGTAAAAAAGCCAAGAAGTACATAATTTCTTTTGGAAATTTAATCATTTATAAAGTGACTGTGCTCATCTCCATTTGTATGTCAATGGTCTTAGGGAGTACTTACCTCAGATCTAGAAGAACATTTGTTGAAAAGTGAGAAAGAAATAATGGTCTTCCAATCTAAGAATCAGAGAAAATGATTATACAAATTCTAAAAAAGGATGTTGAAGAGTACTGATCATGGTGGGTTTGAGATGTATGGAAGAACATGGTTCGGAAATACCCCCCCCCCCCCCCTGAAATGATTATCTACAAGAAAAGAGTTCCATGATTTATTCAAGCATGTATATTATACTTACAGATAACATTATTTTTGTCTCAATTGAATACAGAAAGAGCAGGTCAAGATGGTGAGGATGCAGGAACAGATGCGCCAGAGAGAGCTACGAAAGATTGAAAATGCTCAAAAGTAAGTCGGTGCATGTCCTTTAATTTGTGGGTTTGGGGTTTATTTGTCAGCAATATATACACAAAACAATCTGAATTGAATTCTTTTCTCATCAAGATGTCATTCATATAAAAACGGATGATTTATGTTTTTTTAATTCATTCATTACAGGGCGTATACGCTCTTGTTGAAGCTGTCTATGCATCTATCGTACTCACCCTGCCGGCTCCGTTCGATAGGTGCTTACAGCCTCAACACGAGCGCGGATATATCGTATAACGAACCCATTTCCATGCATCATTTGTATATTATAAGATGATGAAGCGGATCCTAATCAAACGATTGGTTGAGAGCGTACACGTGACCAGGCATATATTTTACCTAACAAGTAATTTTACCAATGACCGGTCATTAGTAAATACTTATGACCGGTCATTAGTAAAATCATGTTATAAAACACCATTTTATAAAACAAATGAAACATCATCGAAACAGTCAAAGCACCCTGGGCTAACGCCTCGGGTGTGTTGTTAGACTGTTCCAAAGGTACCTTGTATGGGTAAATCCTTACTAATGCCTTCAGTGCTTTGTATTATTTGTATAATAAACCATCACACTACTGTCCATCGTCCGATCGCAGGTGGTCGAGACGAGAGGAGGCGGACTTCTACCGCATCCTGACCGCCTTCGGGGTAGACAAGGACCAGGAGACGGGCAAGTGCCGCTGGGAGCGCTTCAAGCACCTGGCCAAGCTGGACAGGAAGTACGAAGACAGGATGACCGAGTTCTACCAGCACTACTACGCCATGTGCCTCAGGGTGTGCAAGAGAGCTGAAGAGATACCAGAGGGATATGGTGAGTTAAAGAGAAGGTCGAGTTCTGGGAAGAGGTGAACAATAATTTGTGAGCGTTATCCTTGTTATTATGCAAGTGTGGAAGAACATCAGAGAATAAATGTTCCCTGAAAAGCATGGCTCTTCAAATGCCTTAATATTCTAAATATGGCATGTAACAGCTTAAAAAGTGGGACAGATTTTTATGCCACATGCTCTGTAGTCCCATTCCGAGTACCATATACATCTTTCTGTGTACTGTGCTTGTAACCTTACCAAGACTGGGCCAAATATCTTATCACCATGATGATTCCAGAACCTTGCAGGACACCAATACTAGATGATCGACCTTTTCTGATCGATTCCACAATGTTTTTTTCACAACGCAATCGCATGACCAGAACTCAGCTTTATCTTTAAATTGAAAGGCATAGATCTTTTTGTCCCAAATTTCAAGAGCAGATATTTAAATTGTATGCCGTCTTTGTAAATGGCTTTGTGTTATCGTTTCCATCTCTGCAATATGTCCCCTAGTTTCTATCATTCATTCACAGTATATATTGTAGATGCCGTGATCTTTATCCTGTTTATTTATTTACATGTTGAGGAATAAATGTTTGACAAGCCTCTTTATAAGCTCTTGAAATGACAGATACATAACACATCCTACTGAATTAATGATGGTGTTCTGCAATGCTGATCATGAGCTAGTTTTTAAGATGAAGCCAAAAGTGCTGTAAAATCTGTGGGGATCATGACCTAAAGGAACCGGTACATAGAGACCACTTTTCTTGTCTCCCTTGGGTGGTCTGTATAGACAGGTTTCACTGTATATGTTTGAATATCAAAGACACAAGCTCCTTTAAATATTAAGTTAGTATGTAGACGTCTGCTGAAATAACACTTTTGAGGCATGATTTTAAAGCATTCTAGACCGCCATTCCTCTTAAATACTTTGGTGATAGGTCCTTTTCATGCTCTGATCCACGTTTGTGGAATTCTCTTCCAGCCTCGGTTTGTTGCATCTCTGATATTACTTTGTTTATATCAAAATTAAAAACCAATCTAATGGAAAAGGCATATTCAACCTAGTTCTTTAATTGTTACCTTATCTTGTTATCTTATGTTTGATAATTTCACTTTAAATTTGTTTTCTTGTCACTTCTCTGTTTAGTTTTACTTGTATCAATATTGTAAAGCGCTTTGATATATATCTAATATGAAAAGCGTTATATAATTAAAAGTTATTATTATTATAATTATTTCTCCACCTTCTCTGCAGGTGCCACGCCTCTCCCTGACAACTTCACCATCGAGGACATCACGGAGGAGAGGGCCAGCAAGTGCCTCTCCCGCATCGACCTCCTCAACAAGATCCGCACCCAGATCCTACCCCATCCTGACCTGGATGAGAGGCTCACCAAGTGTCGGCCCAGCATGGAGCTACCCGATTGGTGGGAGCTCGGTCGCCACGACAAGGACCTCATCCTCGGCGTCTGCAGGTAAGTTGGCAATTCTGTCAAAAGTTCTGTGATGTGCCATCAACTTTTTTTTTTCTTAGATGCTGATACACATGCAGATTCACCATTTGTCTTCATGTCAGACGGATGCAAATAAAAAAAAATGTCAGGGAGGGAATGTCTCATTTTGAAATCATATGAGGGAATTATCAATGACCAAGGTCTTTCCCTTCTGTATTGTGGCCTGTAGTTACTCAACAGTGCAGCAATGGGGATTGCATACACCTCTGGAATGCTTTTCTGAAGTTCCTCACCTATCCCTAACATGATAGGCCAATCATCCACAGGAGTCCTGTCACTCTCCATGATCTTGTGGGATCTGTTTTGCTGTTGTTAACGTTAAAGGCCCACTGTACTACTTGTAGCTACTTGCTCCCTCTATATAGAAAACAATGCCTAATCGGTGACCATTGGTCCCCCATGATCCTCTTCTTCTTATTCTAATTGATAGCTGAGTTGATGAGATAGCCACCTGTCAGTGACCTTCCTGGGTGGTCTAATCCCTCCTAGCCAAACTAATACAGCCGGCCTTTAATATACATGGTCTACCTTTAGTTCATAGCTTGTGTTCCTTCTTCTCCAAGTGATATTTGTGTGTGCATTTTTATGAAGGCAGGTTGAATCAGTAAGTTGAATTACTCCTCTATGACTATTTTAATTGATCATCCTCATGTACAGGTATGGCATCAACAGGCAGGAATCCCAGCATGCCATGATGAACGATGAAGAGCTGTGCTTCAAGGAGCTCAAGGAGAAGTTCCCCGAGGCAGCCGCAGCCATACCCGTCCCTGTCCCTGTCACCAGCACCTCCCCAGGCTCAGCACCGGGTCCCTTCCAGAGGAGACCCGGTCTCAAGAAACCTGGCCCTAAGAAGGGCGTGCCCAGGAAGAAGAAACCACCTCCGGGAGGTGACCCCAACAAGCCCTCTGCTGCTCCTCCTGCAGGAGTGGAGGGCACCACTCATCAGGGATGTGAAGAAGGGAAAGTGGGTTTGGACAATGGGGACTCTGCGCCGCCTCAGGCTGCACAGAGTCCAATGAGGTTTGGAGAGGGGGGTGATGATGAAAGGACTAAAGGGGACGAGGTGGAAGGAATGGAGGACACCATCGACGGGGGTGCCATGGAAGCAGCAATGGATTCCTTGATGGATTCCTCAAAGCTCGGGATCAAGGAGGAGGAGCTTGAATCACGACCAGACAGTGCAGACATGAGTCAGGACGCCAACAGTATCAACGATGACCTGGACGAGGGCCTCGGATCTGGCGATGACGACAACGAAGACGAGGACGAGCAAAACAAGATGGATGAACATTCACAGGCTGTCACCGAGCAGGAAATTATACCTCCTCCGTACGACAGCCTGGACAATATGAGCAAAATCTCAGGGATCGATGAAGAAACGTCAAACTTGTTTGCAGTGAAAACAGAGAGCATGGATGAGGACTATGAAGCGAAAGAGCACTTGACAAAGATGGAGGTGAATTATGAGAACTTGTCGGATGATAACAGCAACTTGGGTGATAGTGAGCAGCCGATGGACGTGAAGCCACCTCTGTCCATGCTCCAGGAGTTTCTCCTGAAAGGTGGTGACGAGAATCACCTTGCCATGGTGAAACAGGAGAGTAAAGGAGGCAAGGTGAAGCCGGAAGGGAAGAATGCCAAATCTAGCAGTACTAAGAAGAAGGACAGCGTACCCAAAGTGGTCGTCCCGACATTCAGATGGCCAAAGGTAGGGTTGAAGCCCCATACTTGAAATCTGATTATATGTTCTGAATCTGAATGCCAAACTTTGATTATGGCTAGTTTGGCTTAAATATACCGTGTAATTTCATCTGTTTAGAGCCAGACTAGTTTAACTGGAGCATATAGTTGGCCCGTCTGGCTCTGCGCAGATGATGTACAGTTACCCCATGGCATGATCAATACATGGTGGTAATCAAATACCCGTTGGTGGTTAGAAAGAAAAGAAGCTAACTCTTATTCACAGTCACAATATTTGTAGTGCATTTTACTGGTAATGGTTTTATGTCTAAACCTTGTTATAGATGAACAGGTTTAATGAGGAATAAATAAAAAGATTCATTCATTCATTTCACTAAAGAGAATCAGTATTAACAAGCTGCAAAACATTAATTCTGAGCTTGTAAAGCAATTTATTTTGTCTTTAGTCATTACTGTTTGTCACTTATAAATGCAAACAGCTTTTATTCTCCAGACAGTCGAAATGTCCTCTGTGTAATAACATACATGCAATGTTATTGTATTCTTCTTTACTAAGTGTTCAGTCGTGAAGACATCCCCAATGAATTTTTTTCTTTTTTGTGCAGGATCGTGTGATTGTCCACAGACTGGAGCAGCTGAGCCACCTGGTGTTGAAGGACGAGTGGCCGGGGCGCAGGCACCACCACCACCCCGCCCTCACCGAGCCGCCTTACGATGACACCGACTCCCCTGGCCCTAGGGGAGGATTGGAGCACAACTATGCAGGCGGGATGAGCTCCGGTCGCAAGAGATCCGCACCAGTACTGGTAGGTTTCACTGGGTTCATAACACAGATGGGCATTAAATGATGGGGATGATGATGATGGTGTTGGTGTTGGTTATGATAATGATGGGTAGCATGTTGATTATGTAGACGAGGATGAGGATTGGACCTCGACTATTCCTTACTTTGGATTTAAGATATGACTACTATAGATACCTTACATTAATAGAGCACATGTATTTATGAAGCATTAGTGTTACTACAACATGTGTATATACGGTTAACAACTGAATTACTCATACCCTTACCAAGTTTTGTAAACAAAATTTAGTGCCATATTTGCTGGCGATAAGGCTGCAGCGCCGCATAGGCCGCACCTCCACTTTGACATTTCAAAGAGGGGAAAAAGAAAAACAAAACAAACAAACAAACAAACGGACAAAACAAAATAATCGTAGTTTTCTTGTAAAACACAATTTTTTTTTACAAACTGATACCAAATCCATTAATACTCTTGTAATTTGTGTACGGTGCTCGTTACTTTACCAAGACTGGGCCAAATTTGTTATGATTTTGATGACTCCAGAACCTTGCATTACACACCAATACTTACATGCTACATGATCAACTTTTTCTGATCCTTTCCACCCCTTTTCTTTCACAATGCAATCGCATGACCAGAACTCAACTTTATCTTTAATCTCAATAAATATCAATGTTTCCATTGTAGAATCCTGATGGTACCGTGAGGAAGAAGAAAAAGAAGAAGAAGCTCATGTTGGATGCACAAAGAGGTAAGTCATGATCCTTAGTTTATAACTATATATACATGGTTTCATAATTGGGGTTCCACACTGAGAGGGTCCACAATTTCATGTGCTATCACTTCTTAGCTGACCCCTCACACTGCAACAATTAAATGTCATTCTCCTGTTCTTTGTGTATTATGATTTATGGCATCAAGAGGAGCAACTAGCTATAGATAGTTAACTCTTTAGAGATCCAATTGATAATTCAAATAACGATGAAGTTCTGATAGTACTCAAAGATAAGCTTGAGTTCTGGTAATTATTTGAAAATAAATTCTAACAGAATCCAACAAAACTTTCACTGAATGTTCAAATGCAGAATAAACAACCTAGAATGAATTCTAGCCATGTTCTCTTGACATACGATTCCCATACCAGAGCTCAAGATTAGCTTTAAGCTGAAATGACTTCTTTATTCTCATCTAAAATTTGTGTGTGTTTGTTTACCAAACAGCTGCCCAATTCGCCGCTCTGATGCGCCAGAACCAAGCCATGATGGCCGCCTTCACATCAGGGAGCGCCCTACCCGGATCCACGGGGGAGGACCCCTCCTCGGCCATCGCCGCCCTGGCCAACAACACCCCACCCCAGTCTACCTCCATGCTCCCCCTCCCTCCCAACACCAACCCCTCCTCCTCCTCCAGCTATCACATCCACGACACAGTCTTCAAGGCGGTGCCGGACTTTGTGAGGGAAGGGCGTGGCCCTGCGGAGGGGCGGGTGGTGGGCGTGCTGGACCTGAGCGGGAAGGGGATGGCCAAGAAGAAGAAGAAGAAGGTCAAGGTTCATACCCTGAAGGTGGACGGCAAGCTGATCAAGATCAAGAAGCCAGTGGTAAGATTTCATGTGCAACGCTGTGTATATGTAAGCCTCAAAAAGAGTGATTTATTGTTAGTAAATCGCAACCAAGGCCTCTCAGTGTAGACTTCTTATTTGGTGAATTACATGGAGGGCCATTTCATGATTGAAGTTGGATTGGTATACTTGTTTTTATTCATGGGTCATTTATTTGCTTCCATCATCATACAGTGAATACCTGTGTTTAGCTACCTATTTCATGTATGTTTGTTAAGACCATCAGCCTGTGACGAAGTTCCTTGTTGCTCTTGAGTAGTCTTGCATGCAGGTTTGACTCGAGACTCTATAGCTCATTGGTAGAGCAGTGGTCTCGTAACCTGGAGGTCCTGGGTTCAGAACCAAGTTGATGCGCTAGTTCCCTTTAGTAAGGCATGAATCCCCATTACCAAGTCCCTCGGCCCCTTGCCGCTCGTTTCTCAAAACCGTCATAAGTCTGACTTCTGGACTAAATCAGCGTTAGTAAGCTACTTGTCCACTACATTGTCCACAAATATTAGAAATGGTTATATTTATGGATATTTCAGCCGTCTTTGAACCTATTTTCATCAAACAAAGATGATTTTGTCATTTAAATTGTATGTTCTTTCAAATTTGACTCTTAGTTTTTCATTATCTCACGAAAAAATTATTTTGTGAAGCACCCTTTGCAACAAATATTTTAACTATCCCTTTAATACCAATCTTTGTTTATGCATCAATTTCATGGTCGTCATGGTAATTAAACAAGCACCTGCTACTGTACAGAACCCCTTTCACAAAAGCTTGGCTTATCCTTTGAATCTTTTGAATATGTTAGATATCATAGAATAGGTATCAGAATCAGGTCAAGGGGGGTGTTTCACAAAAACTAAGGTTGACTTTAAGTTGGACTTAACTATGGCAGGCTGTTCAAGCCACTGTTTGCTCTCACCATTATGATCTTTAGATTTGAGATATTATATTTTCCTTCAACCATGAATTATCCAAAAAGGTCAATTCTGTAGATTGTGACCATGATTTGTGTGTCCTTTGAGAGACCAATGCCAATAAATGGTGAGAGCCAACAGTGGCATGAACGGCCTGCCATAGTTAAGTCCAACTTAAAGTTGATCTTAGTCTTTGTGAAACACCCCCCAGGACTGTACTGTGGTTTATATGTTATTGTTTCCTGTATCCCATTGAATGTGAATGAATAGGGAAGTAACCCTTTAGAGAGAGAAGTGAATGAACTGAGCCATTGAAAAGCACATGCGCTCAATCTATTGTTCTGTTTCCTGATGTGTGTTTACATAGGTTTTATAAGTCATTGAGCACAGCAGGGCTTATCGATCCAAGCTATGTAAAGGTCTGTGTTTCCTCCAATATGTTACAAATACGATAGAGTCTCTGCTTCCTGTTCCTTTGTTCAGAAACTTCAACTTTTTAGAATCATGTTAGCGATGAAACAAAGAGCAGAAGATATTATTTTTAGCCATGATCGGTGTCTTTGTCACAGTGTGCAAGAGAAGTTTGATAATGCTGATATGACAACTTCCAGAAAGAAACATTGTTTCAAATTGTAAGAAAACCGTGAACCTCTAAATCACTGATCTATATTTATACTTAAAATTGATCCTTCTCTGATTTGGTTTTGGTCTTTTCCTTCATTGGGGGATCTTCTTATTCTTTTTCTGCCAAAAGTGGAATTTAAAAAAGATTAAAGAGCTCCATGAAAATCTGCCCAAAGGATCTGTGTCGTAACCTGTCTCTGCCTATCTCATGCTCATTTTCTCCAATTCATAACTGATTAATTGTCCCACTCACTTGTTCTTGAGTAGCTATCATGAAGTACTGAGTTCAAGTTGACGTGAATTAACTTGAATTTTTGTATTTCTGTATCTCCTCTTTTCAGGATGATTCAAACCCCCTCAAACCGATGAAGAAAAAGAAGAAGAAGCACAAGCACAAGCTCGGTGGTGGAAGTGGCCAGTCTACTGAACAAACCACGTCTACTGCAGCTTCAGAAGTAAGCTTACTTGTCTCATAAAATATGGGGTACTATTTTAGGAATATTGCATCATTGCTATGATGTCAGTATTATGACCTCTTAGGTTTTAAGCTAAAATTAGAAGATGTCTATCATATTCTGATGACGTTGAAGTAAATAATGATTCAATCCTTTGTGTGTGGTGGTATTGACATTTAACTAAGTTTTTAGAGTGTGTTCCTTTTTAATTGAAGTTCAGAAATTTAACTGTAACCCAACCCTGTTAGCACTTGGCAAAGTGTGTGAAAAGTTTCTATCTTGCTTTGGAAAAATTATAGGTGATTCTGACGTTGTTCGCTAGCGCTTGTGCATAGAATACATTTCATAGAGGAAAATGTCATGAGAAATATATAAGGGGATAAGGTTTTTGTAAGTGCTGTTATTCTATTGTCCTGTGAGAAATAGTAGAATATTGCAAGGAATATGGTGATTAGTAGCTGTTGATGTAGTATCATCATCATCATCATCATTATTGTTGTAATTAAATGTGTTGAATGTAGAATCCCAATTTCATGTCATTTTTGCAATTAACATAAGAAAATAGTTGTTTCTCGTAACACTTTAAATTGAATTACCAATTTGTTATTTTAAATGTTGAATAGTACCCTGAAACTGATCACCGTCTCCTATCCTATGTTGTGTCCCCAGTCTCAGGAATCTCAGGACGACGGAGCCACAGGCGCGGCGGCCGCACCCTCCTCCTCTCCCGGCGGCTCGACCACGCCCGTCAAGAAGAGGAAGCGCCTGAAGAACCCCATCAGGCTGGACGAGGGTGCCATCACCGGTGAGGAGAAGGTTGGGATGATCTCCAGGGAGTCTGGGAAGAGGCTGGCGGGCAAGCACTGCCCGTCCCTAGCCAACCTCTCTGACTGGCTTATGAAGCATCAATCCTACAACGTGGCCATGGAGTGGGCCAATATTGTCAAATCTAAGGTAAGGATATTTCTTCCTCTGCCATGTGACATTGTGTGTACCTTTAAAACAGGTCAAGTGCAGGCCTGATAATTACCTGATTTAAATTGATTTTTTTTTTTTTTTTTTTTTTTTTCCCCCAGATTTTTTCTTCTTCCCAATTTTACCCCTATTTTTCCCATTCCCCCCCCCCCCCCATTTTCTTTCTTCCAGAATCCTTCTTTTATATTTTTTACACAAGGGGGGGGTGGTTTGAGGGGTACCACTTCTGCAGCTTTTCTGGCACCATTTCCTCTCTCTGTGAAGCTTTTTCAGGCTTTGTAAGCTACAAAACATATACGGTAGAGCTCCAACATGAATTGAATCTTATCTGACAAATTGGGTAAAACCAACTGGTCAAGTATCCTGGATATGTACATTAGTAGTACTTTGAGTTTGTACATCAATTTACCTTGTTTTAAATCTATATTTGTTTACTTTTGCTTCTTGTTACTAGGGTTACCTGAGAGAGGAGCTGAAGAACAGAGTAGCCACCAGCAAGTCTCGTCATATCCTGATCAAGCCGAACATTGCTCCCGCCCCCACCAAGCTTACGATAGGAGGCCTCTCGGGGTCAAAGGTCACCACCCAAATGTGTCAACGTCCTATGGGTGGTATCGGTTTCCCCGCTTCTTTCGCTGGGATCGGGATGGGGCAGATCTCGTCTCCGACTGGGTTGACCGTCACCGCGTCTGGGCTTACGGTGCCCTCGGCCGACGTTTCTAACGCCTCGTCGCCCAAGAAAAAGAAGAAGAAGACGAGTTCCAGCCCCGCTGGCATTAAGAAAAACATCTTGCCAAGGACTATCACGGTGGATCCTCTTGCTGCGAGCCAGATGGCAGGTATATCCCCGTTCCTTCTACCAAACACGGGCAACGTTTTCTTCTCGCCGTTTCTAGCTCAGCAGGGCGTGCTTCAGGCCGCGGGTAACACCGTCACGATCACGAGCCCCGGCTCTGCCTTGGCTTCGAACCAAGAGGGAATGGCCCCTCCCACGCTACGAGTTATCACGACGGACAAAAAGTCTCGAAAGAGAACTCACGCTGTAGCGGCCAGTCCCAAAGTCATTGTCCAGAATAATGTTCAGGGAAAAGATAGTGATTCCAGTGATGACGATGATGATGGACAGCTTATGATCACAGAAAACGATGACTTATGACCTATGTCTACCCCATAAATGATTCCAGCATTTGAATTTTCATTCTAGATTCTGCTGATAGAGAAATATGTGTGTAAATCTGGAAGATATTATGTGTGATATTTATTTCGATAAGTTCATGTAGAATTTTGATAATTCTGGACTTAATACTAACTAACTTCTGGTGTCAAATTAAAAGAATACCGGTACTTTAGATTGATTTTTAATATCCTTGAATCAACATTCTTACTTCAAAGTTGGTGTTGAGCCTAGCTTAGTCAATGCATATTTACATCTTTCTTTTGGGCTGGAATGGTCAAAGCAATTATCCCTAAGCAACTAGTTTCATATTAAGTGATATCCATCGTATTGTCACTTTGAGACGATACATGATGCAATTAATTTGGAGTGTGACTGTTAATGACCCATTTGAATTTGTTTGGTTTATGAATATTTGTTGTGTGTGGTGACATCTTGAAATGCAAACTATGACAATTAAATGGGGTTTATTTTAGATTTTCCCTAGAAATGATAAGTCAATGAGTGATAAAAAGCTATGATAATTTTTCATTTTTTTATTGATATTAGCAACATTGACGTCTTTTATACAAAAATAAAGCAAAGACATGTATTAGATGTTGAAGAAAGAAATATGGATGAACAACAGAAGATGGTTGCTGAGAAACGGGTAAAGGATTTATTCCTTCATAAGTGAAAGAAAAGTTTTGCAGCATTGGGTACAAATTATTACTTTTTTTTCTTTTTTCTTTTTTCTTTTGTGATGAAAAAGTGAACCAATTAAAGACAACACAAACATGATAAGGAGGCGACTGTCTGACGAATCATATGTTAACTTTAGGCCAAATTTGCATCCAATTTTGTTGTGTGTATGTACTCCTTCTTTTTTGTAATTGTATTCATTTGCTGTCTTTAAACCTTCTGTCCCAAATATATCATTTTAATATGTGTGATGTGCTGATTAACGAGTAAGATTGAAGTAAAAGAGAAGATGATATTACACTTCTTACGTCCTTTACGTTTCCTTATTGTCCTTTAACAATCGCTTGCTGTGAAGTTCATGCACTTTTGTTTGAGATAGATACTAATCCATTGCCAAATCTATTCCTTGTGGTCATTTCCTCAAAACTTTATAGATATTTAGGGTTTTATTTTTTACTTTAAAGCAATAAGAATTCTGGTGCAAGAGAACAAAGATGTGCACAGAAGTGAAACTAATGGGTGTGATGTAAGAATCAATTACTTGACAAAGGAAAGCGGGTATTTGTAAAGCAGAGTTTCATAATGTAAAGACAGGAATAAACGTCCTTCCGGTAGAATGAATTTAAGTTAATTTTATTGTATTGAAAAAAAATATTTTTAAAGCTACTCGGAGTAGTGAAACTGTATTTTTCAAAGAAAAAGGTAAAATCAAGAATTCTCTCCCATGCAGGAGTTGATCGTTCGGACTAGCACAATGCAAAAAATAAACAAAAGGCACGCTGGAAATTTTTTTTACTTCTAAACCATATTATTGTAGGAGGTGCTATATATTCAAATTCATTACTTGAAAGGCTTTACTTTTATCAGTGTAAAATAATTTCCCCAATATGGTTTAACACCTGAATCTGATTTAAACTTTTGTAATTCAACATTGCTAGGTATGCGAAGAAATAAGGACATTACATTTGACGATTTATGTGTAGTGTTGATGGAAATCACAGAAGAACCTTCTATGATTTTTCTGCAAAATTGAGCTGCAATAAACAAGTAAAACTGACAAAAGTGTTAAAGGTTTTGAATATATATTTTTTTAAATTGGGTACTCAGAAACTGAATAATTATATAACGTAATATGGCTTTGTAAAATGAATTTTTATCAAGCTCTGATTTTTTGTTACTGCAAAAAAAATTGTCAAAGACATACAATAAACATAGGAAATGCTAGGCTGATAAAGTTTTTTTTTTTAAGCTAATGGTTAAGACACTATGAACATGACTGACAAAGAAAGTGGACAAAATATACAGTTCCTCAGGTAGACAAAGGAACATCCCTTCACTGCTATAATGCAAAAATGTGTAGAACAGGTGTCACATGCATATTCACCTTTTTACATAATAGCAGTGATGGGATGTTCCTTTGTCTACCTGAGGAACTGTATATTTTGTCCGTTTTCTATATATGTTATGTTCATAGTGAGAGCTTGTCTATAATTTGGGGTTTAGAAACTTTTTTTCTTGATCAATTTCTAGTGATTACCCTTGCGTTGTTTGTAAGCAGTTGCCCCATAATGAAATGCTAATTATTATTTCATTGTTTTAAATATCCATTATGAAACACTTAGTTTATGACAGGACTGGACTCCAAGTCGGTTGTCTCAAGCACAGAGTATTCTGATTGTTAAGCATTCATTTGAGAAAGTTATCAGTACCTTGTTCGTTGCTTGAATCAAGAATGCTCATGAAATAAAAGAAAAGCAAAATATACTTCTACATCTTGCCTTGTGTGTTGACCTTTCTTTTTTCTTAAAAGTGGTTGTGTTCAGAAAAAAGTAGTTATTTTAGTTTGAATTTTGTTTATTAATATATACATGATGAACCTTCTAATAGAGAAATTCTGTACAAAAAATGTAACAAGACATGAAATTACATTACACAAAAATGCAAATTCTAAAAACAAATGAAATGTAAATAGCACTAAAGTAAACTGGAACTGATATGTACCGTACATGTGTATTGATCATAAAGAGAGAGAGAGAGAGATTATTATTTTGTGACGCTTGATAAACTAAATGGTGGCATGTAAGTTAACAAGTGGTGAACCTCCTACTACTATCAGGGCAGTTGCAAAGAAGACAAAAACTTAACCTTTAAAAAGTTGTATACGGTGTAACAAGCATATACTTTTTCATCGAGTCAAGTTGATAAAGTCTACAAAATGCAAGTCCATTTCCGGGTCAATAATAAGTGGAAAAGGATGCCTTTCTTACTAGGATGCCTTCAATGTGTATAAAGAAGTATGATTGATTAACATTTATACTTGTTGGATGTTGATAGCAAAACTGCTATTCACTCTAGCAAATGTGAGGTTTGTCAAGGGACAACCAAAGTACACCCCATATATGATATATAACACTGATAATTAATTAAGCCTCTATTTATTATTATTCAAGGATCGAGTGAATTAAGATGGGATGAGAGAATTTCGGTACCTCGTAGGTCTCATCTTAAGCAGGGACAAATCAAGTGTATTTCGCAGGGTACGGCTACAGTCATTGACTCTGCTCTCAGGCAGGAGATATCGATGAACCTTAGATTGGAGAAGTGATTCTGCAAATCTTAGAGAGAGGGATGTGCGTCTCTCTTTAAGAGAGGAGACTCCAAGATGAGATTGCAGTTCATTATAAGTTCTAGAGTCGGGGTAGGTAATAATCCTGAGAGCTCTCCTCTGAACTCGCCCGATGCTTACAGAGTGGTTGTTTGTGATCCCTGATGTCCAAACAGGTGCTGCGTACGCAGAGGCGGTTCTCCCGGGGGGGCAGGGGGGCACAGTGCCCCCCCCCCACTTTTTCAGATACCCCAAAAGTGCCCCCTTTTACATAGGAAAAGTGCCCCTTTTACTTTGACAAGTGCCCCTATTACTAAATAAAAGGGCCCCTTACCCCCTTTTCACCTCTGACGAGTGCCCTTTTATTTTTGACACGTGCCCCTTTTCCTTCAACACGTTCCCATTTTCCTTTGCAATAAGTGTCCATTTTCCATTCTCATAAATCTTGAAATTATCTTTAATAAGTGCCCTTTTTAATCTCTAGTAAGTGCCTCTTTTCAGGTACGAGAAGTGCCCCTTTTCACTTTTGATAAGTGCCCCCTTCACCTCTGATAATTGCCCTATTCAAAACTGAGAGGTGCTCCTTTACTTTGACAACTGCCCCTTTTTTCCTTTGTAAGAAGTGCCCCTTCTCCTTTTAATAACTACCCCTTTTTTAAACTCGGATGAGCACACCTTTAATTTTAACATGTGCCCCTTTTATTTTCTAATAAGTGCCCCTTTTCCTTATGATAAGTGCCACCATTAAAAAGAGAGAGCTCCTTCCCCTTCTCATAACTACCGCTTTCCCTTTCTAATAAGTGCCCCTTTTCCTTATGATAAGTGCCCCCATTAAAAAGAGAGAGCTCCTTCCCCTTCTCATAACTACCGCTTTCCCTTTCTAATAAGTGCCCCTTTTCCTTATGATAAGTGCACCCATTAAAAAGAAAAAGCTCCCTCCCCTTCTCATAACGGCCCTTTTTTTAAATTTGAACGGTGCCCCCTTTTCATTCAACAAATGCACATTTTCCTTTATTATAAGTGCCCCTTTTACATTTTCATAAGTGCCCCTTTTCATATCTGGTCAGTGCCTCTTTTCACCTCTTATAAGTGCCCCTATCAAAATCTGATGGGTGCCCTTTTTCCGTCAACAAATGCCTATTTCCCATTTTCGTAAACGCCTCTTTTTCATCAGGTGAGTGCCTCTTTTCAGGTGAAAAAAATGCCTCATGTTCACCTCTTATAATTATCCTTTGTACTTTGACACGTGCTCCTTTTCTGTTCTAATGAGTGTCTTATCCCTTTCGATAATTGTCCCCTTTTCATGAAATCATTAAACATGCCCCTTATTTAAAGCGACTAAGAGCAATTTCCCCCAAAGTTCGCTCGCTGCGCTGGCTCACATTTAAAGATGATATAATTATGTAAGTTATCAAAGGTCTTTTCAGTCTTCCGTTATGAGAATGTGCTTATAACCCCATCACGATTGGTTTTTTTCCTCTTTATAAGATGTAATTTTTCGCACTGCGACCTCGCAGATCTTTAAAAATTTTCTCGCTTGCTTCGCTAGCTCGTAAATGCATATTCAGACATCCCACCCAACTGTAAAGTATGATGCTCAAGCGATATCTTGTATGATGTATGAAGAGAAAAAAATATTGAAATCATCCCTGATAATGTAATCACAATGCAGGGGTATGTACCAATGTCAAAAAAATTGTATATTTTCGCTTTGAGATTTCCCACTGTAGGTGCCCTTTTTTCTTCAGAAAGTGCCCTTTTTTGTTGGTGCCCCCCCACTTTGGAAGTCGCTCGACCGCCCCTGTGCGTACGTTCCTCCCCTGTACTAATAATAAGGAATTATCTTTTTCATTAAAATAGCGAGTATGCCTGTCATAAAAGAAATTTTTCCAGACTAGAAATTAAAGGAATTCATTTGTTTTCAGAACTGGCTGGAAACGTACTGCTCAAAGGATATTTAGAGTTAGTCAAGCTTATTATGCAGTAGCACATAAATTTGCATTAATGACACAGAGGCAATCTGCAGGTTTTTGAATGTTTCCTAATTTGTTAATTGTTATCTGGCAACTTTAGCTGTTGGTATAGAAATATCTACATATTGAAAGTGAATTTGTCTTGCATACCTTGCATGGTTTTGATGTTAATGACCCAGGCAAGGAAAGTGAATAAATAGAGGTAGTATTAACGGAAAATCAGTAGAACCCTTCAAGTTGGTGCTAGGGTGTGGACATAGTGCTTGGGCTAGATTTCAGTTAGCAAGGCAGCAGAAACGTTGCCTCTGGGAGATTTCCACGTAGAGGCGAGATGCGAGCCCAAGCTGCCATGTTGTCGATATTAAAGTATTGGACCCTCGTCAAACACTATAGACATGACAAAGAAAGCGGACGAAATATACAGTTCCTCAGGTAGATAAAGGAACATCCTTTACTGATATTATGTAAAAAGATGAATATGCATGTGACACCTGTTCTACACATTTTTACATTATAGCAGTGAAGGGATGTTCCTTTGTCTACCTGAGGAACTGTATATTTTGTCCGCTTTCTTTGTCAGTCATGTTCATAGTGTATAAGGAGCTCGATCTCGGCCTGCCTGCAAGTTCATCCGTGGTCAAGAGGGGAGTCAGGTAGAGAGACAGAGACTACACAGATTACCTGCCATGCCGGGGCGTTATCTACCAAGCCTAGAGACTGGCCAAGCGACCCGGAGCTGTGAGGGACTCATCAGATGGAAGCTACCCATTATTTTATTAAAGTTATGTATTTTTAAATTATTTTATGTTCTGTTCATCTTAAACGCCACAATTTGAAGGCTAAACTTCATTATAACTTTATGTAATTAGTAGCAGTTTAAAGAAGAAAAAAGTCCCCCACGTGACATAATAATGTACAGAACATGTATAGAAATAATCTATACAAATGATGAGAGAGGTCTATTTTTTGTGACACTGATTAACTAAATGATGTCATGTAATTTAGTAAACAAATAGTAATATTTAATCTACAATTAGGTCAGTTGCAAAGAGGGCAATAACTTAACCGTTAAAATGTTGTATATTTTGTGACAATTGACAAGCATATATACCTTTTCATCAAATCAACTTAGTAAATAAAGTCTTCAAAATCATAAGTCCAATTCTGGGTCAATAAGAGGAAAGGGACGATGCCTTTCATACTAGTAGGATGCTTGCAATATCGAAATCCAAAGTCAATAAAGATGTATACCAACATGTCTTAAAATGTATTCCTGTTTGAATGTTGGTAGCAAGATTGCTATAATTCACTCTACCTTGAAGGCAAATGGGACAACTAAAAACTACATCCCCTCCCCCTTGTTTTGTAAATTGCAAGTTTTCCTTTACAACATGTACGTTCCTCCCCTAGCTGTTAACAAAATACTAAATTGATAAATTATTTATTTTCGTTTATAAACAATAAGCGATATATAATAGAAATCAAGGGGGAGACTGTTATGTGTAAACAAAAAATCTCGGGAAGAATATATTCCCTACAAATCTTATAAACTCCCAGGCCACTGGATCTTACAGAGTAACATAAAACTCTGATACAATGAACAAAATGTATATGTATACATTTTTTTTAAATCGTAGATTTAATTGCTCTTATTTATACCAAGCATCACCCCCCCCCCCCCCCCCCCATCCCATCCCTATAAAAGCCCTTAAACTATGACGGTTTCATGGTTGATTAGTGATTCACCTGACTGCTAAGAAAGTAGCAACCAATTGAGGGACCGCGATGGCCTCCTTCCCAGAGGGACTTGGTAATGAGGGTAAATGCCTCACCATCTGAGGGCACGAGCGCATTGACTTCATTTCGAACCCGTGACCTGTCGGTTACGAGACCACTGCTCTAACGCTGAGCCATCGCACCTCCTTGGTGACCGACCGGGGATGACACGCTTTTGGCTTACTGTTGCATATTCATCATTTTGATTGTTATTGATTGGCTGAGAAGAATTAAAGACCAAAATGTGCATACTAAGTAGCTTATTCACCCAGAGGGAATAAGATTAGTCCGCGTTAGCTCCTCATTCTTGACGTCAAATCTTCGAACTATGAGTTTTGTTCCAAAATGATCTTATAAACGGTTGTAAATATGATAGAATAACATTATTCCTAGTTAATGTATGTCATGTTGTCTTTGCTCAACAAAAAATGGGTGAAAACTAGAGAACTTTTTGATTGAAACGCGGACCGGTATTGATGACTTTATGAGTAAACAATTTCCCGCCCTTTTTAGCTTGTGATCAATTTTGCGTCGCGGGTGAACGAACCCGGCTTGCCTGTAGTCCCACATGCGTAAATTTGTTGCAATGCCGACTTCATGGTGTATTTAGTTCGTCAACAAGAAAGCAGCGTAACCGCAACTTGAAAATAAATTTGTACCATTATCCCCCTAAAAGAGAAGAATAATGTCGGATTCATCCGAGGAGATCGTGCTGACTACTAAAGACAGATTTGAAGAATTATGCATGAGTTTGAATTTGGATGATGCCACGAAGAAAACAGCTTGGGAATCGTACGAGAGGATATGCTTAAATTACACGCTAGAGGTCAGTATTTAAAAACTTGTTATTTCTGTACGTGGATGCGACAAAAACAATCAACTGCTTCACACCGTCCTACTCATTTATAACATTGTCTAATATTCAATGTTTTTATAATGATTCATACATTGTTAAACAGAAGCATACACCCTTGGAACCATTTATTTGTTATTAATTTTAATTAATTTCTGAACATGAAAATGTGAATTTGAGATTGAGTTTCTTCACATTTTGTTGCTTTCTTTTCTTGCCTTCTTTGTTTTTGTTTTGTTTTTGCTTTTGCTAGTTCAGAATCGCCCTGTCTTGAAATTGAATTGATCATTTTCAAAATCATATCATTCATGTCATTCTTTCAATCAATCAAGTAAGAATTGTGAACATTCTGGTTAGGTTAGGCCTAGACTATACTGTCGGTAGGCCTACTGAATAATTTCAATTCAATGCCAAAACTTTTCTCAACTCATTAAATCTCACCTTTATTTATCATTTGTTATAGTCTATTTGACGATCAATCATGATAATGTTGATAATGTCACCATGCCTGTTCCCTGTCTAGCTGACTATGTCGAGAATCAATTTAATTCTTTTTATTCAATTGGATCTAATCTAGACCCTCTCGGCTAAAGTAAAGTGACGATCCCTTAGTCTTTACCGGTACCTATTATAACCAGTTGGAAGAATTGGAGAAGTTGTGATGAAGATTTATGGAACATCAGATTTTTCATCGTTCAAGACAAAATGTCCTAAGCAATCTTTATTCTTATATATTTACAACCCACTGTACTGCTGGTATAGTGAAACCTTTTAAACTTATTTGATACACCGTGTTAAGAGAGACCAAAGTTGTAGACCTAAATACAAGCTTGTTCAAGCTAGTAGAAGTAGATCTAGTCGTTTACAAATTGCTTCAAACTGTTTGCTGGAATTGCAACCACAAGATTTGAGTCCAGATGGGACAATATTGGTATCTCCTCTTTCGTGAAATCAGCAATTGCATCTAGAGACTAGACCAGTTGGAAACTCACTTTCTTTCCTGAAAATGTCTTATGATCGAGTATATTGTTTTAACATTAACAGTTTTAAGTTTGAGCCCAGTTCATTGTTACCCTTCAGTGATTTTTTTTTTTGCATTTTGTCATTTTCATTCACATTGGTTCATGATATGTTTTTTAATTTATGGAGATTAAGTCTAAATGATTCAGACATTGGAAAATTCCTCTTCATATTACTGTGGGTAAACTGTTTGTAAATTCGACAAGCATACTACTTAACATGTAAACCTCCATCTCTCAATTCTCAGTAAGGTGATCGTCAGTTTAATAGTAAATCATTGATCACCCTATATATTTACATCTTTTTTTCATGTATTTTCACATTTTGTAGGGAGATGACATTCAGTGGCTTGCCTGTGCCCTGTACGTGGCATGTAGACGGAGCGTTGTGCCAACCGTTAGCAATGGCATAGTAGAAGGCAACGGTGTGTCTCTGACTCAGCTGCTCCGATCTGCCAAACTAAGGTAAGATGCTCGGTCATGCAGTGGCGCATTGGTATGAGACCCTTCTATCCCCCTTGAAAAATATTATGTCTGAAACAAACTTGATACAGTATATCATTAATTTTGTACAGTATTCATGCCATGTTTCACTTCGGCGGTTTTATCCAGTTCTTCAAAATGGCAAAGTAGTAGTTTTTAGACAGGGCCTTTATCCCAGACATTAGTATTGCTATACAGGTAGTTTAAACAGTTATTAGATCTTTCTTGGATGCTAATGCTATAACACGCTTTTATGTTTTTCTATAGCATCATCCATTTCCTTAACAAGATTGAGAAGTGGTCAGACATGGCCAGTCTACCCCAGCAGTGTCATTATATTCTTGCCAATACAGGTAGTTTAAAACTTTAAACAGTTATTAGATCTTTCTTGGATGCTAATGCTATAATACGCTTTTATGTTTTTCTATAGCATCATCCATTTCCTTAACAAGATTGAGAAGTGGTCAGACATGGCCAGTCTACCCCAGCAGTGTCATTAGCTTTCATGGTTCTATCTTGTTACTGTGGTTGTTCGTATGTAGAGTCCACAGTGAACATGAATTTTTTACTGTATTATTATTTCCTTTAAATTTGGACAGTGTCATCCAGTTCTTCAACAAGATGAAGAAGTGGTCGGACATGGCCAACCTGCCGCAGCAGTTCAGGGACAAGGTAGACCGTCTGGAGAGGAACTTTGCCGTCTCGACGGTCATCTTCAAGAAATACCAACCCATCTTTTATCATCTCTTCAAGGAGGGGGACAACACACCCAGGCCCCCTAGGAGTAGAAAACACAGGTAGGTCTGAATTCAACATTTTTGATAGCATAGTATACTTTTTTATAAGAGATAAGGGACTTTGAGAAAGATGAAATTGCTCCTTGAGAGGACTGATCAGACTTCAACTTTCATCTTGTGAGATCCATCCATATCTGCACATATTATGAGGTGCACAGGACAAGCTGCTTCTAAAGCTATGTCACACAAAAACAAAAGTGACTCTTGGAGATTGCGCTTTCCGTTGCGCCGCTCCAAAGCTTTGGAATAACCTACAACTAGGTATAAGAAAAGCCTCTTCTGTTGCTGTTTACACAGTTTTGTTGGAAGTGCACATGTTTTCAGGAGCTTTTTTCACTAAGGTTTGCATCAAAAGTATGAAGTAATATCCTGAATAATAATCAACCATATGAACACATGTGTTTCTTTTGTGAAACTTAATGGGTGTTCACATGGCTAATCATTATTTAGGATTCAGCAAGAGAAAATTAGGCCTTTAATTGTTCTTTATTTCCACTTTGCAGCTACATATTGTCTAGCCTTTAAAAATGAATACCGCTGTACTTTATGCTCCTTTTTTTCTGTAGGAAAAAGAAATGTAATCGTAATGAAACCACAACGCATTTAAAGATAAACTTGAGTTCTGGTAAAAAAATAAAATGAATTCTCACAGAATCTAACAAAACTTACACTGAATGTTCAAGATTACAAATAAATGTCATGTGCCAAACAAATTTGGAAGAAAATGTATACTGGCTGAGTAATGAGCATAAAAAGATAAGGAAATCAAGGTAGTACTAGCCCCGACACCATGCGTGTTGTCCCATATACATCTTCTGTGTAAGTGATTGTTACTTTACCAAGACTCGCCAAATTTATGATGATTTTGATGACTCCAGAACCTTGCATTACACACCATTACTTACATGCTATATGATCAACTTTTCTGATTCATTCTAAACCTTTTCTTTTACAATGCAATTGCATTACCAGAACTCAAGTTTATCTTTAAACTTAAACTGAAAAGAACAATACTTGCCACTTATTGATATATTGAAATACATAATTGATTCATATATTTTGTTAGCATGTAACATTATCATTATTGTATTGTATTGTATTGTATCGTATTTCATTGTATTGTATTGTATAGTATCTGTATGTTTTTATGTTTGGGGTTGCTTGTTTACAAGTTTTTAACTTATTTTAGCAATCCCGGTATTTATAATGATTTCATTTGTAATCATTTCATTTTTATGTTTTTATCTTTTGCCGAATAAATGTGAATTTGAATTTGAATTTAATTCCCTTTTTTTCTTCCTGTGAGCTGTTTTGCTTGTTGCTGGTAGTTGTATTGTTCCTCACTTCATTGGTTCAAATATTTTGTGTTGATTTTTTATAATTGTAACTATTTAGTTTATGCAGTATTTATCTTCACTAGCTGATTATACCACCCAATATACCTTATCCTGACAATAACATCTATGCAGTTACATGTAGATGTTTGTAATATCGTTGAATTGATGACACCTTATAGTCTGGGAACAAGATTGTTAATTGATTAACATGAAGATTTTGAAGATTATGTTATCTGGATGTACATCGTAAATTAATTTAATTAATTACCCGTCATTAACTGAGTAAGAGCTACTACTACATTCACGTTTATCAGTGGAGGCTCACCAAAGATTTCTCCTGACACTTCCTTCAATTTCTAAGTTTGTTTTTTTTTCACATAAAAAATCCCCCAAAATTGTACATACGGTAGAATTGAATTATATTTCTATATTGTATTTTATTTTATGTTGCTGAACCTAAACTAAAGCATATTAGAGCATGTTTGCTTATTGTAAATAAGATCTTTGTATGTGGTTTCAGTGTTGGCACACTCCACAACTTTGTTGCCAGGCATTAAAGGTATTACAAAGTTTTGGGAAATTTTGAAAATTGAATGGATAGTAATTCTTTACAATTTTTATATATTTGGATGCCCCTGTGGATGTATTATAAGCACTAGAAAATTTAGCCCCTAAAATATTTCTGCTTTTGAGAAATTGAATGATCACAAATTTACTGGTGCTCCCGGTAAATTTCAAATATTTCAAAAAGCGCCTAAGGCCATTCCATTGTAGCTGCGACCATGAAAATATCAGAATATGCAGTTCTGATATACATATTATTTCTAAACAGGGAAAAGCAAATCGATCGATTGTAGTCAAGAAACATTGTTTAAGAGCTAAAGTAATATCTGTCTTGAGAGAGTGCTACAGTGTATACAACATAAAGAGTTTATTATTTACAATTTCATCACTTTAGACTCGATTTCAACCGCAACAACGATCATTGAAATATTGTGAAATTGCATATGCTTCCAATATGTTAATTTGAACCAAATTCATGACCCCATACCAAAACTTTGTAATACCTTTAATTGAAGTCATTATGTTAGTGAAAGAATGCTAATTAGATGAGTATAGACAATTTTGTGATTCAAAATGAAATTTCAAGGATATTGACAAAATGCTCAATGCCCAAATACCAGTAGATCAACCAGACTGTCACTTTGGAAGTTGGGAACGAATGTTTTGGAGGGGTGTTTTCAGTTTTGAAAAGACACATGTACAGGTGTATGCCTACTGAATGTGATAGAGGTTATCATTTAGAATGACAGTGCTAGTTTGTAAGGTACTGTCAAAATGAACTTTTCTGTTAATAAAGGAATCAATTTCACATGATACAGACATCTTTGTTAAATAAATCGTCCCTATTTTCACGAAGTGACGGTAGTGAATGAAAATCACAAACAATTGGCGTACGGATTTTCCTCGCTACCGTCACTTCGTGAAAATAGGAACAAAATGTGCAAAGTGGACATATTGTAATGTTCTCATTATACTCCCTAGTGTCCTAAAAGACTCGTACTGTAATACAAGTTTTTGTCCTTGCTAAATTGCAGGCCTAGATGATAACGTAACAATTCATGTCCCTATTGACTTCATACATTTAAATCTGGACCTTCAAATATTAAATAGGCCTCTTGTAAACATGGACAACTACCCCCCCCCCCCAAAAAAAAAAAAAAAAAAAAATGAAGAAAAGATTATCTATTACGTCACTGAAATACAACAGTTTATAACATTTCTTTTTTATTCTTTCTCAATAGGAGACTGCCGTGCACAAGCCAAGACGTATTTTCCTTCTGTTGGACCATCTTTGTATTGGTGAAAGGTAAGATGTTTACTCTGCAATTTTTACCTCATGTTCTGCTGAAATGTATGATGTGATTGTATTTCTATATAATCTACAATTAATCATAAGATCGGGGAATGAAGAGTTCTGTGCATGAGTGTTTTTTTGTATGTTTTTGTTTTGTTATGTTTTAAAAACCATTTCATGAACGAATGAAGTACACTTTTTTTTATGTGCAATTCTCTCTGTTTTGGTTGAAGGGTTATACTTTTACTATTTTAGGGGTTATTTAGGTCTTGAAAGTTAAGTTTAGTTTGACTTTCTGTCCAATATCTCCAATAATATGATGAAGGTTTGTAGTAAATGAATCATAATCATAGGGTAGTAAACATGAGGTAATGAATCTTAGGGCGCGTTCATGCTTGATTTTGACGGCCAGAATCAGGCATCTGTTACGCGTTTAGTTTAAAACACGGTTGCGTCTTAGCTCACTTTTGTAGAATCACCGAAAAACGGCGATCACGATCGCCGATCGTAAACTCACAAAAAGATGCGTTTACAATTTGTAAACGCGTTTAAATGGGGTCAACGCACTGACCTCTAGTAGGTCTACGTAGCATGCACAGTGAAGGTTTGCGAATCCAGCTGGAAGACCAATTAAGGCCACACACGTAGAATTGCCTTGGGAGCCAGAGAAGTAAGCATGAACACTACATCGTGGAACTGCGATCACGATGAGCGTTTACGATGAGCGTTTCAGATCGCTCATTCTGCCTTCAAAATTTAAGCATGAACGCAGCCTAAGTCCATCACATTTTTTGTTTTCATGAACCGTAAATTATTTCTTTGAAATAAATATAAACATTTAAATATGGAGTACCCCCCCCCCCCCCCAGCATTATTTATGTTGTACCTCCACCATCTCCCCTGTGTGTGTGTGTAACTAACACTGTGCAAATTCAACCATGGGTCATAACTACAGGTATCTACCCGTAGCTACTATGTAGGTCTTACATGTACACTTAGTCAATCTGTCCAGCTGACCTTTTAACGACACTCAGAACCATTTGGCATGGTAATCTCATTTCCAGTATGACATTATTTTTTATTAAAGAGTAATCACTGGATGCATCAACTATTAAATTTTACATGTCAACTTACAAGAGGGATAGTGAATATCTTATTATTAGCCATTTCTACAATAAATTGTTGTTACATATTTTTGCTTTGGTAATGTTTTTTATGTAAATCACTTATTTAGTCAAAGAAATGATTGTAGCGACAGTAATGCAGCATTGTGCATTGCAATGTTTAGTTTTGTTTGTTAGCGGTGAGCCCACCTATGCTGTGGTATAATTTGCTCAATTTTTGTATATGAGTTATGTAGAGGTGTCGTTGTTGAGTGCTTTAAGCACTCGACTTGAAATGCAAAGGTCGTGGATTCGATCCCTGACATAGCACTCTTGTCTTTTGGCAAGGCATTTGTTGACATACCTGTATGCCACTCAATACCCAGGAGAGAAATGTGGGCCTGGTAGGAAGCCTTTGCGTTAGTAATTGCCATTTGCCCTCACGGTGGCCATATGGTAGGAATACTCCCCAGGGAGTGGAAATGGTGCACATTAAGAATGGATGAATCCGATGACTGGGTATTTATATCTGTAAAGTGCTTAGAGACGCTTTTGTACCAACTCTTTACAAAAATGGATTGGTTTAAAGTCTAAACAATTTTGCTGGCAGGCGGCATACAATATGATTTGCAATTTAAAAAATTTGCAATTTATTACTTTTTTGGGGAGGGGGCGGGGGGGGGGGGGGGAGGCAGGGGTTTCCTGCTGCATATCTGAACAGACCTTTTACAGTTGACCTCAAACCATTCTCTCTTACAATCCTATGTAGAGAGTAATGTTGTTGCTTACCTTCAAGTACACTAAATAATACAACATATTCTTAGTACAGATTCAATTTATACGTAAGAAATTAGGCTCTGTTTTATTCATTAAAAATCCCATTGAGTATATTGATTTGTTACTATGTGATGAAATCGTCAAGTGACCGACTACAATTGGTCAACTAAATGTTCTATACTAGAAATCCTCTTACCAATTAACCAATAGCAAGCAAGGTCTCATTGACCCCACATGTCAATAAACATCTATTGTGTGCTCTGATTGGTCTGTTGATCAATCACACACCTGAGTGGGCAGGTCCCATTGTGTGGCACGGTTCATTCATATGTAAATAATACTATCACGTTGTTTGCTGCGGCGGGCTTACTTGTTCATTGTGCGATAGAGAGATATGCTCCTCACAAGTTTGGACTTGCCAAACTTTAATGAGGTAGAGTATAGATACAAGATATCATATTCATATAATCACATGGTTCAATTCCATTCACCATACACCCATAGCAGGAATACATACTTGCTTCCCACTTGTGTGTTACTAGCCTAAAAGACCCCACATATTAAATATATGCACCATGTTGGATAACCTGAGATTATACATAATTTGGCAGAGGTATTATAATTTGAAGTTTTTCATTTTCAGAATATTATTACTTCAGTGGGAAGAATATTGTACATCTGGTTAATTACATTATTGCCATAAACTGTATAAATTTTTTTTAGGATTAAGATATGTGTCGGCCCTTGTGGGGAATACCATTTTCTTTTGCTTGTGGAAACTTGGAACATTTGTTTATCTGGTGAATTTGATTATTGATATTGTCTTCAGCTGTAGGATAAATGGATTAGAATTTGTGTTCTGGGGAATTCCATTTTGTTTTGCTGGTCAAAACTAGGAACATTTATTTATCTGGTAAATTTGATTGTCATCATCTGTTGATGAATGGGTTATAATTTGTGTCAAACCATTCAGGGGAATTCTAATTTCTTTTGCTGGTGGAAACTTGGAACATTTGTTTATCTGGGGAATTTGATTATTAATATTGTCTTCAGCTGAAGGATAAATTGATTAGAATTTCTGTTCTGGGGAATTCCATTTTCTTTTGCTGGTGGAAACTGTAAAATGTGTTTATGTGGTGAATTTGATTATTTTCTTCAGCTATAGATGAATGGATTAGAATTTGTGTCAAACCATTGAGGGGAATCATATTTTCTTCTGCTGGTCGAAACTTGGAACATTTGTTTATATGGTGCATTTGATTATTGTCATCAGCTGTTGATGAATGGATAAGAATCTGTGTCAAACCATTGTGGGGAATTCCATTTTCTTTTGCTGGTGGTAACTTGGAACATTTGTTTACTTTATCTGGTGAATTTTGATTATTAATATTGTCTTCAGCTGAAGGATAAATGGATTAGAATTTGTGTTCTGGGGAATTCCATTTTCTTTTGCTGGTGGAAACTGTAAAATTTGTTTATCTGGTGAATTTGATTATTGTCATCAGCTGTTGATGAATGGATAAGAATTTGTGTCAAACCATTGTGGGGAATTCCATTTTCTTCTGGAAACTTGGACCATTGGAGTCAATTTCACTGGGGTATATTAAAGCAGTTTGCTGAACTGGAATATTTGATCCTTGTTTCATATTACATGAAGATAGTGCCCTAGTGACTGACTGATGTTTCATATTGTACCATTTTTGGGTGTTTATATAGCGATTGTTGTTTTTATAAGTATGTGCATATTTTATATTTTTTCATGTGCAACTTTTGTGCATATTTTTGTTATTATATATAAAATTATAAATGATACTTTATTCATCAAGTTGATGTTCTGTATGTGAGGCAAATAAAGGGTGTAAAAAAATTAGAATGTAATGTTATGATTTTGTTTCCCTTTATGGTGAACATACACAGGCGTGGCTGTATTGGCAGATCTTGGTTTAATCCTCTTTTACCATTTTCCAGCCATCCGTGGTGGCCTGGTGAATTCATACCACCTCCTCCTCTATATCCTGGATCTCGTGTTCAGTCATACAAGTTCTTTTTATCTCTCACCTCCAATATATTCATAGTTTTCTTAGAACACACAATGAATATCAGTTTTTTAATTTAACCCTACTTTTTTCCTGCTCTCTTTCTCTCTCTACCAGGTAACTTTCCAGCCATCCAGCCATCTGGATCTCATGTTTAAGTCATACAAGTATATTTTTCTTAGAACATGCAATAGTTATCAGGTTTTTAACCCTACTTTTTCTTCCCTCTCTCTCTCTCTCTCTCTCTCTCTACCAGGTAACTTTCCAGCCATCAGCGACGACCTGGTGAATTCATACCATCTCCTCCTCTGTAGCCTGGATCTCATGTTCGCCAATGCGGTGCTGGCAAACAGGCGTGACCTCTTGAACCCTGAATTCCAAGGTAAGCTTGAAATAGGACCCGTCGCCTCAATATCCAGGGTTGCCCTGCCCTTTTTTCTCTTGACAATTTTTTTGTAATGCAACTTTATTTTCTTGTTTTTCTCTTTTTGAGAGGGGTGGGTTGTAAGAATGAAAGATTGACATTGTTCTTTTGTTTTGAGTCTTTTTTTAAAATTGTCCCCTTTTTTATGCCTCCGCCACCGAAGGTGGTGCCGGAGGCATCATGTTTTCGGGTTGTCCGTCCGTACGTCCGTACGTCTGTACGTCCGTCCGTACGTCCGTCCGTACGTCCGTCCCGTTTGACCGTTATCACAATATCTCAAGAACCATTTAAGATTTAAACTTAAGACTCGGGAATAGTATTTATCACCATAGGAAGACGATCTGATTAGATTTTGGAGTACGTAGGTCAAAGGTCACAGGTCACAGAGGTCAACTTATGAAATTCCTTGTATTGAGTTTGTTAGCGCGATATCTCAAGAACCATTTGAGATTTAAACTTCAAACTTAAGGATAGTATGTATCACCATAGGAAGACGATCTGATTAGATTTTGGAGCACGTATGTCAAAGGTCAAGGGTCACAGAGGTCAACTTATGAAATTCCATACATTGAGATTGTTATCATGATATCTCAAGAACCACTGGAGATTTAAACTTCAAACTTAAGGATAGTATGTATCACCATAGGAAGACGATCTGATTAGATTTTGGAGCACGTAGGTCAAAGGTCAAGGGTCACAGAGGTCAACTTATGAAATTCCATACATTGAGATTGTTATCATAATATCTCAAGAACCACTGGAGATTTAAACTTCAAACTTAATGATAGTGTGTATCACCATAGGAAGACAATCTGATTAGATTTTGGAGCACGTATGTCAAAGGTCAAGGGTCACAGAGGTCAACTTATGAAATTCCATACATTGAGATTGTTATCATGATATCTCAAGAACCACTGGAGATTTAAACTTCAAACTTAATGATAGTGTGTATCACCATAGGAAGACAATCTGATTAGATTTTGGAGCACGTAGGTCAAAGGTCACAGGTCACAGAGGTCAACTTATGAAATTCCTTGTATTGAGTTTGTTAGCGCGATATCTCAAGAACCATTTGAGATTTAAACTTCAAACTTAAGGATAGTATGTATCACCATAGGAAGACGATCTGATTAGATTTTGGAGCACGTATGTCAAAGGTCAAGGGTCACAGAGGTCAACTTATGAAATTCCATACATTGAGATTGTTATCATGATATCTCAAGAACCACTGGAGATTTAAACTTCAAACTTAGTGATAGTGTGTATCACTATAGGAAAACAATCTGATTACATTTTGGAGCACGTAGGTCAAAGGTCAAGGGTCACAGAGGTCAACTTATGAAATTCCATACATTGAGATTGTTATCATAATATCTCAAGAACCACTGGAGATTTAAACTTCAAACTTAATGATAGTGTGTATCACCATAGGAAGACAATCTGATTAGATTTTGGAGCACGTAGGTCAAAGGTCAAGGGTCACAGAGGTCAACTTATGAAATTCCATACATTGAGATTGTTATCATGATATCTCAAGAACCACTGGAGATTTAAACTCCAAACTTGTTTAAATTGCTCTATGGCGGAGGCATCATTTTCGACTGCGCGCAGTCAAAATTCCATCTAGTTTTTTTCTTTTTTTCTTCTTTTATATTTTATAGATTATGCATTTATTCAATATGGCCTAAATATGGTCTAATTCCATCGCTCAAATGCCAGTTTCTTAGACTCACTGCTAGTAATATTAGGTGTGAAACAACCATTTGTTTGGCACTTTTTGGCACTTTTACTAATGTCGCATGCATTGTTGTAATGCTTTGGAGATCATTCAATTTTTATGCAGCTGTGATTCTCTAATTCTTTACAACAGCTGCGAATCTCGACAATCACACGTTAATGCCTCCTAAGCTGTAACTGCAATGCATAAGTAAAAGCTACAAAGTGTAAAGAGTATCTAATGCAGCCTATTTCATGCAGTGACTTTTTAAATTTTGACCTCTGTCGTGTAACCGATCCCGCCCGATTCAAACCCCTCTGAGCATATTTTCAGTGAACCAGAGTATACTCTTTCTTTTTAATTTCATGGTCTAAAAATAGTTCTCTCATTCTGAGCGGAGATATTTATTGCAGATCTGATTAGTTTTAGTAGTAATGTGATACAGATCATGAATCTCTATCTTCTACATGTAGGCCTATGCCATTGAGTTTGGGTTAAATAAGCCATGTATAATAATAATAATAATAATAGGGTCAGCATTTTGTGGTTCACCTCAATAACTTTTGATTCAGAGTCCTAAGAAATATGCAAAATACAGTAGAAAGATGGAAATTTTCTTCACACACTGTAACCGTTTCCGCTCCATGACTATATTACGTTTGCCGCTAGGAATTAAAAAAACAAAAGTAAGCTCTAAAATCCTTTAATTGGCAACACGTGAGATATTATTGTTGCCAATTTGAAGAACATTATGTATCTTAACCCAATTTCTTGGCGGATAGTGTGTAAACTAGAACATTTGCACAATGACAAATTTTTACTTTGTTTTTGGTGAAATATATAACCTACACCTGTACGTCACTGAAAATGTCAGAAGTTTAAAAGTAAAAAGAGAAACTGACCTTATTGGAATGTGTGAATGATGAACATGGGGTCAAAGTTCATCTATTTTTCAATGTTAAGACCTCCTGCAGAGTAACCATTATTTATAGGAACCCAACAGTTTCAATATTCTTTCATGCTACTAAAATGTGATCTCTGTTTGGCGCTAGAAGGGCTGTAACTCTGTGTTAACACAATGTATAGAGTTGTTCCCTTCTGGCTCCAAACAGACAAAAATAATTTCACAAAACTGTAAATTTTCCCATTTTCATTGAAATACATCAACATTGATCAGCCCTGACATATTTTCCTCCTGTTCATGAACTACATGTATTGACACTTTTATGTCCTTTCTCTCCCCTCCCCTCCTTTTCTCTCCCCTCCTTTTCTCTTCCCCTCCCCTCCTTTCCCCCCTCCCCAGGCCTCCCAGAGGGCTACACAAGCCGTGACTACAGGGTCCCATCGGAGGCCCCCTGCATCATAGACAAGCTGTGTGAGGTCCACGACGGGCTGGTCCTGGAGGCAAAGTCTATAAATGAGCACTATTGGAAGCCTCATATACAGAAACTCATAGACGACGAGGTAGGAACTTGGATTTGTCTTAAAATTAGACTTCTGACTGGGGGGGGGGGGGGTGTTTCACAAAGATCCTAAGTCGAACTTAACTCTAAGTTCGACTTAAAAATTATGGAGAGCCATTTGTTGCCTTAAAATAAAATATATTGAAAAGAGCATATTCAAGTATTTTAGACTTTTCATAAATTCCACATCAAGAACATGAAGTCTCCCTTGATAATAGAAATTATGAATGATTTGAATCAACATTTTATGCCTTTTAAAAGAACTTGTGCAAAATAGTTTCATAGATGCTAACAGCTTTCCATAATTGTTAAGTCCAACTTAGAGATAAGTTCAACTTAAGATCTTTGTGAAACACCTCCAGGTGTTGAATGAAATTTTCAATTTGTGAAACTGTTTGCTGTGGCCCAAGGAGAAGTTTTATGTGGTGTAGAAATGGAAGCTTTTATTTGGCAAGAAATATTTGTTTTGCTAACGCAAACAGATAAAATTCAAATTTAATGTCGCCTTTGACCCGTATTCTTCTGAAATTCAAAACCGATCCTGGGCTTGAGCTCATGTTGAAAATCTAGCTTGTGATCTTAAACCACATATATGATTAAAAAGACAAAAAGCTAGATTTAAATACCCTTTTTCTGCAAGTATGTGCTATTTATTTTTCATCTATATTTATTAGATACATGTGGGTGTACCTGTATGTTCATGATATGTTATTGCAATTTGATAAATGTTTTACCATTAAAATTTTTTGAAGGATAAAATCATAAATCCTTTTGAAAATGTATGAACAGAATCAAGATTTCAGGAAGTTACTAGTACTGGTAGTATCAATATCATACGTCATTGCTCTGCATATCTATCTCTCTCTCTCTCTCTCTCCTGTCAAAATGTCACTTTCTATATATATATATATATATTTTATAAATACTTTTTAAAATCTGACTCATCATTATATATATTCTCCTACCACCCCCCTTTCTCTTCCACTCTTTTCTCTCTTTTTCCCCCCTCTCTCTTTCCTCTCTATATATTATTTGTCTTGCAGGATTTGGAAGGGAACCTTGAGAAGCTATCCAACATACTGGATACCAATAACTTTGAATCAAACAAGTAAGTAATATATTTTTTTAATAATTTGTGTTGATGTGAATAATAATTCATTTGAATTTCCTCTTGTCACTCTCTTATTATTGTTTTTTTAATTTGAGAAAAATTGTTTTCCCCACAAAGTTTGCGGAACAAGATATGAATTTTATAAAAAGGGTCATTATTACCATAGACGTAATAGAAATGGACTTTTGACGGCAAGAGTAGTAAAAGTAATGATAGCTACCACCTGTTCTTATGTCTTACTTTCTTCTATGTTTTAAGTCTGACCGCAACGCTGCGGGCATGTTTTGATAAGCTCCGATAAGGGTCCTTTGGTCCTATGAGATCCACCGGGATTTTGCCGACCTCTATCGGCCAAGTCGCTTCGCACTGACCAATGCTTCCCACGATTTGCGCTTCTCATTTCATGAATGAATCGTGACAGGAGAGCCTTCTGCCCATGCGCAGCTAAATACTACGTCAATAGTGCCCCGGATGTAAACATGAGGTTTACGTCCTGTTCATGCTCGCCAATCTGTAAAAAAAGCCGTTGAAATCGGTGATTTCTTAGATTTTTTACGAATTTGTGTTGGTGTGTAGCAAACTCATATAAGCAAGGAAAGTCACCACAAGAGCTTACAAAATACAGTTTAAAAAGTGTTTTTTTCTCCTGTTTCCGTTAATTTCTCTGTGAAACCAACGACAGTGTCGTGATCACAAATCCTTCGTTTGTCAAATACAATCATTCGTTATTTGTTGCGTTTGCGTGCGTTTTTTTTATAGGCATTGGAAGAATGGGGTTGTTTTCGTGAGTGCTCAGAAAATCTGTGGTAATGCGTGACTTCTTCGCATCATGACCACTAAATTGCCGTGCCTTTGTCTAATCCAAATTGCACACGTAGTCCCATTGATAGAGATCGGCGGGTGCATGTTTTTTTCAAGTTATATTTTGGACTTGTTAATCCGAGAGTGACTGCTTTTTTTTTCTTCCCTCAGATTTTATCTTATTTTATCTTGATGTAGATTCTAGGCCTACTATATGTGTACGTTTTTTTTGAGAATCTAGGAATTAGGATAAATATCTGTGTCCGTAAATTTGGGAATTGACCATTGCAAAATATTCAACATTTCCGTCGTCTGCTATGTCGATATATGGACTGCCCATCATAATCATAAAGTTCTTCCTTATTTATGTCATCTAATGATAATCCTGCCCTTCTAATTACTTTATAAACAACACATGGCTCATGAGTACGAGAAAAATATGTATTATGGAACAATACACACATCGAAATAAATAATAATTGTTAGTATAAATACAACGCTGAAAACAATAACAATAATATCGTCAGGCACAAAGACGAAAACATGTTCGCTACGACCGCATGGCGGAGAGCACTCATACTATTTAACACTAGGTTCTCAACGATTTGAAGGAGCAGCGAACAACCCCAAATCGCGAGCTTGCTGTTGCGATTATGAAAGATTGCGCAAGTGATCGCATCCAGCTGTCGGGTTGCGGTGGGACCACCGCTGGGTTTTTGCATCGGCGCGAAATTTAAACCTTGCCGGTGGAACTCATAGGATCAAAGAAACTGCTTCGTCGATAGTCCATTGTATTACGTCTATGTTATTACGGTACCAAGTTTAAGACTAAATTGATGTACTCAAGCCCTGTGGGAGGGCGTTAATCCTCATTTCTTAAGTTCCTTGGTTAATATTATGTGAAAAGGAATGAAAAATAAATTTGCTCTGTATTGAGCTACTACATTACATTATTATATTTATAGCCACAGATCCCCTATTTTCCTATCTTCCAGCTTATACTTGCATCCTTAGCAGGTGTCAGGTAAAAATGGAAACATTATCATTTTAAATTTGTACAAACTCAAAAACTATACACCTTGTTTGTTTGATTTCTGTGAAATGTTGGGACATGATAACAAAAAATGGTGTGTAGCCCATTCATTGAATCTATTGCAAAAAGAATGCAAAATGTATGAGGACATTGGTTCAGCAATATTAACAAAGTTATGCATGCATTCATCGTATCCATAGCAAGAGCATATTGAAAGAAGTACAAAGATTATGTCCGAACAATTACTGAAAAACTTGCATGATCTTTCCATTGTACCCATCGCAAAATTATATTATTGCAAGAAATATGAGGATATAAATACTGACAACTCTATGTGCAGAGCTACCAAGTGTCACGCATTAGGCGTGACGTCACGCATTTCGAGGGTCTGGAAATGGTCTCACGCACAACGCGCGCGCTAGATTTTGAAAAATCGCTAAACCTTATACAGTGTACGTCTGTTCGCCCGCGCGTTTGCCCGACGAATCATACAAATGCCACGCATCGCTGATCTTTGAACTTGGCATCTCTGTATGTGTTGTCTGTCCATAGCAAAAGCATCTGCAAAAATTACGAGGAGTATGTTCTAACGATCGGTGACTTTGACGAGAGGATTTTCCTTGATAAGGATGCTGACGAGGAGATCGGTACACCATCAAAGTCTGCTGCCCTCAGGGAGACGGAGGAGGCCATGAGGAAACCTACAGGCCAAAAGGTAACTCCTAAGCCCCCTGCCCGCAATATTGATTGAATTTTTTTAAATGATATGAGCCAGTTCAGAGAGACTATCTGTGCATGGGCAGGTGAAGGTTTTCTGTACAAAACTTTAAGACCCATCAAGATGAATGCTAAACACATGAAAATTGCAGACGATCAAGGTTAACACAAAAACCTAATTGATGCATCATATAGGATAAAATGTTGAATATGTGCTTAAATAAACATTACCCATTTCAAGAATTATGTTTTTGAATATATATATATTTAGAAGTGGGAGGAATATGCATGTAAAAGAAGAACCTGCATTTGACATTATTAGCCCAATCGCCGTCGATGAAAATGTACATGTACGTAAAGAGGGTATTCTTATGACTATTCTCCTCGTTGGTCATCCCATCTTCTCCAGACCAAGGACCTCTGTCCACCCACGCCACTGACCAACAGGCGCTACCTCAAGGAGAAGGACCCCGAGATCACCCCAGTGTCCACTGCCACCCAAGCGGTCAGCAAGCTCCAGGCCCTGCTGACCGGACGTAAGGTGGAGGCCAGCGAGCTTCTGGAGGGTATCTTCAAGGACTGTTCAGAGAATCCTGCAGAAGGAATCGCCAGTAGAGTCAAGGAGATGGGAGAGATCTTCTGCCAAAAGTACACACAGGTAAGTAGGAAGATCTTGTACAGTCCAAAGGCAGGGTTCCTCACTCACAGCTTTTGGAAGGGAGTCCAGGGACCCGTTTCACAAATTTTTTCAATGAAAAATGACAATGAGTGACAAATCTGCTGATAACCAATCAGAAGCAAGGATTTCACTAGCTTATAACAAAAATTGTCATTTGTCACTGATGACAAGTTTGCTGAAATGGGGCCCTGATTGAACTTGTTAACAATCTGTATGCATGAGCCCTATGTAAGAACTTTAACATCTTGAGTTTCCCGACTTGGGCACCAATGTGTCCTGGGCGCCTGTTAGTGTCGAGCCATGCCAAAGGGTTTAAGGGTTAGTTACCTTATGTATACTGTAGTAAAATAGGGGGGGGGGCAGTGAGGTTTTGGAGGGTATATTCATGGAGTGTTCAGGGAACCCTGCAGAAGGGATCACCCGTAGGTTTGTAGCCTTTCCATTGAATCGATTGCGAAAAGAATGCAAAATGTATGAGGACATTGGCTCAGCAATATTAACAAAGTTATGCGTGCATTCATCGTATCCATAGCAAGAGCATATGAAAGAAGTACAAAGATTATGTCCTAACAATTACTGAAAAACTTGTGCATAATCTTTTCATTGTAAAATGTGAGCAAAGTGAATTTTCCATTGGACAAATAAAAATGAAATTGAAATACTACATATCTCCATTTCAATTTCTAGGCAATCATCATCACGGTCATCAGCACAATCCTTGCCCTCTTTGTTTAAAATGAATCTGTCTAAAACATGATTTTTCCATTTTCTTACCCTAGGCACTGGATGAAGGAAACGCCGGATCACCACAAGACTTTGCCAAGCGAAGATTAAAACTGGCCGAGAATCTCTATTACAAAGTCCTTGAGAACATCATGTTAGCAGAGAAGAGGAGATTAAAGAATCTCACAGTAAGTCTTAGATTTCACGACCCCCCTCCCCCTTCCTCCCCAAAAAATTGAGGAAGATTTTTGTTAATAAAGTGGACATTATTGTGTTCAACAGATCCAGTTGATTCAATTATATTGCAATTCGATGATATCGGTTGCGAATCTACTAAAAGATATGAGATTGCAATTTTTGGATTGATTTGAGCACTTGCAATCAATCCAAATCATTCACAACTCTATATGGCAGGGCTCATGAATGCAGAATAATTATTTGATTTTAACTTTCCAAAATTTTATGTGTTTCCTAATCTTTTTCTAAACAATGATAATAAGTACCTGTAGGTTTATTTTGGCGTCAGTGCATTAGTGTGACTGAAAAAAGATCAATTTAAATGTGTATAAATTTGTTGAGCGATTCTTGGTGTTGCATGATTATTTCTTTTCTAACGGAATTTAATATATGAAGGCAAATATTGAATTTCATCTTTTTTTTCCTTTGTTGGATAACAGCATCTGTTGGAGCATGAGCTTTTCCACCGATCTCTCTTTGCCTGCTGTTTGGAAGTTGTCATATTCGCCTACAACTCTCAGAGGTGAGAACATCTTTGATAAACTTTGATAAACCTGTTAAAGGGGTGTAGCATGGCAAATGGACTTAATCAACGGTCAGCGCGAGCTAGCGTTCGCGGAACTTACCGAAGTCCGATAATACCCGATTGGCCCAGAGTCAGGCCACGGGAATGACACATAGTCTTGTCATGCCTACATCCCCTTTAAATGCAGTCTATAAGAAGAATTGTGGAACTGAGAAATCTTTTCTTCAGAATCGTGACTTGAGGTTAAGGTTAATAATGCTGCATGCAGATATTGTCATTTTCATTATTTTCTCACGTCCAGAGCACCCCGTCTTATAAAGAGTTAATATTCATCGCGACTTATTTGCGATTTATATCAACGGCAACTATGTTCGTAAGATATAGGAGACTGTAATCTTGTGATTGATCAGAATCTGTCGCAACTCTAAGATTGGTGCTGAGAAATTTTATTTGTGGAAATGATGGGGATCCTTTCTATTGATTGATATTGCTATTCATCTGCCGTCTGCCCCTCATCTCATTTTTATGCCTCCGTTACGAAGTAGCCGGAGGCATTATGTTTTCGGGTTGTCCGTCCGTCCGTCCGTCTGTACGTACGTACGTCCCGTTCTCGTGATCGCGTTATCTGAAGAACTGATTGATGGATTCCTGCCAAACTTTGGTCATGTATGTATCTTGCAGAGCCGATGAACTGATTAGATTTTGGGGTTACGAGGTCAGAGGTCAAAGGTCACAGGGCTCATTATGTATGCAAAAACAGCTCGTGATCGCGTTATCTGAAGAACCGATTGACTGATTCCTGCCAAACTTTGGTCATGTATGTATCTTGCAGAGTCAAAGAACTGATTAGATTTTGGGGTCATGAGGTTAAAGGTCAAAGGTCACAGGGCTCATTATGTATGCAAAAACAGCTCGTGATTGCGTTATCTCAAGAACCGAGTGAGGGATTGCTGCCAAACTTAGGTCATGTATGTTACTTGCAAAACCGATGAAGTGATTAGATTTTGGGGTCACGAGGTCAAAGGTCAAAGGCCACAGCGCACATTATGCATGCAAAAACAGCTCGTGATTGCATTATCTCAAGAACCGATTGATCGATTGCTGCTAAATTTAGGTCATGTATGTTACTTGCAGAGCAGATGAACTGATTAGATTTTGGGGTTACGAGGTCAAAGGTCAAAGGCCACAATGCACATTATGTATGCAAAAACAGCTCGTGATCGCGTTCTCAAGAACCGATTGATGGATTCCTGCCAAAATTAGGTCATGTATGTTACTGTTCATAAGGTCAAAAGTCAAAGGTCATGGGCTCATTATGTATGCAGAAATAGCTTGTGAACACATTCTCATTAGAACTGACAGATGGATTACTATTTAACTCAGGACATCTTGCAGAGCCAATGAACTGAGTAGATTTTAGGGTCATGAGGTCAAAGATCAAAGGGTCATATATGTATATGAGAAATTGCTTGTAATCATGATATTCTGAGAACCTGTTAATGGATTACAATTGAACTTGAATTCGAAAAATGTGTTCTGTTTTGGTTTGTAAAATTGCTCTATGACGGAGGCATCATTTTCGACTGCGCGCAGTCGAATTCCATCTAGTAATGTTTCAAGAATAGCTCTAGGTTTGTTCTATAAATTCATTTTTAGTATACGGCACCACAGGGAAATAAAATTGATGAGACGTTAAGATGAATTGTCACAAGCTGATAGATACCATAGATTGTGAATAGTGTAACAGTCATATTTGTAATAATACGTCGATCCTCCCTAATATTGCGTGGGCTGCCTCAAAAATACAAGTAGCTTTAGGATCAAGTTTGTGTTTTCCAAATGTTTAATAAAACCCTTATGGTGTTTTTTTCTTCTTAAGCCATGTATTGCTCAGTAACTTATGTTCTTAATGGTTGATATCTTGCTTCCTTCAGGACGTTTCCATGGATACTGGAAGCCTTTGAGATCCCTGCATTCCATTTCTACAAGGTCATTGAACTCATCCTCAGGGCTGAAGAAGGGCTCTCGAGGGACATCGTCAAGCATCTCAACTTTGTAAGTTTTACAGCCTTTTCACACGGGGGTAAAATTCTTTAAAGCTGATTAGTTTTAAGAGCTTTAAACTAATCAGCTTTAGATACATCATCTTGGTGCGGTCGTTCGAGATTCACTGCTCTTTAAACACTCAGTAGGTCCATTGCGCAGTTACGAGCAGTGACTCGCTGCTCGTAAATGCGCAATGGCCCTACCGAGCGTTTAAAGAGCAGTTCCCGGTCTTAGCTCCGCCCAGTTAAAGACGTATATCCGTTCACACACAAAGAGTCTTGTTCTTTAGATACGATAAATTTTACCCCTGTGTGATAATGCTCTTATTTGAATTCAGCAAAAGACAAAGTTCTTGAATTTACTTACTTTTATGGGAATTGAATTCTTTGTCACTACCAGTACATGAATAAAGAAGTACTTTTAGAAGTTGAAATTCACCTTCACCTTTCGGGTTTTTTACCCAATAGCAGGTTTTGTCAATTATGACCAATGCTCAGTAATGTAATGCTCTGCGTTTTCCAGCCATCCCCCATATGGTAAAGTCATTATCTTACATTTCCCTTACCCGAAGACATTCCGAGAGACTAGAGAGTATTTCTCTATGAGACCACAGGTTTGGTGGGTGCAGACTAGTACAACCAATAGCAGTATTTGCACCAAGTCTGGTGTAGCGAATTATGACCTTCTTCACATGGAAACTGATGACCATCTTCCTTTAAAGATAAACTTGAGTTCTGGTAAAAAAAGAAAATGAATTCTCACAGAATCTAACGAAACTTACACTGAATGTTCAAGATTACAAATAAATGTCATTGGCCAAACAATTTTGGAAGAAAATGTAAACTGGCTGAGTAATGAGCATAGAAAGATAAGGAAATCAGGGTAGTACTAGCCCCGACACCATGTGTGTTGTCCCATATACATCTATCTGTGTAAGTGATTGTTACTTTACCAAGACTCTGCCAAATTTATGATGATTTTGATGACTCTAGAACCTTGTATTACACACCATTACTTACATGATCAACTTTTCTGATCCATTCCACACCTTTTCTTTCACAATGCAATCGCATTACCTGTACTCAAGTTTATCTTTAATGAAATAAAGCCTGGAGCAACTGCCGCAGGAGCAAATAAGTCGCTGTCGTAAAAATGCTATGTGGCTTTAGGGGGCGGTTTACCTGTGTGGTACATGTACATTCTCTTTATCTTCCCACAGATCGAGGAGGCTATCCTGCAGGACTACGCTTGGCGCAGTGATTCGCCCCTCTGGGACCTCCTGCAAGAGAGCAACCAGGGCGTGCCCACCTGCGAGGATGCTACGATACCGGGTCAGACGGATGGAGGAGTAGCGGGAGGGGCAGGGGGAGGAGGAGGTGGTGGGAAGGGGGCAACCACAAGTCAGGCTACCTCGTCGTCTGGGACAACAAACTCCAGTCAGGGGCAATCCCTCCTCTCCCCCATCGTCCATAAGAGGGTCGTCCAGCTAGGCGGAAGAAGTGAGTTGGTTAAGGTTTTTGTTTTGGGCCCCATTGCACAAAATTTACCATTGATGGTAACTTGCCGTTACATGGAAACCTTGATTTTGATTGGCTGTTGAGCCCTGTTACCATGGTAGTTGCGATTCATGGCAAAGTTATCATCAATGGTAAGTTTTATGCAGATGATAATGGTTTGATCAGAAGCTAAGGATATGAATAATATTAGCATACCTGCCAACCCTTCCAAATAATCCAGAATATTCTGATTTTTTGTTGTCGTTGCTAAAGCCAAATTAAGCTTGTTTTATCATGTGCCGCGATTTGAAAGTTCATGTATTGCCTGCGTTGAATGGCTGCATGATCGAGCAGCGAATTTGTATCTGCTTTTTGGTACAGATTCACTGCGTATTGCCAGTATATTGCCATTTATAATTTGGGTAAATGCACAACTGTATAATACAAAAATTACTTTTTATTGTAATGTTAGTATACAGATTGTTTATGCCATTCTAACCCTGTATCCAATATCATACGATAGCAACATTTTGATAAATGAAATCATCTACAGTTTTAAAAGCATTGATTGTGCTTTCAATTGTTTCAATTATCTATGCTCAAAATACAGTCAAACCTGCTTTTAATAGTGATCACCTGTCTACAAAGACCACATTTTTTTGTTTCCCTTGAAAATGGTTCCTCATTGAAATATGTACTAAAGGAACCTGTACATAAAGACCACCTTCCTATAAAGACCACTTTGCTTGTCTCCCTTGGGTGGTCTTTATAGACAGGTTTCACTGCACCTCAATCTTATATTAATTTCACCATTCGTCATTGCTCATGTTATAGCGGAAGCGATCCTCCAGTCGCCCACCTCTGCTCACGATAGATTCAGCTCTCCGTCTCCAGGCAGCGCCCGACGTCGTCTCTTCACTGCCGATGCTCCAACGACATCGTCATCTACGAGCACATCCTCCAGCCCAACTGAAACGACCATTAAAAGTAGGTTTGTGTTCAAACATTCTGTGTTCAGGTTCAGTTTGCCATGATTTAGAATTTTTATAAGATGCGCATGTATTTATTATCTTGCTCTACTTGTTTGTGTTTTGCTCATTTTCCCACTACCTTCAGGGGGGGGTGAAAAAAATCTATTCCTTGAATATACCTTGAAGGCCACACCGTGCCATCGACACCGTGCCATCGTGGTGATGAAGATCCAGTAGATAGTGTGATGTGGCAGGGTTAAAGATAAACTTGAGTTCTGGTAATGCGATTGCATGGTGAAAGAAAAGGTGTGGAATGGATCAGAAAAGTTGATCATATAGCATGTAAGTAATGGTGTGTAATGCAAGGTTCTGGAGTCATCAAAATCATCATAAATTTGGCAGAGTCTTGGTAAAGTAACAATCACTTACACAGAAAGATGTATATGGGACAACACACATTGTGTCGGGGCTAGTACTACCCTGATTTCCTTATCTTTCTATGCTCATTACTCAGCCAGTATACATTTTCTTCCAAAATTTTTTGGCCAATGACATTTATTTGTAATCTTGAACATTCAGTGTAAGTTTCGTTAGATTCTGTGAGAATTCATTTTCTTTTTTTTACCAGAACTCAAGTTTATCTTTAAAGGGGAAGTCCACCCTGAAATTAAGTTAGTTTTAATAGGAGTAGAAAAATGAGAGAAACAAGTCAGTGAAAGTTTGAGCTAATTCCGATTAAAAATAAGGAAGTTAGGATTTTTGAAGTTGTGATCAATCAAACACAAATTGGCAACTCTATGACGTATCATGCGAGCTCAACTTCCATTTGCTCAGTACTAAAAAAATCTAAAATTTTCATTTTCCCTCAAGAAAAATTTCAACCATACATGCACCCTAAATATAATAATTGCAAATATGTTTCTATACTCCCCCTGCAAGGAACAAATATATATTCCGTCATCAATAACGAAGAAAACATGATTTTATGGAATATTATGCACAAAGCAAATGAAGGAGAGCTCGTATAATAAGTCACAGAGTTGCCAATTTGTATTTGATTGATCACAACTTCAATAATTCATAACTTTCTTATTTTCATTCAGAATTTGCTCAAACTTTCACTCACCTGATTTTCTTATTATTCTGCCTCTATCGAAACAAACTTATTTGGGGGGTGGACTTTCCCTTTAAGGGGGTCCCATGGGACCCATTTAAAAACCCAGGTTGGATAGTTGTTGTTTGAAGCTTAGGAGTGTGGGAGCATCAATGGCAGTTTGTGGCAGCTTGTTCCATTTGCTTACAACTCTCTGGCTATAGAAATTTTTCCTGATGTCAAGGCAGCTTCTTGTTTTGGCTAGCTTCATGGAATTACCTCTCGTTCTTTCATAGTTAGCAAACTGAAAATAATTCTCGAGTATTGTTTTGTAGGCTTGTTTTAATGGGTTCAATATTGGGTTTTAATTATTGCCAAACTGTCTCAATAGAAAAGACTCGTAATTGAAGAGTACTTACAGACATTGTAACTGAAATTTACGTCTTAAATATGTCAACTGTTATCTTTTTTTTTTGATAGATCAAATTTTTCATCTGTTTTCCAAAAATTCTAAAATTTTATTGTAGATGGATTGTGTTTTTATATTATATAAAGCAATATTGTTCACTAGTTCTTAGAATTCTGTGAGAATAATTTTAGAGCATTAGTTTCTGTGACATGATGATATGCCATGCTAATACTGAAAGTTCATTGCCCTTTCCAGGGCTCTGGGGCTTTGTGAGTTGAAAGCTCTTCATACAAGGAAGGAGACATGTAGTCTCTGACCCTCTGATCACAGAAACACAATGGCTTCGTCATGACCACTTACCTATAAACGTTTTGTTGTCATTTAACATTAGTTGTGTCCAAAAATGTTCTCACTCTTTTACTTTCATTAAAAATCCATGATCTTGTCATGCTTTCTGTAGCTTTTATCCTCATCTTTAACTAGAGCTAATAGGTGGTATTCTCGAAAGCAGAATAACTTTAGTCCATGGTTTAATCCACCGACTAAGTATGGAATGCCAAGTGTCCGTATGAATATGTTTTTGAATAATTTAATCTGTCCCAATAAAAATGAAATAATTATGTTATCATGGTAATTAAGGGACATATCAAATTATTCAAAAATATATTCATATGGACACTCGGCATTCCATACTCAGTCGGAGGATTAAACCATGGACTAAAGTTAGTTCGCTTTCGAGAATACCGCCCAATGTCTTTAGGTTTAATTCTCTGAACAGAACGTAAAACTCCCTCAATGATGTGTTTACTTTATAGTCACATCCTCATCATCATCATCAGTGACCAGAGCAATGACGTTCACAGATGTGCAACCCACAACAGGTACCACGTCAAGCCCTACCACCTCGGCATCATCCACCAGCAACTCCACCGTTGTTGTCTCTCCAAGGAAACAACAATTTGTTGTTGTCCATGGTAAAATAATTTTCTTACATTTCCTCATGCCTTTGCCCACTAAAGGTGGTGCCGGAGGCATTATTTCAATACTGATCTGACTGCAACAATATTCAAATTTGAAATTTTCAAATTTGTATTGTTCTACATTTTACAAAAAATAAAGACATCCATATAAAATAAGAAATTCTACAATACATGTAGTATAAATGAGCATGTCTCAATGATTCTCAATTCATACGATAGATTAAGTAGAATGTGAGGAACCTTTTAAAAAGTAGTGCTTGTATATTATAGGTTCTTGGAAAAATAAGTAGTGTAGAAGAAAAAAACAAAGCATTAGAGAAGGACGTTATTTAGAGGGGAGACATTTAAATCACAATGGAATAAGGAAATTTGTATACAAAATAATGCATTAGCACCATTACCCAGAGTCATCAGGTTAAAATGCGCAGTCACCCGGAGGAAAATGAAAACTTGAATTATTGTTAACTTAAAAGATGACAAATCATCCATGGTGTGGTTTTGACAGGTTACTCAGCATTCATTTCAAAATAGCAGGAAATCCCACATTTTTAGACAGAGCTAAAAGCAAATGACGGACTCCTTGCCTGGTAGGAACTCGCACCGTGCTATTTTGATTTCAATATCCATAGAACTATTTAGGGTCAAATTTGGTACTAATTCTCATTTTTACAAATCTAATATCTCATCTTTTTTCCAATCTGTTTGTGTAAAAACTTCATTGTAGATGGATGGTGTTAAATATTTCTCTGATTGTTCACTAGTCCTTAGAATTCTGTGAGAATAATCCTAGACCATTGAGTTTCTGTGACATGATGATTTGCCATGCTAATACTGAAAGTTCGTTGAACTTTCCAGGGCTCTGGGGCTTTGTGAGTTGAGAGCTGTTCATACAAGGAAGGAGACGTGTAGTCTCCGACCCTTTCGGATCACAGAAAAAACATTCGCTTCGTCATGACCACCTACCTATGAACAGATTCAGAGTTTTAGGGTCAAAGATCAGCAGGGTCATTTGTGTGTGTATTTGTGTGAAACTGTGAATGTATGTTATAGTATTTTACTCATTTGTTTCAATTTAGCTTGAATGAAGTTACAAAATCACCTCAACTTAGTCATCAAAGTTAGAGTCATGATTGATAGTGAACTTGCTTTCTGTAGCTCTTTTCAATTAGAGAAGGGCAATTCCAAGCTATTTTGTCCAATACATTTCAATCCACATCTTCGGTTTAGTATATATATATCTGATTACTGTATGAAGCTGATAGCCCTTCTACAGCTTGGAGCAAACTAAATATCAAGTAAAATAATAATTTTCATTTTATTAGAGTTCATGATTCCATAATGCAATCCAAGAATGCCATGAACTTGTCCACACACTAGTTAAATACTTAGCTATTGCAGTGGAAACTTGTTATGAGGTCCTTTGGACTATGGAAATTAACTTGTTATATCAGGAATCTTCTTGTATAAGGGTAAAAAACAAAAGGATATAAAGAGCCGGGACCAGTAAAATGACCTTGTTATCACAGATACCTCGTTATATCAGAGATCTTTATAATAAGTTTTCACTGTACCACGATCCTTGCCAAAGTTAAAAAATTACCTTACACATCCATCATTTTTTTAAACTTTTTGTCTCATCCCCCTGTAGGCATTCAAGGAAAGGACAGTACGGGTAATGCTCGACTCATCGTCAGTCCTGTGAAGGTCATCTACACGTCTTCTCCCGCCAAGGCCAAGACTGCAGAAGGAGAGGCAGGGTCAAGCGGGACTACTGCCGTCCCAGTTCCCAGGCCCAAGAGAACCGGCTCCATTGGTATCTTCTTCAGGAAGGTGAGAAGGGCTTTTGTTGTTGACATTGGTGATGAGGTCAAATGTGGCAGAGGTCAATGAGCATGAGAGCTTGATTACACCACCTCTTACATCTTACACCCACAAACTTATATGGCTTTTGTAGAAAGGGATTTTGACATTAAGTGGTTTTAGATATGAGTGCACACAGCATGTAAGCAGTATTTTATCACATCTTGGGTTCAAAGGTCAGAGGCCCAAGGTTCAATAAGAGCAAGAAAATGACATGAAAATGTCATCAGATATGATATGTAAATATTTGTTCAGAAATGTATCTTATCATGTGTTAACATATTGGGAAATGGGCATTTAGGTACAACATATTGAATAAAGCATTGCATTTAGTTTCTGTTTATAATTCTTTCTTTTCCAGGTGTATCATTTGATGAACGTGAGACTGCTTGACCTCTGCCATCGTCTCAAGCTTTCTGATGACCTCAGACGTAAGATCTGGACGTGTCTGGAGCACGCCGTCGTTCATAAGACGGAGATGATGAGAGACAGGCATCTCGACCAGATCATCATGTGTACCATGTACATCATCTGCAGGGTGAGTTTGCCATCACAGTGATGAAGTAATGTTGATGTTGCCGGTGCTCCGGTGAAATTTGCTCCAAAATGAGCATATCAAGGGTTCAGTGACACAAAGACGCAAGTCCATATTTTTGCCAAAACGAGTATTTGATATCAAAATGTTAAGAAAAATGTAGGCTTTCCAGGAAACACAAAGACTTAACTCCTCCCAACACACCACCATTGAAGTCAATGGCTAGTGAAACTTAGACTTAAGGCCCAAGTGTTCAATGACACATAAACCACTTTTTCTCAAAATGGCCAAACTGGAGTTACGTCTTTGTGTCACTGACCCCACGATATCATAATTATTACCTTTCCCTTTGTGAATTGGAAAAGGGTATTGTACGTTTACTTTACCCTGCTACCGTGCTGCATGATTGTGTGCTCAAACTTTGGGGCGATTCAGCTGCTTGGAAGGTAATGGAGAAAATGAATATTCGGCTCAATATTGACTGCAATTTTTGTATCCAGAGTAAATGGTGAAACCCGGAAAAGTGAAAATATCAGGGTATATTATTGCCCATTTAGAATTGCCAGTTTGTGGACCGGGCAATATGTATTCTAATTGCATGGTAACCTCGTGTAGGTGATGTTATTTCCTGAAGTAAGTTATTTGGCAAATTTTCATACCTCTCTTCTTCTCTCATGTATATTCTGCCTTCCTTTCTCCTTATCACCCCCCCCCCCCCCACTCCCTCTCTCTCTCTCTGTCCTGTCCTTATTACGAACAATCTTCTTTCTTTCTCCATTCTCCTTGTCTTATGATTTATTTTACGCTATTCCTGGTATTAACTTCAATTTTCCTACGTGTAATATTGTTTTCTTTTCCGTGTTGTTAGATGACAGACTGCCATTTTATGTGCCATTTTATCTATTACTACAAAACATGAACCATTTTCGTCTTTGATCATGAATCAAGTATAATTCTTTGTTGCAGGTGACACAGAACCCCTGCTCGTTCCAGGAGATCATGCGCAGTTACCGCTTCCAGCCCCAGGCATCCAGCCACGTCTACCGCAGCGTTCTCATTCAATCAAACCGTAAGAAAGATGCCAATGGGAACGGCTCTGTGAACAGCAGCAGAGGCTCGCCGGAACCCAAGACAAGTAAGCAATAAAAAAACTATGCACAGGCATTTTTTTTTGTTTTTTGTAGTTGATTTGGTTTATTGATGAAAACACATTGAAAAAAAAAAAAAATCGAATTTGGAATACATTACAGTATGGTTTGATTATATAGAAATACAATGGAACAAAAAGACAGGTATTTTTTCACAATATTCAACAAATATTCTGATTAATTGATGTTATTACTATTTTTGTTTCAAAAAGTTGGGTCAGTTAATACACCCTTTCACAGTTACAAGAGTGCGCATGCTCAGACATGGGCGCCATCTTAAATTACGAGTAAACAAAGTTGTCAACACGTAATTTAAAATGGCGGCCATGTAAATATGACCTGAGCGCACAGCGCAGGCAGTGAAGCAACAATATATTGATAACGCAATGTTTACGCTCAAATTAAAATGGCGGCCTTAACCGTGAAAGGGTGTTTTGAATTTTTTTGGTAGTTATTTGTAAATTTTGCATGTATTACGGAAGGGTCAACACTCCTACTGGGGAAAAGACCCTCTCAAATGTTTAGAATTCACAAAGTCAATCGAGCTTTGCTTTGTTCTTCCAACCAGTGGAGACTCCAATCCTAATGCGATCAGCTAGCACCTTGCCTGTCCCTCAGCCCAGCAGTGCCCCGCCCACTCCTACCAGGATGGCTGGGACGGCCTCGACGTTTGACGATGAACATAGAGGGGACCTCATCAAGTTCTACAACTCGGTAAGTCTTCCTGCAAATTCAATCCAATCCAAAAGATATTTGATATAGCGCCTTTTCCTTGCAGTTACAAAAACAAAAGTTAGACACTTCTCAGAGATCAGTAAAGTATATGTAGGCTGGTAATAAAGTAATTTCTAGCAGAATAGATGTGACTTGAGTAGTTTCAGGCAGCTTTAATGGCCCACTGCACTACTTGTAGCTACTTGCGCCCTCTATATAACAAACAATGCCTAATCGGTGACCATTGGTCCCCCATGATCCCCTTTTTCTTGTGTTAACTGAGAGCTGAGATAACCACCTGTCCAGTGACCTTGCAGGGCGGTCACAATTTGTCATAGACACTTTTGTAGTTTTACTTTTGTAATTTTGAAATTTCCCGCTTTTAGTATTGCAAAAATATTTGTTTGAAGAAAAATTTAATTGTTAACATTTAATTTTCTCATTCCATCCACAGGTATTCCTTCAGAGCATACAGGCTTTTGCTCTTAGGTTTGAAAATTCACCCAACGGGGTAACGGAAAGGCTAGAAGCCCCGCCCCTCTCGCCCCTCCCTGTACCACGCCCTCACATGCTGTCGCCAAGGAAAGTCTCCAACAGGCATCAGTTGTACGTCTCGCCACACAAACACATGCAGAGCCCGAAGAGTGGGATGACCTATGTCATACAGAAGAGCCCCGCCAAGGTAGCGTAATGTTTTTTCATTATAATGAAATTATGGCCATCTCCTACCCCCTCCTGGGAGGAGAGAGGCTTGTCCCCATCATCATCCCCCTCCCTCCTGATCATGTGTTCATGCAAAGAGGAGGGGGGAGGGGGAGGAATCTCCTACCAAGATGTAACTTTTTCTCTCCTCTCTATCCCCCTTTTCCCCCTCTTAGGATGGTGAGCAGTAAAGGGAAAGAGGGGATGATAATTACACAAGTTAAAAAAATATAAATAATAAGTAGAGAGGGGAAGGAGATGGGTGAGGGACGGGATAGGAAAGGTGGAGAGGAAAGAGAGAGGAAGGTTGAGAAGGAGGGGATAAGAGTGAGGGGATAAGAGAGAGGAGGTAAGAGGGTTGATAGAGAAGGGATGAGAGGGTTGGGATAGGAGGGAAGAGAGAGGGGATAAGAGATAGAGAGGAAGGAAAAGGGTGAGGGGATGGGAAGGTGTGGATAGGAGGGAAGAGAAGACGGTCAAGGTAGCGTAACGTTTTTTCATTATAATGAAATTATGCCCATCTCCCATCCCTCTTGGGAGGAGAGAGGCTTGTCCCCATCATCATCCCCCTCCCTCCTGATCATGTGTTCAATGCAAAGAGGAGGGGGAGGAGGAGATGATGATAATCTCCTACCGAGATGTAACTTTTTCTCTCCTCTCCTCTCTATCCCCCTTTTCCTCCTCTTAGGATGGTGAGCAGTAAAGGGAAAGAGGGGATGATAATAACACAAGTTAAAAAAATATAAATAATAAGCAGAGAGGGGGAAGGAGATGGGTGAGTGAGAGGATGAGAGAGAGGAGGGAAAAGGGTTGAGAGGTAGGTGTGGATAGGGAATAAGAGAGAGAGGGGATGAGAGGTAGGTGTGGATAGGGAATAAGAGAGAGAGGGGATGAGAGGTAGGTGTGGATAGGGAATGAGAGAGAGAGGGGATGAGAGGTAGGTGTGGATAGGGAATGAGAGAGAGAGGGGATGAGAGGTAGGTGTGGATAGGGAATGAGAGAGAGAGGGGATGAGAGGTAGGTGTGGATAGGGAATGAGAGAGAGAGAGAGGGGATGAGAGGTAGGTGTGGATAGGGAATAAGAGAGAGAGAGAGAGGGGATGAGAGGTAGGTGTGGATAGGGAATAAGAGAGAGAGAGAGGGGATGAGAGGTAGGTGTGGATAGGGAATAAGAGAGAGAGAGAGGGGATGAGAGGTAGGTGTGGATAGGGAATAAGAGAGAGAGAGAGAGGGGATGAGAGGTAGGTGTGGATAGGGAATAAGAGAGAGAGGGGATGAGAGGTAGGTGTGGATAGGGAATAAGAGAGAGAGGGGATGAGAGGTAGGTGTGGATAGGGAATAAGAGAGAGAGAGAGGGGATGAGAGGTAGGTGTGGATAGGGAATAAGAGAGAGAGGGGATGAGAGGTAGGTGTGGATAGGGAATAAGAGAGAGAGAGAGGGGGGATGAGAGGTAGGTGTGGATAGGGAATAAGAGAGAGAGAGAGGGGATGAGAAGTAGGTGTGGATAGGGAATAAGAGAGAGAGGGGATGAGAGGTAGGTGTGGATAGGAAATAAGAGAGAGAGGGGATGAGAGGTAGGTGTGGATAGGGAATAAGAGAGAGAGAGAGGGGATGAGAGGTAGGTGTGGATAGGGAATAAGAGAGAGAGGGGATGAGAGGTAGGTGTGGATAGGGAATAAGAGAGAGAGAGAGGGGGGATGAGAGGTAGGTGTGGATAGGGAATAAGAGAGAGAGAGAGAGAGGGGGGATGAGAGGTAGGTGTGGATAGGTAATAAGAGAGAGAGGGGATGAGAGGTAGGTGTGGATAGGTAATAAGAGAGAGAGGGGATGAGAGGTAGGTGTGGATAGGGAATAAGAGAGAGAGAGAGGGGATGAGAGGTAGGTGTGGATAGGGAATAAGAGAGAGAGGGGATGAGAGGTAGGTGTGGATAGGGAATAAGAGAGAGAGAGAGGGGATGAGAGGTAGGTGTGGATAGGGAATAAGAGAGAGAGAGAGGGGATGAGAGGTAGGTGTGGATAGGGAATAAGAGAGAGAGGGGATGAGAGGAGGGAAAAGGATGAGGGGATAGGAGGGTTGAGAGGGAGGGGATAAGAGAAGATGGTTGAGAGGAGGGTTGAGAGGGAGGGGATAGGTAGGTGTGGATAGGGGATAAGAGAGAGGAGGGTTGAGAGGGAGGAGATGGAAGAGGGTTGCGAGTGACGTAATCAAAATGTTTTTTTAAAGAATTTCTCAATTTAAACATTAATTTCTGAAAGAGCATCATAAATAATGTCCAAATGTTATGAACCAGAGCAAAATAACACTGAGTTCCTATAGAAAAACTATTTATTCAGACGTTTGGACATTATTTTTGATCTTCTTTCGGAAATTAAGTTTATAAATTCTAAAATAGATTTTTGATGTCACACTCTTCTCTCTCTCTCCCTCCTCAACCCTCTTCCTCCTCACTCTCATCCCCTCTCTCTTATCCCCTTCCGCTCTTCCCTCCTCTCTCTCATCCCCCCCCCCCCCCCCCCCCTTCTCAGAGAGGGAGAACAGAGGATAGAAAAGAAGAGCCATCCCCTCCTCTTTCACCTGCCTCTTCAAATTACATGTATTATGTTCGTAAAAATATTTAAATGTTACGTCCTGCCAAGGTGCTGAAACTTTTTGTAATCACAATCCTCTAATGGTTGAAAAAAGGGGTCTTTTTTTTTGGGGGGGGGGGGCTGATGATGATTACAAAAATTACAGTACGTTGGCAGGGAAGTCAAGGCGTTTAACTTTTCTTTTAAAAATAAGGAACAATATAGATTACTCACTTTCCTCTGTTGTCTTTGCTTCCTACCATCACAGGTCCTGCACAACATGAACAACATGGTTAAAGCAAGAGAATGCACTAAACGCCAGCTCCTCAGCGAATCCCTCGAGTCCTCCAAGCGACTCTGTGTCGATAACCGGAACGACTTCCTCCAGACACGCCTAGCGACGGTCAAGTCAGAGAGGGAATCTGCTAGCTCATGTAGGTATTAAAATCAAGGAAGAAAAATGTCGGCATTCTGCACTTTATGATCAAAATCATAGGGTTTGCATATGTTCGAGTACTGTGCACATGTATACTCTTCCAGGTTTTAAATCATAATTATGTAAAAAAGAATACCAAATATTTTATGACGGATTTACTAAAAAATTTCTATAAAGAATTAGGTAGTTTGTTCAATTTATTGCTTTCCGGCTTTGAATGTAACTCGACTTATGCTTTATGCTACTTTTCGAGGCAAAATTGAAAAGTGATTTTTGGAAAACATTTAAATTCAATAGAGACCAAAATCGAGAGACCTAAATTCCTGTTTCAAACTTGTCAAGATACGATTATTGTTATCGATTTTTGGGTGAAAGTGGAAGCCAAATACATATCATATGTCAGGCCAGTATATCGGTAACAAATTTCAAATGAAAAATCATGCATACATGAATTGTAAGATATATATATATTTTTAAACATTGTATCATGGTGAAATCCATTGAAAAAAACCTACATGGTTTGAAGTCAATATTACAATTATTTTCTCGTTTGGGGCATTGTAGAGTCCAACTGACTTCACACGTTCACTTTTTAACTCTCTGAAAATGTACACCTTTTTTAAATACTTTTAAATTGAGCTCAGGATTGCAGCTCTGATTCTTTTAAGAATATGTATCTTATCATTTTAAGCAATAAGAAAGCTTGAGAATTGTCTCAACCAAAAAGATTTTATGTTTGCATATTTTGGGAAAGTTTGATACTCATCATGGTGAAAAAGAGCGAACACAATCATGATTTGATCAGTAATTGTTAGGAAATAATTGAAAGAAAACTGCAATTTTGTTCAGCTGAAATTTACAGTGCTGCTTTGGACTGTATCTGAACCAGTTTCGTTTTTAGACAAGTGCTAAACTATTTCATTGTTCTTTTAAAATTATATTTTGTGCCTTTGGCTGCATTCGTGATAAGTTTAAAGAGACATTGGTGCTTGTGTTCTGCCCAATTTCAGTTTGTTACGGCATTAACATCATTTTTAGAATATGGCCCCCGGTATGACTAGTCAGTGTTTTACTTTTTTTTTTAGTGGAAATAATTTTTCATAACTCTGTAAATGAATTTAATAAAATGAAATATCTTTCTTCTTTCTACGATAAGAAGTCATGCAATAATTTTTTTTCATGTATTATATGTAAATGTGGCATAGTCTAAATTGAAATGTACAAAGGTAAAGAAAGGATCGTGCTAGGGGAATTTTGTATAAATCTTATTTTCATCCCTCCAGCTATAAATGTGATAAACAGTAAAGGGCATGTTAGTGCACCTTTATCTCTCCAGATCTACAGCTTTTTATCTCTAGTTATATACTTCTAACAGCACTTTTAAGAGTATTTTTACTGGGTTGAATTGCTTTTGCATTGTTTGTTTTCAGCACCGTTATTTTACGAATGCAGCTTTTCATCAATTGTGTCATAAATCATTTTGGTCTGTGTCACAATAGAAATATTCAATAAGTATCAAGTCAGAATCATGTTTTAATATGGATCTTTTAGGGGGAAAATGGTTTTAAAAAGACCCTTTTTCACCATGTAGCAAATAATCATTCTGTTTTTATCTGCAGAACTGGTATACCATGTACCAGATTGTAAATCATGAGTGTAAATTTACAGCAATTTCATAATGATAAAATAAAGTCGAGTCTATTGTGTATTATTACGATTGTGTAATAAAAGAAGTATTACAGATAATTTTGAAGAAAACATACATGTCTCTTGTGTGAGAATTATTTTGCCCTCATCTCAATTTGCACAAATGCACCCTAGTTGAGCAAAAGTGCATCTATTTGCAAAAAACAATTAAATTCATTTATTCACTCAATATATGTTTAAATTGCATTGAGGTAGAGGGAGAGAATACATGAACAGCTGGGTCATGGAGGGTGAGAGAGAGAGAGAGACGGACAAACAGACACAGAGAGAGAGATGGACAAACAGACAGAGAGACGGACAAACAAACAGACAGAGAGAGACGGACAAACAGACAGAGAGAGAGAGACGGACAAACAGAGAGAGAGACGGACAAACAGACAGAGAGAGAGAGACGGACAAACAGACAGAGAGAGAGAGAGAGAGACGGACAAACAGACAGACAGAGAGAGAGAGACGGACAAACAGACAGAGAGAGAGAGACGGACAGACAGACAGAGAGAGAGAGAGAGACGGACAGACAGAGAGAGAGAGACGGACAAACAGACAGAGAGAGAGAGACGGACAAACAGACAGAGAGGGAGAGAGACGGACAAACAGACAGAGAGAGAGACAGACAGACAGACAGAGAGAGGAAGGTAAATTGAGAAATAAAGTTCATACATAGAATGAAATTAGACCCAAACAGAATACAACCCATCGATATAACGATAACATTGAGAAAAAAAAATTAAAAATATGCGACTCAATGTGAATGAGATTGTAAAAGCCTTTCCTTGTATTGTCTCCTGAATACGTTCTGACAGCATGCAGATTTTAGATTAGCAGGCAATGCATTCCATAGTTTGGGACTTGCATAGTAAATGTTTTTTTGAGAAACTAAGTTCTTGCGTGGAGTGGATTGCAGAGTTAATGGAAAAATAGCATGTTAGGGATAATCATAATGGCAAGATCTGTCTCTGACAAGAAAACATAACAATTTATACAGATCGAAAACATTCAAAACTTTTGATTGAGTAAATAAAGGGTTAGTGGAGGCAAGGAAAGACATTTTACAAATTAAATTAGTTAAAACGGTTTCGTTGCTCATTTCTCTGCATGTTATAAGGTTGATTTTGATCCGCGTTTGTCCCCCAGAGGGGCATTTGGGCAAATTTTGAAAGTTTGAAAAACATCACTTTTTGGCCCAAATGGCGAGGGGATAGATAGTTGATCTTTGCAAAAAAACACTTGACTAGTTTCATTTGCATCCATTTTCACAATGACTGTCCTTGCATGCTATGAATTTGATTAATATGACCCGTTTCTCCCCTAGAGGAGTTTGCGCAAATTTCTGAAAATTTTGAAGAAAAAAAAAATCACTTTTTGAGTCAAAATGGCCAATGTCTTGGTTTTTTTTTTTTTTTTTTTTTTTTTTTGGGGGGGGGGGGGGGGGGGGGTGCGGGGGGGATTAACAAAAATGAAAATTGTCCATTTGCTCACAATGAATGTCCCCACATATCATGTATGTACAATGAATCAGTGGTTTTGAGTTGTTCAATGTCATCAAAAGTTAATCTATACCAAGTCGATACACTAAAACAGCTGTAACACCAAAAAAATTACATTCGACCTTTCCTACCTGACATTAAAGGTAAAGACCAGTATTGGAAACGCACCAATTTCAAAAAATGAAATGGAAGCTCTTTATTACCAATCATGTGAAAGAATATGTTTTGACTTATACATGATGATAAAAATTTTGCCGGGAAACCGCCTACTAATTGATATATTTGGTAAATTAGTTTATCTATTGGACTGTGAGAGATAAACGCATGTGTCGCACACGTGTGCATAGTCCCATATACATCTTTCTGTGTACAGTGCTTGTAACTTTACGAAGACTGAGCCAAATTTCTTATAATTTTGATGATTCCAGAACCTCGCAGTACACACCAATACTTAATGCTAGATGATCAACCATTTCTAATCGATTCCACAACGTTTCTTTCACAATGCAATCGCATGACCATAACTGGTCTTTATCTTTAAATAAGTCTAAAGTTTTAAAGTACATGTATTCCATTGCCTCTACTCGTTCATGCAACAAAGTTCCTTATCAATGACTGGTCTCTATTGGTTTCAATTTTTCTTACAGAGATACTTTAAAGGTACTATGTCCCATTTGCAGGCCAAAAAATGAAAAAGCTAAATTCCAACTGCATTTGGAAGATAATACTAATTTAGAAATTCCCTAAAAAAGGTGGGGCTTGAAAATGTCTTCAAGTGGGAAAATAACTAATATTAGTTGTCAAATCGACATTAGGGCTATAGAGCCCAAAAGTAATAGTCTTGATTTTCAGACATTGTACCGAATGGTCATACGTTTTATGCTGCGCAAAGATTCAATCAGTTTAATCTTGGCCATCACAAGAAGTGGGTTATTGATGTAGACAAATACTCATGTACCCTTTACAACTCTTTTCATGTATGTTATTACCAAAGAAGAAAAAAGCCAGTCAGTCACTCAATAATGTCTGACAGTGAAGTCTAGCAAGTAAACGGGTTATCTTGCATAATTTGAATATGAGGACGTTGCTAACGTTTAAATTTCACAGATAGGACATACATGACATATTCATAATTCCTGCAAAGTTCTACATAATTTGAGGTTGGCTGCAAAAGGGACATAGTATCTTTAAGTGTTTCAGTTATGGCCATTAATCCTTGTAACTACAGGAACCAGGTGGGACCTGTACTAAGCCTTTGGGAATGATAAAATTCAGTAATCAACGGATACTGCAGATCTTTGATGAAATGAATTGAATTGATTCACAAGTGGTTACTGATGTTAAAGACGGGCCATGGCAATCAACAAGCGATTAAATATATGCAGGGGACTCACAGCACGCACAGGAAAACCCCAGAGCTGTAGAATTATCGCATTTATATATATGGGATGTTTTGAGAAACTGGTCCCTGGATCACACAGTTCCAAGGCCACTTACCTAGCTGTCCATAACAGTCACACTGGAGAAGTGAGCTCCGCCCCTGATATGGACGGGATACCAGTAGAATTAAGTCACCCCACTAAGAACTGGATGATAAGAGCCTATACTCCCCATGTGAGAGGACCCACAATTTCACTTGACAATTCTAGCATGAATATTCCTGCCAGCACCAGTACCTTGCTGGTCACAAGAAAGAAGAAACATGTCCTCCTTCTCTGACTGATAGATCACATGGTTCTCCCTATAATGAAGTAAAGACAAGCAGAGAAACCCCTCACATCACATACACCCTGTAACACTTGCACATTCTTTTCATTCGTGTTCACTCAACCTCTCACTCGAGTCATGTTGCCCCATTTTATTACAAAGTCAAATCTATTGAAGCTCCTCTCAGGACCTGTACAAAAGGTCAAGAATGTTGGTTTTAAAAAAAAGAGGAAAAACATCTGGCAATGACATACTCGCATCACATACACGCTATACACTTGCATATTCTTTTCATTCATGTTCACTCAACCTCTCACTCAACCTCTCAAGTGATTTTAATGCAGCTCCTCTCAAGACTCTACCTGTACAAAGGGTCAAGAATATTGGTGAAATAAAAGAGGAGAAAAAACATCTGGCAATGACCAGGCATTCAAGTCTTGCTCTGTTCTTTGTTTGGTGGATTTTTTTTAATGGTAAACACTGTGTAATGGCTACACAAAAAACAATAGCACATGTACATGTATTGTGTGTACAGCCAGTAGGTTAGAAATACATGGTGTCCCTGAAAAAGGAAAGCCAAGTTTATTGGTAAATTACTGAAATTATCCCCAAATTATGTTTTAATAGCTGAAGTAAAAAAATAATTTTCTCTTCTTAAATACATATCTAAATCATGATTAATAAATCACACGTGGCCAAATTTCAAAAAGTCTGCAGTGACAGCGTTAGAAATCTGATCCAAAAAATATGGATGGATGCTATACTTGGGTCATTATAGTATTGAAAAGACAAATGTTTTGTTATTATTAATTATTGATAATACACATAAGTGAAAAGCTCATATTATCTTTTTGTCATATGACACAATAACCAATGGGAGGATCATGCATGACTGAGCAAGCAGCACAAAGTGGAATTTGTTATTAAAGCACACTGACATTTTTTTGAAGAAATAAAATGAGGCCCTTGTAGAAATATTACTATACCATACCAATTACAAATTGTGTCTGCTCAGTCATGCCTGATTCTTTCATCACGACTTATAGCATCACAACATGAGAATTACAGCTTTACATTCAATTATTAATAATTCCAAATCTTTTCCTTTTCCTTAAAGGGAGATTGTCGTCACTTTCCAGGTGCAGTAGGTCATAAAAAGTTGTTACAAAACTTGGTGTACAAGTCTAGCACACAGCAAACCCGTAGTCCCATCAAGAAATACCCCCCTCCCCCATTATGTCTCTTGGATGCTCAATAAATGAATAACACGCAGAATGATTAAAATTTCCATATTTTTTTAATACACTCTGCATGTATCCCTGTTGATAAACTGCATAGTAACAGAGAAAAGTGGAACCCCTGAAGGAGAACAGTATAATTTAAAGGGGAAGTCCACCCTGATAAAAAAGCAGAAAAGTTAGAAAAGAGAGAAAAAAGGATAAAAAGACTCGTGAAAAAGCTGTTTAAAGCTTATCTGTACTAGTTTATAGGAGGGATTAGACCGCCCTGCAAGGTCACTGGACAGGTGGTTATCTCATCAACTCAGCTCTCAAATAACATAAGAAAAATAGGATCATGGGGGATCAATGGTCACCGATTAGGCATTGTTTTTTACATAGAGGGAGCAAGTAGATACAAGTAGGACAGTGTGCCTTTAATACTCCTCTGACAGACAATAACATATTATTGGTATTATTATTTTAATTTATGGCTTATAAGCTTTCCATTGATGTATTATTTATCAAATTCATTTTTTTACTTCCTAAAGGGTTTTTAACCAGGAGACCATTCTGAAAGCATATTTTTTAGTCTTCCTTATATGGACAGGAGGTGATCGCTGCATACGGTCCAGTCTTACCTCCCGCTTTACATCTGACCCATGCAAAGTAAACATGACCCTTCTTAAAACCTTCTTTGAATAGATGCGAGGTCATTGGCAAGACGAACGCCCCTGCGTACACTTCCCCTTCCCCTGCTCTTGGATCGTCACCTCGTAGTCCAAAGTGATGGAGTTATCTGCTTTGATGGTGTTTTGGATGAAAGGGATGTTCCAAGGTGGACTCCACGACAACAAGAGGCCTACTGCATCATCATCACCATCATCATCCTCACTTGTTACAACCCCAGATGGAAGAGGTATGGTGAAGCAGGACACCTCTTGGACAGCTCCTGGTTGGTAGGGCACTCTACCAATCTCATTTTCTATGGCTCCATCTTGAGATTCAAGAAGAGCATCTCTGACCACTTCTACGAAACTGTCAACATCGACTATGGTGTCCTGATAGATTCTAAACAACCATGCTGGATCATTGCAGCATAGGTGAGAAGGAACCTCTGCACTTGATAGGATTTGCTCCTGGAGCTCTGGCTCGAGGTGGGCGATGCCCCCAATTTCGGGCTCGGCGTCAGGGTATGTGACCGTGTTGATCTCATCAAAGTTTCTCCATGCTCTGTAGACGATGTTCATTCCCTTCAGATGAGCCAGCGTCCTGTAAGGCGTGTAGTTGTCTGGATTCACAGCGTAAGGGAAGATCTCGACTAGGACGGAACAGGGAGGCAGGAAGATGGAAAGCGAGAGCAGGGATCCGTGAACAGCCACTAGACCCTTTGAGCAAGAGATCAATCCTATGAGCTCTGATAGGGAATACATCTCTAAACTTGCTACAACCACCAAGGCATCAAAATGCTGCGCTAGGGCCAAACTTAATTCCACTTCATTCAGAATAAGCCGATTTGTTCTCCTCAACAGGATCACAAATGTATTTGAATTCTCAATTTCTGCATTGGAACATCCATCAATGTTTAGTTTGGATTTGTAGAAGGATGTAAACAATTCAATTTCTGTAGAGGTAACAGCAATGTCGTCCAGAGGACCTTGCGGTATATCAAAGCCATACTGATACCAGGTGGTAAACTTGCTGAGTCCTACATGAACTTCCTCAAAGCAGGCCAATCTTGATGAATCATCTTGAGATAACTGATGTGTAAGAATGGGTGTCTTCTTTGAGATGTGCTCATAGAGTTGAAAATAGGGTCCCTCTTCCTGACTATCGCTTGTGAGTAGCGTCGCGTCATTGACACCGGATCGAAGATTGAGAAGACCAAGCTGAAGCTGCGTGTAAAACACGGGTAGGAGATCATCGTGAAACACATGCATGAGGTTGCCCATGTTGAAGCGATTAAAAAGCAAGTACTTTCCTTCCTGATAAGACACATTCTTTATTGACTGCACAACAGTACTTGGAACATCCACATAACCAAAATACTGGGTGTTGTGATCCGGTACAGAAGACAAGTCTACAAGGGCTGGTTGCTGGCGATCGTCTGGGATTCCTTCACTGATGGAGTGTGGTGCATGCAGGAAGACAAAGTCGTTGTATTTGGTGTAGTAGCAAAGGTTGTGGAAAATGCAACGCCTGTCGACGTTGGTTGACCCTTGGCACCTGGCACTGCTGCCCCACTCTTCAAGATATGTGGCCCAATCCTGTGAACCGTTAGCCAACGTTCTTTCTTCTTTGGGGAGATAACTAGACTCTTCAGCCTTAGTCCTAGAGGTAGCAAGTTGCTGCTTCAGATGACGGCAGTAATACACACTGCATGCTAGCAGAGGTATCAAGATTGTAAGCAAAAGTGTTGACACCTCCATTTCTCGTCTCCGCAAAGCCCTCTGTCAAGAACGTCTCCTCAGTTGATCAAAGTGAAGAAACTCAGGGCAGTACCGTAACAGTCAGGAAGTGACACACGATACAGAATCTGTAATGTATCAAATATATGAAAACATAGGAATAAAATATGTCACAAAAATTAATTTCATATGAAACCACTTTCTTATCATTGTCATATGTCTTAAGTTTTTGGACATACCCATCAAAAACCGGTTTATTTTATAATTTGCATGTGATCTCTGTAAGTCTAGACATATTATAAGTGTAAACTAGATGGAACTTCGACTGCGCGCAGTCGAAAATGATGCCTCCGTCATAGAGCAAGTTTACAAACCAAAACAGAAAGAAATTTTTCAAATTCAAGTTCAATTGTAATCCATTAACAGGTTCTTAGAATATCGTGATTACAAGTGATTTCTCATATACATATATGACCCTTTGACCTCATGACCCTAAAATCTACTCAGTTCATTGGCTCTGCAAGATGTCCTGAGTTAAATAGTAATCCATCTGTCAGTTCTAATAAGAATGCGTTCACAAGCTATTTTTGCATACATAATGAGCCCATGACATTTGACCTCATGACCCAAGAATCTACTCGGTTCATTGGCTCTGCAAGATACATACATGATCTAAGTTTGGCAGGAATCCATCAATCTGTTCTAATGATAATGCGATCACAAGCTATTTTTGCATACATAATGAGCCGCATGACCTTTGACCTTGACCTCATGACCCTCAAAATCTAATCAGTTCATTGGCTCTGCAAGTAACATACATGACCTAAGTTTGGCAGGAATCCATCAATCGGTTCTTGAGATAACGCGATCACGAGCTGTTTTTGTATACATAATGAGCCCTGAGATCTTTGACCTCGTGTCCCAAAAATCTAATCAGTTCATCGGCTCTGCAAGATACATACATGACCAAAGTTTGGCAGGAATCCATCAATCGGTCCTTGAGATTTCAGTTCAGTTCAGTTCATTTATTCAATTCATTTCTAAAATGTACAGACAGTTGTACGTGACAAAAAACATACATATTTACAAGTCATGAAATAAAAAGCAATAAATATTATAAGTAGGCCTATTACATTGTAAGAAAATGAATTATGAGAACTTTAAAATAAAGCCAGATTGGCCTTGTGAAAAAAAAGTCCCCATTTGCTAGAGAGTGATTTGGAGGCTTCATAATAATAGTTTCAAATTTGTACAACAAAGGGAAAAGAAACAAGCAATGGATATGAATATATACATGCATAGAATATGAAATACAAAATACCTACATGTAGATGCCAACAGATATAAAGTGCATCCAAGTAATTACCCGATCCCCCCCCCCCCCCCCCCCCCAAAAAAAAAAAAAAAAAAAAAACAAACAAAAAAACAACAACAACAACAACCTAAAAACCTAAATTACTTCCTTTTTCAAGTGGATGTTTTCAAATATCAAAGAGTTGCAAACTAAGCATATTTTGAAATAAAATATTGTTTCAATTTTCTTTTAAAGAAAGAAAGAGAGAGAGAGATGCATGAACAAATATAATTGGGAAGTGAGTTCCAGATTGTTGGGAAACTATATCGAACTGACCGTTGTACAAAGGTTTTCCCGACTTTCCATAAATGAAATAAGCTGCTGTTTCGTGTGCCATGGGAATGAATTTCTTTATTTATAGTGAACATTTTAACAATATTTTTGGGGAGGATACTCTTGAAGTAAAAATATCCAAGTAGGATAGTATGATATTGGTATAAATGGAAAATGTTCAAAGTATTCAATTTATGGAAAAGGGGAGCCGAATGAGTAAGAAAATGACTACCAGTACATATTCGTATTGCCCTCTTTTGTAATTTGAAAATGACATCTAATTTGGTTTTACTACAATTTCCCCAGACAGTTATACAATATAAAATATGTGATAATATTAAGGCGTTATACAGTGAGAATAAGGCTGAACCAGGAAGACAGCTTCTTAATTTATACATAATACCAATGCATTTAGATATTTTGGTACTTAAATAGTTAATATGTGAATCCCACTTCAAATTTTCATCTATATTGACTCCAAGAAAACAAATAGATTTAGATTTAGTTATTGGTGTAGAATCGATACTTAATGTAAGATCATTGCAGGTTTTAGTCGCATTGGACAGCTTATTATGGAAAGATATAAAACAAGTTTTAGTCAGATTAAGTATTAATTTATTTGCCTTAAACCATTTAGATATGTTATGTAGTTCAACATTAATATTCTCTTGCATATCTTTTAAATCCGGCTGAGTAAAGAACAAAGTGGTATCGTCTGCATACATAATAAAGTCAAATTTGGTAGATGATTTTTCAATATCGTTAACGTATATGAGAAATAATAGGGGACCTAATATAGAACCTTGTGGAACCCCGTGTTTAATTAAACTATGAGTGGAAGAAGCATCATTGAATATGGTAAATTGATAACGACTACATAGATAGTTTTTAAACCATATGAGTGGGAGGCCATGTACACCATAATGCTGTAGTTTACATAATAGAATATCGTGATTAACTATATCAAACGCCTTTGAGAGATCTATAAATATTCCTATTCCAAAATCGTTATTTTTTACTGAAGATACAATTTTATCCTGTAAATCTATAAGAGCATGACAAGTCGAGTGGTTACTTCTAAATCCATATTGACTGTCTGTTAAGATGCTGTTAGCTATTAAGAATGAATACAAACGTTTATACATACATTTTTCCAGTATCTTTGAGAAGCATGGCAATATTGAAATAGGTCTATAGTTTTTGCAGAGATGAGAGTCATTTTTCTTATAAACTGGTACAATTTTAGCAATTTTAAGTTTGTCTGGTACATTACCTGTACTTATAGATAAATTGAATATATAACATAAAGGCTTTACAATCGAGTATATAATCTTTTTTACAATATTACTGTTGATGCCGTCAAAACCACAGGAGTTACTTTTCTTCAGCGATTTAGTAATTTCAAGAATTTCAGATTCAGTAATAGGCTTTAAAAATAACGATTTCAAAAGTGGATCCTTTAAATATCCTTCAAATGTATCATTTCGTGCAACAACCTGAGAAGAAGTTAAAATATTTGTGCAGCAATTAATAAAATATGAATTGAATTCATTAGCTATACATTGTGAGTCATCTATTCTTTTGTCGTTGCATAAAATATACTGAGGTGGATTACGTTTGGATTTACAAAGTAGTTTGTTTATGACGGACCAAGTACCCTTGATATCATGCTTGGTTCGATTCAATTTATCACAAAAATATTTCCTTTTCACTTTATGTAATATATTATTAACTTTATTCCTATATGTTTTATACTTTGCTTGATTTGAGGGTGAGCGATCATTAAGAAATTTCTTATACAACTTATTTTTTTTCTTGATATATCGTAAAAGTCCTGGTGTTATCCAAGGTTTACGTATACATGATTTCTTATTGTTACTAGTACATAGAGGTAGATTTCTGTCATATAAAACTAAAAGCTTACTTAAAAACAAGTCATAAGCAGTATTAACATTATTGCACGAATACAATGAAGACCAATCCACTTCGTACAGTTCTCTTTGTAATTTCTTTACACCATCATCTGTTACTGCACGTCTGAAATTAATTGTAGTATGCTGACTCTTTGTCAGCAAATTAGTTTTATCCAACACAAGAAAAATAGGTAAATGGTCTGTTAACTCAACAGAAAAACTGCCACTTTCCAGATTTCTTTCGAATGTATTAATAAAAATGTTATCAATGAGAGATGCAGTATTCATAGTAATACGAGTTGGATATTTGATGACAGGAGTAAGACCAAATGAAAAATTAATGTTTAGGAAATCGTTTGTATTTTCATCAGTTGATTTCAGTAAGTCTATATTAAAGTCACCTGTCATAATAATTTCTCTTTTTTCAGTGCTAAGTTTTTCAAGCGTTTCAGAATAAAAATGTATGAATGATTTAATATCTGTGCTAGGCTTTCGATAAAAAACACCAACCGTCAGCCTATCTCTATCTTGTCTAAACAAATCTACACATAAATATTCACAAGTGGAATCACTTTCTACGGAGTGTGTAATTGATTCTCTTCTTTGAAAATTAATGTCATTTTTAATGAAAATACCAACACCTCCGCCTCTACCAGATTTTCTATCAACGTTGACAAACTTGTATCCATCTAAATGAAATGGAATTACTGGTAAACCACATATCCATGTTTCTGATATAGCTATAACTGAAAAACTGTTCTTTATGATAGATAGAAAATTAGAAATGTTCTCAAAATTTGTATGAAGGCTTCTGGCATTTAAGTGAATCATGCTGAATTCGGCACAAGACTGGAAATGTTCATTAAATTCAAAAGGGGTGTAGCTGTTACAAGCAAAATCTGGGTTATTGACATGCAGATCAGGATCAAGATCGTTAAGTGGGTTGTTCATACGAAAGTTCATTCTTACTTATAAGATTACACATTTTGATCGTAGCAATAAAGAAAGAAGAAGAGAGCGCAACTCTACAAAAATAAGTATTACAAACTATTCCGCACCTGAAGCATAGATGGAAATACATGTAAAAATACATGCAACATGCAAAAGAACGAATGTGGGAAGAATTGATATATTTATATTCTTTCATTATAGTCATAAAAGTCAAATTTATTATACGGAAATACAAAAACAACTTAACAAAACAGTTAAGCATAAACAAATACTACATTGATTGAAAATTCCAAGCAATGAATATATATATATAAATATATGTAAAACAGAATTATATACAAATAGTACAAATAAAAATAAGCGTTCACTTTGTCAAAGTTTGTTATCGAACGATAAAAAGGGAAGTTTTTCCCTCCAGAAGATTGTTTAGTTCAGATTTAACATTTCACTATTCATTTGGCAGAGATTTCAGGTCATCCTCGTTTCTGATGAGTTTTTTCTTATGGTCCTTACCACTCAGTAGAGCAATTATTCTCCCGTCATTGCTCCAAGCAGCTTCAACATGGGGATGTCCTTTTGCCATCGCTAGGAGCTTTTGATTTTTGGCAGTCAAGTCTTCTACTATTGCTCGCTTGCGACCTTTCAGTTTTCGTCGGTTGAGTATAATCTCCTGGCGCTTCCTGTATGACTTGAATTTCACGATGATACCGCGGTAGGTTTTGGTAGGTGCTGTTGGGTCTTCGATGGCGCCGGGAGCAGGCTCTGGAAGGGGTTCACCTGGCATACCAACTCTGTGGCTTCTTTCGATGTCATCGACTGTTAAGTTGACTTTGAGGATGTCATTGACCATTTTCATAACAATGCTGTCTGTGCTTTCACCCTTTCTCTCTGGGCAGCCAAAAAATCGTAAGCAATTACGGCGGGAATATTGTTCCTGTGCATTGATGTTCACACTGACTGCTTTTAGACGATCAGTATGCTCGTTAACCTTCTTTTTCAGGTCATCTATTTCCTTATCCTTGGAGATAACGCGATCACAAGCTGTTTTTGCATACATAATGAGCCATGTGACCCTTGACCTTTGACCTCATGACCCCAAAATCTAATCAGTTCATCAGCTCTGCAAGTAACATACATGACCTAAGTTTGGCAGGAATCCATCAATCGGTTCTTGAGATAATGCGATCACGAGCTGTTTTTGTATACATAATGAGCCCTGTGACCTTTGACCTTTGACCTCGTGACCCCAAAATCTAATCAGTTCATCGGCTCTGCAAGATACATACATGACCAAAGTTTGGCAGGAATCCATCGATCGGTTCTTGAGATAACGCGATCACGAGCTGTTTTTGCATACATAATGAGCCCTGTGACCTTTGACCTTGTGACCCAAAAATCTAATCAGTTCATCGGCTCTGCAAGATACATACATGACCAAAGTTTGGCAGGAATCCATTGATCGGTTCTTCAGATAACGCGATCACGAGAACGGGAAGTACGGACGGACGGACGGACGGACAACCAGAAAACATAATGCCTTCGGCTACTTCGTAACGGAGGCATAATAAACTAGTTAATGGTTAATACCAATTTCTCAAAAGATATTGAACCTACTTTGGAATACCACTCAAACTTGAGCTGTGCATGGTTATTTAGTGGTCTTGCACATGAACTTTTTACATTACACCATGTTAATAGCATTGCACCACGCATCTGACTCTCGTAAGCACACATACACTCATCAGTCTGCAAGAATCTTTAACGGTGAAGGAGGCAGACTCAACTGAAATGTCAAAAGCAATGTTTGGCACAGTAGTAGTCTGTTCGCATTTGGACCACTCCAGCAAAGCTTGGAGAGTCAATGCTAATGCGTATTGACCTCTAGCACTGCACTATGTGCTAAGAGGCAGCAATTGCACCTACAAATAGTCAATACACACATATGTACACAATGAATAGTGGCTGATCGGCAAGTTTGACAGTAGACTTACAATTTGAATTATCAAATTATTCTTTCTAAACATCGGTAAGTTGAAAACATTGTATTTAACTATTTAGGTATCATCAATTGTCACTTAAGTACCGATTTTGAGTGAAATCAGTTGAGTTTTGTACAGTGGTGTTTGAAATGTTGAGGATCAATAGCACAGCTTTTAATACACAGCCAGGATAGTAATGCAGCTATTTAGGTGTGATTTGGACCACAATTGTTGTTGTTGTTGTTGCTGGTGGCAATCGCACATGTATGATGTAACTTATAGGATAACTGGGCCTGGGGGTAAATTAATACTACACTGACTGCAGTATGAGGATGACAAAATTGGTGGACTGTGCTCACTAAGGAGAAGAAAACCTGGAGAACTTAAGGAAAATAGACTTGTTTCAAATGTCAAACTTTTATTTTCAAAAAGAAATCAAAACATTACTTATCATGCAGCCACATAAAAATGTTTATGTTCCATCCAAACTTGAAATATGTTGACACTCATGAGTACGGTACTGCAAATATTAAAAAGTTCGTTTAGTGAGAGTGCTTCATGCAATCTGAAGTGAAAGACTGAATTGAAAACGGCCATCATTCTCCATTCACCCATATATGAACAGCATGAATTTAAATACATGGGACTGAATCAAAACCACTTGCATATAACATCACTTTGCAACCAAACTTAGACATATATTGCTTATAAAATACAACATACGTTTTGTATTAATTATTCATAAGTGAATTATACGTACCTTTGGAGATACCAATGATGCGTTTTGTAGTTTCCCGCGAAAATTTATGCTGAAATATCGATGAGCAGCCGCCGTGTAAAAAAGTCAAATGAACCTAACTAAATTTGTTGTGTACTAGCGCCAACTCTTGATTTAATGTGACCATTCTATTGCGGTGGTAAGCAGAGGGCATTTTGAGATATAAAACAGATTTTTATTTTAATTTTGTAATTGTGTTCTTATTTTTAAAGGAAGGTTTTGGGAAGTCCCGAAAAACTGTTGTTCTTAGAATATTTTTGACATCACGCACAACAATTGACAAAATGTAAGAAAATATTTAAGCCCACTCTGTCTACATTTTTAGTATTTGTTGGTGCCTTGACTTTAATTTAAAAACAAATACAAAATACTTGTTTTGTTATATTATGTAGTGGACTATTTTACTTATTATTAAGTTGTTTATTGTTTTGAATTATATTTTAATTGTTTTATGTAATACAGGGCTCTCTTGTAGAGCAGTGTTTATGCAAGGAAGAGACGGCTACCCTTTATAAAGAACACAGAAAAAAAATATTAATCAATCCATCAATCAATCAATCATCAAAAAGAAAGGAAAGTCAGTACCGTGATTAGCTACCTAACTAGGCGTTGTGGCGTGCGCCTGTAATCCAGCTATAAAGTGGAAGTTACAAACTGATTCAGCCGAGGACGCAGGTTCGAAACTGAGTCACGTCTTTCGGATGGTGACGTTTAAAGGTCGGTCCCAGACGTAAATAATCATATCTGATTGATACACGTCTGTAAAAACCCAATACACACACACACAGCTACCTTCGGTTTATATGTTCCATCTCCTCATGCTCTAGACCGTTGCTAGAATAGTGATATTTAGCTTACCTAAATGATTTCAATTTTCATACTAGTGGGGCTACGTCCACCTCAAATGTTGCAGTTAAGCTCCTGGAAGTAAGTCTCGCGACATTCATTCAACATTTTTAAAAGTATATCAAAGTTACTGTACATGTTCCTATTTCTATTTCGTTATTTTGTCACATTAATATTGGGACGTCGTAGCCTATGATAAAGAAAAGCTGAAATGATAAGAACCCTATCATGTACAGAGCCCCACCCCGCTCTGTACCGTGATGGTCTACCTTCGGTTAATACCGATTATTCCATCTCCGAATGCTTAGAAGTTTTCCAAAACCAGTCAATATTTGTAAGGAAAATGTGAGCAATTGATTTTAAATCCTGTGAATTGTTTTCTTGTTCAATTCTTAGGTCAAAGACAAATATTGTTTTAATGATTTAATTTCATTCGATTTCAAATCATTTCATTTCTTTTCATTTGAATTGATTTAGCTGTTCATGTTTCATTTCATTTTAAATCTCGATATTTACAAACTATGTCCGTTTATTACATTAATGGGACCGTTTTGCAGTCGCTTGTATTCATAAGATTTTTCTCTTCTTTTCAAATCAGACGATAATGTGTTTAGATTTCACATTGGCGAAGCCTGCTTTTTGTTAAATGGAAAAGAAAAACAAACACAAGTATTTCCAAGTTTTGGCATAACTCTTTGTGTCATTTGAAAATGTTTCGTTTTGTTTTGTGCTATATCGTAACATTATTGCAAATTCAATAACCTTTTACCAAATCTTGCTTAGCTCGACAGTGTATTTTGTTCGGTTCATATGATTTGAATTTCATCCTCGAAAAGTTTTTAATGAATTTATTCCTTTTAACTGACGTTCATCGGTCAAGACAAAGTAATGCCAGAATTCCTGTTTAGAGCTATCAAATATCAAATACAAAAGATGAAGAATAGAATGGATATTTACAATACTTACCTAACACTGTAATTCGAAAAGATATCAAACATTTCGTTATGACCCTCCCCCCCCCCCCCCAAGATTGACTATTTACATTGCATGGATTAAAAAAAGATACCGAACAAGCGCATATATAATTATGTAATAATCGCAAATACCAATTTACTACCTTTAATTATGATATTGCATATAATTTTATTTGCGATATCCATATTAGTTGTGCTTTTCTTAATTGCAGAAATTTACAAATCGCAAAATGTCCACTGCTGTAAAGTCTTGACAAATTATTGCTTTATCTTTGAGTCTTTTGGTGATACTTACCTATCTACAAAAAAAAGAGTTATCCAATAAAAGTCATTTGGATGTCATTTATTTTCACTTCAAAGTGCTTGCAATAAGTTGTGGGGTTAATTCGACTTTTAGTACCCAACGGCTTTTGAATGCAGGGAAAACGCATGGCGATTTGTAAATTTCTGAAATTGAAAAAATGTAACAATGAAAGAGAAATTGAAATTGAATTGAAATTGAATTGAATTAAAAATAAATATAATTTGATATTTTATCGAATACAGTGTTTGTCTACATCATTCTCTCCAGCTCGGCTACGACTTTGTCGATGCTAGGTCGGCAGAGTTGAGAGCTCTGTCGACAGATGTTGCCGATGGCGGTGAGATCGGCGTTGGTCGTAGCACCTCCCATTAATGTGAGAAGCCGGCCGAGCTGGAACACGTCACTCGAGACCGAGGTCAGCACGTCATCGAGGGCGCATTCAGGGGCTATGTGGACGTACACCTCCTGTAAAAATAAGAGGGACAAAATGACGATTGAAATTCATTTAAATAAAAGGGGATTTGTTTATATTTTTAATTACCTGTACTTCAACTTCATTGCACACCGAGAACATCACAAGCTACTGAAGTATAAATAATATCAACTTGAATAGAATAATATGACATAATTATGTGGGTAGATAGTCAAGAAAGAGAAGCGTGCCGGGCCCAATTCTGAATAATTATCTTTGAGATCCTGTGGGTACATTGTCTATGATGTCAACACAAATATGAAAAACAATATTAGCCAAATAATCCTGTTTGTAATGTCGATCTATTCGCTTGTTCTGCCCCTTCCTCTTTTTCTCACACACACACAAAAATGATTTACCAAATTTCATAGAAATCACATTACAAGAAAAAAAAAGATAATCATCAATATACCTTTCTACGGTACTTCTCCTTGTCTTCATCGGAAAAGCGGTAGAAGTAAGGTCTATCGCAAGGACACGCGAGCCCAAAGTCAACGATAACTGCTTGCCATCGGCCAGTTGGTGTCTTCCGGAGCAAGCAGTTATCTTCTTTAAGGTCGTTCATGAGAAAGCCTTTCTCATGGATGCGACCGAGGGACTTGGCTATGTCGAGAGCCAGAGCAAACCTGTTTGAAAGAAAGAAGGACAGTAATTGTTTTTAAAAAAAATGCTGGTTGGTGCATTTAATCAGCATTATTTTATACAAACTGTCTACTGAGCTAAAGTACATCGACATCAATCACCTTCATGGTTTACTTAAATTTACCTGTGTCGAAAGTGGCAAATGGAGATCAATGTAATTCCACAGACTGCTGTCATATTCACTAGGCCTCTATCAAAATAATGTAGCACTCACATAAAGACTTTTGATCGTTCAAAGACTTAAAGATTTAAAGAGTAACTTATCTGTATACTCACCAGTCATGCTGACTTAGCGCTAGCTTTCGCATGCCACGGCTCAGTGTCCAGGACTCTCCCGTCGTCGTATCCCCGACGAAATCCATCGCAAGACCAATCTTACCTGTGCTGATCTCCAAGCATCCAAGGAAAGTGGGAAAGCAATCCTCCCTGCCGAGAACGTCAAGGATGAAAGCTTCCGACTGGATGGCGTTCACCTGTCAGGTTGAACGAGAACAGAGAAACTTGAGTATATAGATACAAGTTCATGACCATTATCAGTATTGTTGTTTTTATGTTTTCATCCTCATTATCTTTCTTCCCTCTCTTTAGTCATTGTCTGTCGCTACAATGCTCAGTCATAAAGGGGCGGCAATCAAACTATTTGTTTAATTTAGTTAGTTTAAACCAACCTTCCTTGTCATTGCCTGGATGTCAACAGGTAGTTCGAAGGTTTTCAGCGCGATCGGATGGCCGGTTGCACGATGACGGTAGAGATGTACCGTCCCGTTGGCCCCGCTGCCCAAGAAGACGTCGCCACCGCCCTTGTGAAACGACGTCAGATCAGACATCCCCCAAACGAAGGAGGGGGCTGATGGGCCTTGGGCTTGGGCAGGGGCAGCTGCTCTGCTCGAAGGCGAAGTGGTTCCACCAACAGCAGCACTCACTTTTGGAGATCTTGTTAGAGAAGAAAGATATCAAAGTGGTAAAAAAAACCGAATAAACAAACAAACAAAACACAAAAACTTTCTCCGATTTTTGCATTTGTCCACTTAAATGTAAAGGTAATCAAAATTAATGTTATCATTTGTTTTTAGAAATTTCCAAACAAAAATATTTTTTTAAATGTTGTTAAAGAAAAAATAATGTTGTCTTACAGTGAAGCTGTGTGTGGAGTAAGTTGGAGAACCACAGGGGCCTGAGCGGGCAGAGGAACTGTTGGAGGGGTACCAGGGCCACTATCCCAGGGGCCGGGGCTAGGTGGTCTAATGAATAAATGGAAAAACAGAAGAATTTTATCCTTTATTCTACAAGATCGCACTTTTTGACCAGGCTATAACTTTTTTGTTTGTATTTATTTATGTATTTACTCGTTATTTTGTTTATTTGTTTCTTGAACTTATTTAATAATTGATTTTTTTCTTCAATTCATTCAATCATTGATTTATCAATTCATTAAGTCATCTATTTATCCGAATTTGTATTCCATCATGTATTAATTAGTTTGTTTGGTTGTTTGTTTGTTTGTATATTTGTTTATCACGTATTTGTTTTGACAGGGTAGCCCTTTCAGCTGAAATTACTTTATAACTGTATAACAGTCATATTCCAATGTAGATTCGTTTCAGTGTTATTCTTACATGAGGGGTAATGGGGTTATGACGATGGGGGCTGTGCTAGGAGTAGATGGGTGTGTGGGTGCTACTCCATTGTCTAATGGTGCTGTAGATGGTGTTTGGGAATTATCTCCAAAACACCTAAAAGACAACATAAACACCGACATAAAATTTTCCATCATGACATTTGCCTCTTATGAGAGTGTTTGTATATTTCTATATTGATTACATGGCATAATACTCTTGTA